CTCGCTGAATCGTCACTGAATTATTCTTTATTATCGTATATTTATGTGGGAGGTCATTGGCCAAATGATCCTACGTAGAAACCGCTGCAAAAATATTGTCTCCATCAAATTTTCCGTTCTATGAAATTTGCATCATGTTGTTCTAAAAAAAAATATAGCCCCACATTTTCGCTTCGGTTTCGTGTGTTTATTTTAAAGGATTCCTTTAAATATTTTTCTATAGCAGAAAATATATTAAAAGCGTTGTTTGCTTAGTTTTCTATATGGTATTATAAGGTGGGTTTGAATGGAATATAAAATTTCTTATTATTCTTAATGTTATTATTACAAACAAGGAATCTTTAGAATGAAATGAATATTTTGCTAAGGGTCGGTAAACACTTCTGTTTAACACACCTGCCTTTGGATAACCCTAACAATGTGACGATAAATAATACATTTCATAACGTTTGGCAAATATTCAAGATTTCTGTAAAGATAACATTGTACATTAAATAAATCAGGGACGCTTATGGCCTGCATCCTGAGAATCTCCGCATCTTTATAAAAACAGGATTAAGGGTAATTTGATAGAATATGTACCCAATTCTTCACAAGTGCTCCTCAACAAATGAAACGATCAAGACGAAATTTTATTTATATAAAATATTAATATATACCTACATGTGAACCAACTCGAACCAGCGAAATGAAAATTTTAATAAAATCGTAGCTATAAAAATTTGAAAGTAATTTTTTAAGATTTAAAAACTGATTTTAGCAAATATGCACATATCGGCCGTCGCTTTCATCGCAAGGTGAAATAAGTCTATCTGAGTAAACACTGTAATAAAAAGTATGGTAAAATTCCTCGAACTTTCAATGGTAGGTTGTCATGGAAGGTTCGAGGAATTTTACCATACTTTTTATTACAGTGAATACAACATTTTAAATATAATTTGTTGGTAATGTGAAGTAGTCGTATTTTTTATGTAAATTGTAGTCAACAGTGTTACATGCGCATGATTATACTTATTTAGTGTGTAATACTTGTCCCGATGCAGTATTTTGGGAGTAAATAAAAAAAATGTCTGTTGCAGTGGCTTAAGGTTCAATTTATTACAGGGATCTTATGTAATACGGTGGCTACCTTAATAGAAAGGTAGGAGGCTTAAAATGCCACAAATCGGAACTAATACTATTACAAAATTTAATCACAGTCCTCATCGGATTAGCTTTAAATATAAAATAGGAGTCTGTGCCGCATAAAGCACAACAAACATATCTGTTACCGGTATGGATTTCTTCCCCTCAATACGAACGTGGTATAGCCAACACTGATGACTTCGAGCAAATCCGCTTACTGTTACAAATTAATAATTGGGAATTCATTCAGCGCTTTGCGTCGTCGTCATAACCCGCATCCCCTCGATATTTAGACAATTTTCACAATATCCCACAAAGTGTATGTGAATTTTCTTATACGTTGATTGGTAAATCCCCGAAATTAGATGGCTTCCCAAAACACCGTCGAAAATCATCAGCGAAATTCCTACTAGGGTTTCAGCGGCCTCAAAAACTTTGTCCCTAGAATCCAGTCTACGATATAAATTGTCTGTTTGATTTTCGTCGACAAATATCGCTCCTAACGTCACGTGAACTGAAGAAGCGAGTAAACGAAGGAGAAACGTATGCATACTGTTAACAAAGTCAAAGGTGTATCATTGAAAATAATACGGCAAATGTCAATATTAGCCCGGGCGTCCTCATCTAAGGAGTGGTTGCCACTTGAGGTAAGTTACCGGGGGAGGTCGCTTACAATAAATATTTTAAGGAAGCTGGTATACACTTCATCGATTTTTATTTGTTTGCTTTCTGTTATAACAACATACTTCATAATGAATCATTCCTTAGACGGAGAGCAGATGTATCGACAATTTTACAATAATCATTGTACACAAATCTAATAATAAAAAAAATAAACTGATGTAACACAATGTTAATGGATATGTATATAACTTTGTATATCTTATAAGTCTTCTGACGATTTGTCAGTTAACTGAAGATAATGACACTAATGAAATAAATAAGTTAGACACATAATTATCGCGTGAAAATAAAAATCACATATTCGATTTGTTTTTAAATTAATATTTTTATCAAGATTTTAGGATTTTTGCAGAAAATAAAAAATTTCTCTATTCTATTTCATTCTATTCTATCACATATATGTATTTGTTCCAGTTTAAAATGATATTAGCAACTATTCCCAAGTTCAAGAAAAAAATTTTGTTTTATTAAAAAAAAGTTGGGCAAGAAATAAAATTTCAAAATTTTATAGATTTTTTACCAAGCTTTCTATATACAGGGCGAGTCTTAATTAGGTGAAAACATTTAACCGAAACAAATTGCACAAAGAAACCTTTGTTCCAAAGTTATAAAGTTCATAAAAAAAATAGTAACATAATAGGTTGTAATTTGGAACCAATTAGTATTTTGTTTTTGCGAGAAGTTTCGGGTAAATTTTTTTACTCTCAATTATGATCCGCCCTGTATTTAAACTGCTACGGTTTTTCGAGTAAATTCTAGAAAAAATATTTTCTTTGGTGCTGTGCAGTCCAAGTCGATATAGGCGGATTCTTAATTTTTTACCTCTCTTTCGGTGCAGTGAATGTCGGCGCATTTGAACGTTGCAACATGGAGTAACGCACTATTTAATAAAAATGTTTGACATTTTACACTCGGGAATATCTAACGACTCCGAATAAATGATGTTATATAGGACTCAATACATTTGTTTAAGTTTGTATGTTTTAATAATTTCACTAAAGTTTCGTATTCGATAATTACATGAACAGTTGATAAAAAGGTTTTAAAAACAAGTAACCCTTAAAATTTAGAAAAGGCTTTGAAAATATTGTTAAATTAATTACACGCTTTCGCTTGAAATTAATGACTACAGAAATAATAGGCTATCAAGCTGGGTGTGATATAAAAACGCTTTTTCTCTAAAAACATGCGTTGCTTTGTCACGCTGAAGCCTTTCAAGTTTCGAGAAATAAAGTGCAAATTTCAAAAATAGAATCTTGTAACAAAGTTACCTACTGTGTTAAAAGTAGCTTTATCAACACCCTTTAAAGTGATACATAATTTTATAATACAATTTAAGCGTTATATGTAGATGGGAACGGCTAAACATAAAAGGACTTTGTAATTCAATAAAGTGCTATCTAAAAAGCTCATAAACTCAATTATTATTAGTTTATGGGTACTTATAATTAGCAACGTATTTTTACGCTTTGCCATGTTACAGTAGCTCTTCGTTTGATTTTAAGTAGATTATTCGTTTAACCAATACGTTCTCTTAATATGAAAAAAATATATATATGTTTCGAAGTGAAAAGAATAATATGTTATTAAAATCAAAGTAGAATCGGTGCTTCTGTGAGAGCACTTCTCTCAGGTGGAGAGTGGTGTTAATTTTGTCTCAAACTATTATTATGTTAGCCGCTGTCGATAATGACTGTAATTTCTGCCAAGATTTTTAATATGTTGGAGTAATCCTTACGTCTTTCTTGTTTTGAAAATTATACCGACAATAAACACAGTTTTCTCAAAAGCCTCTTAGTTTTTTAAGATACATAATACATTTTTTAAATAATAAACAACAAGAAGCACAAAAATGAGACCTAACCTAAAATTTTAGGATAGTATTCAATGGAACACCAGATACAAATGTTAGTTTTCGAAATAAATTAAAATCATAAAATAAAATCGTCAGTAGAAGACACTATTATTAAATAGAAACGAGATAGGTGCTTTGTAAAAAATGTGGTTATATTAAAAACGTTATCATAACAGTAACCCATTATACAAAAAAAGGTATAGAAAATGTCATAAACATATCGCAATTGGGAAACGTATTTATATACTAATACTTTTTTTACAACTAAATAGAGTCCTTTACAATGTTTTCTTCTACATTTCCAATATTACTTCCATCAAGTACAATCAAGAATATGATGTACGCTTTCAAAATAATAATTTTAATAAAGCAAAAAGCATAATTATAATTTTACTTTTACTAGTCATACCTACATAACTTTTACAGTAAAATAAATATTAATTTTGTCGCTAATAGTAAAGCAATTCTAGTAACTTTTAAGAATAATAAATACTATATGTTACTGATTATAATAATATATTAGTTGAAACTAAAAATTTTAAATAAAGTAAATAATGAAATAAATAACATGAAATGTACGCTTCAAAAAAATTAAGATGTACATAGGTAGGCATCTTCGGCCATTTAGTGATAATTTTTCTGAAGTGTCATCTACCTAGGTTTTGGTTAATATTACAAAAAATAATTATATAAAAAAACTTGTAATTAGTATAACGGCATTATTGAACTTTCGCCGGTGTTTTTAAAATAAAGAATCGAAAGTGGTGTAAATATTGTTGATATAAGCATGTTAACAGTAGTAAGTACTACGATTTAGTAAGATTATATCAACAAATAATATATTTCTTAAAGTTTAATATCGCCAAATATATTTTTATATTCTTTCAGGTGTTAATGACTTTTAAAAAGTGTTAGGCTTTGGTAATAATGATGAATATGGTATATACATGGATACTTGTCTACGTTATACAAAAAAAAAAACTAACTTACGCGTTATTTACATTTTAAATTTAAATAATGTTAAGACTAAAATGTATTAATATTACAATTTTAAGTATTGCTTGAATATCTCGGGATACTGAAAATATTTTATTTAAATTTATATAAATATTGATTAAAACTGACATTTACTTCATATGTACGTAAAAAATCATTAAAACTAACATAAAATATACCCTATTTGGTGCCCTCTGTAATATTTTTTATAAAATACACTAGAATTAGATTGTATCTGTTAGTCTTAACCTCATGCTTAGTTACTAAATTAAAAAGCAAATGAACACTAAGATCTCCTCCTCCTGTATGATCTTTCACTAAACGATACGTCGAAAAACATTCAAGAACCTGCTGAGTGCGGGTGCATTTTTACTCTGATGGCCCTCACGTCATCGTCTATTCTAACAAGAAGTCGCATTTTCTAAAAAATATATTCCTTGACAAAATGTGACCGACATAAACCAGAAACCAGACTATGCTTTCCCGAACGTTTCGAGGTTGTGTATTTTTCGTACTTTGACGATATCTGGAAAACAAAAATCTTCGGAAAAGCATAGTCCGATTTGAAATCTAGACGGTCTGTATTTTTTTGCGCTTACCGTTTTCCTATCACCCGGTGTGACATACCAAATATAGATCATGTATCCTGGAATACAAAGCATCGAGGTTAGTGCGGTGACCCAACCGAATAGGTGTGCCCATAATGGGAATTCATAATTTAAATACTTTACAGGCGCCCATTGTACCAAATTAAAGATGAACACGCTCTGTAAACGAATTGTTTATATTTGTTTAATAGAAAAATTTCAACATTGCACGTACAACGCATATAAAAGGCGTAGTAACGGTCCAACAAAACTTCCACCAACTAATCGGGTAGTACCCGATCATCTCCTTAATACCATCATAAAATCTATTAACTCCAAACGCCCAGGAAATCGCAATGCATTCGAAGAATATCAAGAAGAGCAGGCAGAAGCCACTGACAGCGTAAGAGTCTAAAATTTGGAACACGTACATTCCTCCCTGGAAAAAACAAAGTAACTCTCATTATTTTAACTCGACACTACCAGACATTACCTGTGAGATACAAGACAATCCGACAAGGTAAGAAAGAGCGCAAACGACAGCAATAAACAGTTCTTTCCTACGTCTTAGAAGTGACGGCCATTCGTCGATGATGGCCGTGACGAATCCTTCCATGGTGCAGAATTGTGAGTCGAGACCGATTAGAAGGATCATGAAGAAGAACAGGCAGGCCCAAAGCGGCGATCCAGGCAACTGCAGCACTGCTGAAGGATAAGCTAAAAACGCTAGACCAGGTCCTACAAATATACGATATGCAGTTTTATTTAAAATTAAACTATTGTTACTCTCTTTTACCTGAAGCAGCGACTTCTGCTACGGGTCGTTGCTGTTCGTGAGCCATGAAACCAACGACAGAAAATATAACAAAACCTGCAAACATGCTAGTGCTAGAGTTGATCGAGCAGACAATCAACGCATCCCTAGAAATAACACGTAATTGTTATACAAGTAAGAAGAAGTTACCATCTCTTTTACTTATAAACGTTGTTGGTGAATTTGTTGTAGCTCCCCAAAGCGACTAGAGTTCCTAATCCCAATCCGTACGAGAAGAAGATTTGGGTCACTGCGTCGATCCACACTTGCGACTGCGTCAGTTTTGACATGTTAGGCATGACGTAAAACTTTATACCTTCCATAGCACCAGGCAGAGTTATACCGCGGATGAGAAGGATGGTAAGGAGCACGTATGGGAAAAGCGCCGTGAAATACACCACCTTCCCAGTCCATTTAACCCCTTTCCAAATGCAGAAGTAGCAGATTATCCAAACCAGTAATAAAGTACCAGCCAGTTCCCATCGAATCGAGCCTACGTGTTCGATACCCTCGGAAATCTGCAACGCCCTGCGTCTGAAATACATGTAAATGTTTCTTTCTGCGTACCGGTTTGTTTCAGTAAACTTACTCCCAAAACTCCTTAACGGGATCCGTTAATTCATTCACGGACACGTTGAACTGATTGATTTGACACATTTTGGTGAGAGTGTTATTCGGGTTCAATTTATTCCAACAATTTAACGCGCTGCGATCGTAAGGGTTTACGCAGTAAATCGTGTTCCAGTAGTTGTTGCAGGTTCTCCATGGCACATCTGAAATCAACGTTATTAGTGTTAAAGGCGAAAGATCACTGACGGTGCAACAATTACCTGCTCTTAGCGACATGAAGAAGTAAAATATAGCCCATGCCAAGATAACAATGTAGTAGATATTCATCCAACACGACATCACAGCGGCTGCGTATCCAATACCTAAAAATGCATACAGTTCTAATAACTTTTTGTTTCGTATCGTTTAATGATATACAGCGGGTTATAATTCTTTTATTTCATCAGGCCAGTATATATCTCTGATGATACTATTACATTTTTCACAATAAACCTTTAAATTTAATTTACTTTCCAGTTACAGGTTTTTCAGGTATCTTTTTAATAGCAGAACATCCCTGAATTAGTATTTGCCAAAGTTTCGCGTGTCGGGTAGGGAGAGGATGCTTACCTTTGAAAATGGGTGCGATTTTAAATACTCCAAGCCCTCCGATGGTCATCATTTGGCCGAGTGCAAGTTCCATGAAAAACATCGGTATGCCAGCGAGGATCAAGGTGATAAAATACGGTACGAGAAAAGCACCACCACCGTTTTTATAGCATAAGTATGGGAATCTCCATACATTTCCTAAACCTATAGCCAGTCCTACCACGGATAAAATGAAATCTAATTTACTACCCCAAGTCCCTCTCTCTGGTATATGTACATTTTTGGAGAATTGTATTTGATTCACTAAGTTCGGTACGTTCGTTAAAGTCGGTAGTTCGATTTCTTCGTGACGGTTTAGCTTAAGTGTGTCGTCCACGAAATCCTGCGCTTCTTCGCTCCTGTCTGTCATTTTCATATTTGTTCTTAATTTTATATTACTGCTAACGACTGATCATGACATCAAGTACCACCTACAAAATGGAAAGGTCGTTAAAAAACAGAACGAAAGAAAAATGCAATCACCTTTCAGTTTGCAATTCTGCGCCTTAAAAACCAAAAAATTTCAAATGCTTAGTGCCTTTAAAAGCGTATTTCTGCTATATCACCGATTTTAAACTTACCTAGGTACTTCAAAAACCTTCATGGAAAATATTAAACATTGTATTGCTACCTATAAGTATAGATCATTGTAAAGGCGTACTCCTTATCTTTACCAGCTTAAAGAATTATCTCTTTTAACTTGCAATGTGTTAAACGTGATGAAAACGTCAATATACTTGTCAGTTCAATGCGATTAAATACCGTTAAGAAGTTTCTGGCTTTGGTGAAAAATATTTCATTGATATTTGAATTCATGTGTACTTGAACGTTAATCCATTGATAAACAAATTTAAATATTAAATGATGAGTCAAATCTTACTCCAACGTCATTTGGAAATGAGAGCAGCTGTATAAGATAAGCAATTTTCCTGTTAGGCTCAAGGAGATGTAAGGACGAAATACCAAAATAATCGTTTGTATACGGATGGGCCATCATTAAAGCAAAAATATTTACTTTTATGTTTAACCCCTTATAAATTAATTAAGGCATAAATACCGAATAAATTGATATTTCCGTTAATAGTTGACTGTAATATAGACTAGCTGTGCGAGAGTGATGCTGATGATATAACTCCTGATGGTGAAATTGAAATAAATGCGATACATCGTGGGGCAGCAAAAAAGGGGGACATTATTATTTCCATTCACACCGGTACTTGTTAATGCTAACTTTAGCCTTTTTGCATCCATATTCGTTTCATAGGATCTACTGAAAACTTACCTGAATATTCTATTGACAAAATAGCGTTTTCTTTCACATGAAACGACTTCACTGTATCAGAAATTTTTCAACATACATACTACATTTGAAGCAGCTGTGGAAATGGAAATAAACATTTAAATAATCCATCAAACTGTTGCATTTCTAATTTAAAAATAATATTTTTATAAAATTTGAAATTTGTATTTATATAAATATATACAATATATTTTTTAATTATTTGTCCAAAGTATAGATAAATTTCAAAAGATCGGAAAAAGTATTTTTCAAATTTTTCATTAAGGTTAAAATCAGTCTTTATAAAAATAAGGAAACTGGATTCAATTTTTACTATACCGAGTGTTACTATCTCCCTCTTTACTGACAAACCTTGTGGACGGACGTATGATGTGTATTTCCGGCTTTAACGGAAGTAGCAACAATTTTTGTTTAAGTGGTACGTCCTGGAATTTTTGTGTAACCTAATTTGATTTTTTGACACATGAAATTTGAATTTATTTAACGTTGAAATTCGGTTTTAAATTTGATATGTCAACTACCAAAATCTACTTTTGAAAAATAATCCTCAGTTGTCAAGAGTTGAAAATCAATATTTCTCTGCATATTTTACTAATATATAAGTATAGTTTTTTTCGTTTCTTTATTAATATATTTTTGTTTCATACATATATAAAAATTACTTAGTAAGTACTGGTTAAAACTTAAAGTATGCTGTACAAAATTTTCAAAATACATCAATCAACAAGGACTTTTTTATTTCAACATCAAAATATCTTGTATTTAAATATGTATTTTGTGAATATTAACGTCGATTGCAATTTTCGTGAAAATAAATATTTACCAATAAAAAGTTACTGCTCGCCACAACACAGCACAGCTGTCTTTAACACCACACGATGTCACTTATTTAAATTGTGAAAAACCAAAAAAGTTTTTAGGAGCGGCTTACTAACACACTAACACCCACGAAATTGTCCAAGTCGAGCTCTGTATCAAACTGTTCTTCAATCAACTACTTGCTGGCTTCTCTACCCGTTGCCTATCACATAATAAAATAATATGTGAATACATTAGGGGAATGGTAGACTAGTCACTAAATGGTCAAAAATTATGCTAGTTCAAAATTAATAAATCATCATATAAGTCTGACATATAAATTTATTCGCGGAACGATTTCCTTTTCTCTGCCTTTTCATTCCATTTATTACTTTGAGGCTCGGTTTTCAATCTTTAAATTTATTCGAGCCAGTTAAATAAATTTGTTTGCAATTACTAGTAACGAAAAATTAATTGTACCTTTTTAAGATTTAATTCTTTAATATGCATCATGCACATGAAAAAATTACATCTTATCATTATTATCAGACTCTCTTACAAATTCTTAAATAAATACATCATCAACATCCTTCAAATGTAGCATATATTTTTTTACCTCAGTTTCTTATTAATATTTAATTATTTTAATTCCTAATGCAACCAAAAAATGTAAATTGTATAGGTAGGCATTTGCATAAATCAAATGTATAATGTTTAATTATGAAAACAGTTTTAATATACTAACATAATCAGATCTGATGTAGGTACACTACACTTAATACACTTTAGTCCTAAGATATATAATTCATGATTTTATATTGGTGTAAATTTTATGTAGACCAAAGCTTATATTATCGACTTATATTAATTTTATGCAATGTCATTAAATAATTTCTAATGATTGGATTTGTAAGCATATTTCCAATGATGTCGAATTTTAACTAAATATTAGATACAGTTTTATATATTTTTGATTATCTAAAAATAATCGGATTCCTTTCATAGGCGATTTTATATCCAGTCTATTAAATTAAATTCAAATAAATTGATGTCAATTAAGATTTTTTTAATGGTAAAAAACATATTTACTTATAATAATGGCATACGGCATTTGGTAGAAATTGCCGTTATGCAAAGCATTAGCCAAATTTTATTTTTATTGCACACCCAATATGTTTAGCTACTCCACGCCAACGAATAGCAATTACCACATCAGTTCCCTTTCCGGTAGTTTTTCCTACCCACTTTCGATCTATTTTGCGAACAATTGAAATGAAATCCGCATTGAAAAAAAAAACCCATGGAAGCACCAATTTTATTAATTTTATATTTGATATTAAATTTAATAGCTTTGTAATTTTTATTAACCTTTCTAGAATGGTTATTCTATGTATGTATTTGTTTCAAATATTCACCAACTTCATTATGATTTTACATACTGCACATACACATTGCATTTATATCTCGGTTATATGGAAATGAAACGTTTTGATGCGAAATAATTATCTGCAGTCTTTTTCTGATATTCTATTTAGCATCCTCGGAAACCTCTCTTTACCCAAGAAATTACTGTGAAGCTAAGGAAATTGGAAAAGTAATTAAAATTCATAGAAAAAGAAAATAGGTACTGAAAATGGTGATAATGATTTAATTATTTGTTATTATATAATTTTACTTTTGTACTATTTATGAATATATTTAATAAATGTGAAATTACAGGAATATATTTATTTAATAACATTCTCCCTAATATTATTACGTAGGTATTAATATTTGTCATTAATTTATATACAAATATCTAGAGATGGGCACTTCACAAAGCATAGTAACTAAGTTGCAAGCACAATTATCCTTTTAAAATTTTCGATAGCTTATAACTGTTGAGACTACGGTTAAGATTTATAGTATCTTATTTCTCTTTGTTTCGATACAATTTGATTAAAATATTTAATGTTATACCTATAGACCTTTTATACTATGAGTTTGTTATATATGTACGTTGTTAGTGAATTTGTAGTCCAAAGTCTCCACTTCCGGGTCATCGAGCTTGCCCTTTATACAGGGTGTTTCAGAAATATGTGCTAAAATTGACAATTTTTGTATAATAATTTTCCCGAAAGCTCATTTTTTGTCCGTACCTATTAAAACTGCACTGACGAGCTGCCTATGAATTGAGAAATACTTGAGTAACGTATGCCCAGTATTTTAGGGAATGATACAATATCTTAAATTTTGCTAGCTTAAATACTAAATACAAACCTTTATGCTTCTTTTTGTTTGTTATTAACTGAAATGAGCATTTCGCCGTATATGCTCCAGTGGCGGGTCGCAAAATTTTTAAATTTATTTAAATTATACTGTCTTAAAAACTTTTTCACAAAATGTTTTAGCTTTTGATGATTAAATGCCTGGTTAAAATTTTAATTAATTTCCAGGACACCTTGTATCGTTCAAAATAGTTTTTTTATAAATATTAAAAAATGTTTTTCTTATAAATATTATTGAGTATTTTTCAAAAAGACGTTTGGTGGTTTGTTGTGCAATTTAGAATAAATATTTCAGTCCCATTTAAATTGGGACATATCTAATTGTAAGTAGCTGGGGGTCCACAGCAACAAAAAAATATTGAATGGAGGTAACCAAAAGCTGAAAAACCGCTGGCATAGAGCTGCGGGTGCTAGAAGTGGGAAATTGACAGCATGCGCGCTAATACGTCTTATTTTCTCAAATGCCAGAGTACAAGCAACCAGTGCTGCAGTTAAGTGTATAGTTGGTTGCATAAAAACAAATTTCACTTTTAAAGCCAATCCATAAGCATTTATAGTTGTTCTAATTGAAATTTTTTACAATTTTGCCTCGCAGAAAACTAGATCTGTTTTTATATAACAAATAAAAAAAACTGAAATATAATAATATTTTTATTGTGCAAAAATTATGACAATATATTATGTAAACCATTTTCTGTATAAAAAAATCTACAACTAAAGTCATCTACAATATGGTAAAAAAGAAGTTACTCAAAATATAGGATGCCATGTTTGAAACTAAGGATAATTATTTAAGAAAAACTTTTTTACCAAATTATATGTTAACGAACTAAATACAAAATTGTTATGATACATATTAAGCTGCTCATAGATTTTAGACTTACTTTATTTGTACAATAAAAAAATAATCTAATTATTTTTGTGAATAACTAGCAAAGCAGTTATATTTAATAAATATAAATATATTGAAAAATCTTACCTAATATACAACAGTGCAAAGCAAAAATCCTGCCAATCAATCAATACGTACACCTAGGTAGGTATATATAAAAATAATACATGGTGCTTACAAAATATATACTTTACACTTACGAAAGCCAGTCTACCTAATATATAAAAAGTATAAGCTGGAATTAGTTCTTAACTCTAAAATCAAAAAATTCATCCAACATGTTACGTGAAACATAACTAGAAACACGCAACAAATTAATAGTAATATTAGCACCGCCATAATTTTAAGCAGCAAATTATCTTAATTTCAATTGACCGAGCCAGAAAAAGTGTGGAACAACCACCTCACTATTGGTGTATAGAGATTTCCACATCCAGGTAAAAATTCACAACTTCTTTTTTGACTCTGTTACATGTCTTGATTTCATTAAACAAAATAATAATTCAGAAGTTAATGGGCCCTTTCCATTAAATAGATTTTACTTTTCAGTCTCAAATAGTGTTTCTACCTGGGTACATAATTTTCACGTACCACACAGAAATGAAAATATGTTGGTACTGCTAAATTATTATTTACATACGATTTTAAAGTTGTTGTTACCTACAATTCAGTTTAAATTAATAGTTTCGGTATTAAACATTTAACAAATAGCATAATAAATTTTAAAATCTCTTAATATGTTATAAACAAGTAATAAATCTTGTTCTTCAATATAAATCAGTAATTTGTCATAAAATTTAAAAACATAAACATTTGTTTAAGTGAAGGTGTAGCAGCTTTGATTCTGTTAATATTTGTTAATTAGAAACTGAGGCACCCTGTATAAGTTTATGTAAAACTAAATTTTTTGGTCTGCACGTCGTCTACAGAAGAATCTTATATATTAAATTTTGATTATTTATTTAATAGTACCGTGCCTAAAGTGGTAGCAACATCAATAAAAATAATACCCCTAATTACGAAATATTTACCGATAAATAAGGCAGTGTCAATAATAAAAATATATAAAAATATCAATCAAACTTCCAATAACAAATTCATTTTGCTGCATTTTTTTATATTTCTGATGTCTATCTAACTCAATAAGTTGGTAAAACGGTTTATTCTTTAATGCCCTAAAATGAATTAGTTACAAATATCTTTGAATGCCTAAACCTATATTCACTTTGAGGTCGAGTTTCACCTAAATATTTTAAAAGCATTTAGATTATGCTTTACGAATATCTTAAGATAATAATATGCATATTTGAGTACAAAGTTTCAGTGGCTTACGGAAAGTCAAACTCTCATTAGTCACTGAAATAAGCATAATCTATTTGATAAACTTATCGTAATAATATACATAAACAATAAAGTCCCGTTAGCACTTAACAAACACAGTTTCATTTTAAAGATACAGTTTCCTAACTGTACTTTTAAAAGAAATAAACAACAAAATATATTACCATCTATTATATACCTTCAAATTCATTTCGATTATGAACAACAGAACTTACTTAAAACTGATATGGACGAATTTAACTACAAGATCACTTTTAAGCAAACAAAAAGAACACATCTTTAAATGGCAAATATGTTAATAACAATTATTTTGGAATTAGTATTCTTGAAATAAAGTTTATCAGAGATATACACAACATTGAAAGCTATTTCACATGAATTATCTAAACATAGGTAGCCATTGCATTATTGTTTGCTCCTTGGGTAGCTCCCGAGTTGCCCAGTTGCTTCATGTTACTAGGTACATATTGCCCGATGAAAGATCCATCCTCCGTAAAGCGACCTAATAAGAAATATTTATACTAAAATATCCGCTCCATGAAGAACTACTACCAGTCTAATAATATTTCAATATGCAACCTTTTCCTCAACCAACCTCCTCAGTTAAGTAGTTAATTAAAAAAATATGGGGCGTTTTCCAACATTTTAACTAAAGATATTTTTCGACTTCGTTTAACTCCTAAAAAGAAATTAAATATGCCTTGTAAGGTAGGTAATTTTTATATTTTAGTCACGCGCGTCAGCTTCTGTGTTGCCAACAGAAACTGTTATAATAAAATATCTAATTCCAAATTGGAAATTATGATATATATATAAATTAATATGATGAATGAATAAATAAGAAAATATGATTTGAATTTCCAGTTACTAGTAATTACCGCCTTATACGTTACAAAAGTTATTTTATATACTTTCAGCCCATAAAATGTTAATTAAATTTCTAGTTAACAAAACCCTCAAAGAATATGACTAATTAGTATTTTTTATACACAAATTATTTCGGCAAGTGTGTTTTGCAAACATAAAATTGTCTAATTTGTGCCAAATTTTCTTCAATTACACAGGCTGACAAATGTGACCGCAAAAAACATGTGATTTTCGCCCGTTTTTTCACAATTCGCAGAGAATTAAAAAAAAATACATAAAAATTTGTTTTTGGTCGCAAATTACTTGTAAAAAACTGAATTGAGCATAGCTTTTAGTATTTTGAAAATTTTAAAAATCACCCCTACTTAGGGATAGAAAAAATGCCAAAAATGAACAATTTGAATATTACCAATTGATATAAAAACTATTAGCATGTGAATTATCTTAATATATTTTTTTGGAATTTTTACAATTATTTCTGATATTCTCTATTTTTAGGGATGATTCTACCCCCTGAGCGCGCTTAAGGGTGGATTTTCTAATTCAACATGCTTATTTCAGTCATGAGAATAAATCTTTCTTTGTATCAAGAATCATTCAACAGAAAAATTCACATGCTGTTTTTATATTTATTGGTAATATTCAATTCTTCATTTTGGGCGGCTTTTCAACCCCTTAGGGGTGATTTTTGAAAATTTTCAAAAACAAAGCTATGCTCATCTTAATTTATTACGACGAGTAATTTGAGACCAAAAACATATTTTTATCTATTTTCTTTATTTCGCTGCGAATTGTGAAAATACGGGCGATTTTTGCAGTCACTCTTTGGCCGACCCTCAACCCAAAAACCAGAATATACTTTTCCGAAAGATTTTGGTGAACCGAAAGCCAATCCGATATCCAAATTCCTCAGTTGGCTCTGGTTTTCGAGATTCCCTAACCTAAAAGTGCCAAAATCGCGATTACATGAAGAAATACATCGAACTACTAAATTTCAACATACGATTTCTAAAAGTTGAAAAATGATATCGGGATAAATCCAAGTACGTTTTAGAGAGTAAGCATAGTACTTGAAGACCCCCAGTAAGGGTTTCACAAAAAAAAATTACAAATTACCTTTCCATGTAACATAACCTCAAATATGTCAAAAAAATTGCGATTTTGGCATTTTTAGGTTAGGATATCTCAAAAACCAAAGCCAATTGAGAAATTTGTATCTCGGATTCGAATTCAACATATCAAAATCATTTAGGGAAGTATATTTGTGTTGTTGAGTTAAAATATTGTCGGCCTGTGTTATCAAATAGACTGTACCAACCTCTGGCGGAGGATGCAGAATCATTGCTTTTATTCCTACCTAAAAAATCAATGCAGAAATCGCCAGGTTATGGTACCCCATCAGTGTGCCAACAAATGTTTAGTGATATTCCGCTTAGTGAAGTGAAAACAAGAAATAAGTGACCCGTTTAAATTAACTAATACGTTCACCAAAAATATTTAAAAAAATTAAATATTTTTAAAAAAGAACATATTAATTTTCTATGCAGTTGGAGAAAATAAGCCCACTCCCAGACAAGTTACAAACAAATTATATTAAAAATTGTTTTCAAAAGTTAATTACTATTTTTTCGGTTAGACCGAGCACTATAAATTACGTTAGTATGGCAATTTAAATTAGCTAATAGGTGTTGTTAGTCCATGGAAACAAATAAAATCTTACGTATTAAACCAATGTCGCAAATCCTTGAGATGTGGTTTCACCCTGACCCCGTTTTCGACCATACTGTCCGATAAAAGAACCATCTTCATTCATACCCTCTATGAACATAAAATTAAAAAATAAAAAAAATAAAAAAGCCCCCCTCCCCCAAAAAAAATTTTTTTATACTCACCAGTATCGCCATCGCCGTACTCCGCCATAGAATCGGTGTCGCTTTCTGGGCCAATCTTTGGTTCACTGCTCATGGAAGCTCTGCCATGCGATTTATTGTCCAGCCTAAATGAAAAAATAAGAATTTTTCAAAGAAAAATGATCATGAAACTTACGGTTGAGAATACTCGTGGAAACCCCCTTCGTCAGGATAGTCATGTCTACCATTTGCTTGTTCCCGTTCGTGTACGGCATACTTTCCACCACGGTTCCTCTTGAAAATGCATACTATGATAAGAACCAGAAGTAAGAAAGCGATTGCAAGCATCATTCCGATAAACCACCCCGCAGTTGCCACGTTTTCTTTGTGTCTAATGATAGGTCCATCAACATCGTAAGTGCTAACTTCCTGAGATTCACTGTCAACGTAATATTTATCATCGACAGATGTTACAATAAAATCGTATTTCGTTGCAGCTTCCAACCCAGCAACTTCTAGAAAGTCTTCATTATACTCGGGTTCAGTCTCCAAGTAGTTCGTCTCTCCCTGTTTTCTATATTTAACTAAAAAGTGGGACCCTGGTACGCCATCTTCGCTTGGTAACCAGTGAACTTTTACGGAGGGGGATAGTCCATCTTTTATTAGGTACCAGTCAAAATGTGGCGGCGAAGGTTTATAGCTTCCCGGAGGTTTAGTTTGCCTTTCGATGAAAAATCTTTTAGATTCCCCAACACTGGTTGTAGCGCTAATGTAAATGCGGTACTTTGTACCTGGCTGAAGACCCGCAAGTTTAGCCCTTTTTCTAGTAGGATCTCTAATTTGTGGATTTCGGGGAACTGGCTGATAAACTTTCATACTGTTGTCCACCTGAGCGTAATAAATATTGTAACCGGTTAATATACCATTTGGTTTGTCAGGTTCTTCCCACTTAAGCATAAACGCCGATGAACCCAGTGGAATAGCTTCTAAGTCTTGCATTTCTCCCGGTATTCCCTCTGGAGTTTGGAAAGTAAGAGTTACACTTGGTGGACCATTGTATTTTTCATTGAAAACGTAAACTTGAGCATAATTTTTCGTATATGGATCGAAATTGCTAACAAGAGCCTGGGAATTGCCTCCTTGAACTTGAATTTCTTTGGCTACTAGAGAATTGTCACTCCATGTCCTTACCTTGTATCCTTTAAAATGTCCTCTAACCGTTTCATGGGGAACAGGCTCCCAACTTAACAATGCAGTAGTAGGGCCTTGCAGCTTTTTTAATGTGAAATTAGTTGGTGCTTTTTCTGGTTTGTCTTCCCCCGAATAACCTATCACTTCCCGAGGAGCAACATTGGCATCACCGAGGTCATTGGCTGCAACTACTTTTATTCTGTATTGTTGGAAGGACGGCTGATTTTCGATAACCAACTTATCCTGATTATAATCATGTATTTCTTCTGGTTCATCGTAATCTTTTCCAATGATATCTCGTCTCCAGTAAACACGATACTTGAATCCCGGACCATTGTGTTCAATTTGAGGGATACGTGTCCAAGATATCACTAAATTATCAGGGCGGTCGCCTTCGCCTTGTACGTTATCCGGATTTTTATGGGGTACCTCAGGGTTTGTCGTACACACATCAGAATGAGAAGAAGGGGTCGACGGGCCAATTTTATTGACGGCAATTACACGGAATGTATAATTGGCCCAAGGGTTCATCGGTACGTTGTAGGTCATATCTACGGATGGTACATGATTGAAAACATCCTTCCATTCTTCAGGATTGAAACTCGTATTGTACTGTATTATGTAATACAAGATTGGGGCACGATTATCTCCCATTGGCATCCAATTAATAGTTGCATCTTTCTCGTGGCATGTAACACCTTTCATCATTGGTGGATTTGGTACATCTTGAACAGTAAGCTGAGCCTTTGCAGATGCTTCGTCTAATTCCGTTTTAGCCAAGCAAGTGTATGTTCCAGAATCCAGTTCATTTGTTTTAGTTATAGTTAAGGAGTAATCCGTAGATTTTACAAATCTTGGTTCTCCTTCAAAGTCAATCAGTTGGTCATTTTTCAACCAGAATATTTCCAAATTCAGCGATTCATCAGCAACTGCGTTACATCTAAAGGTAGCAATAGATTTAGCTTCTACTTCATAGTCTTCTGGACCGTCAGTGATGTAGGTATGAGCTAAAGACAGAAAACGATTGTAAGATACAAATTTTATCATTGAAATTTTTAAATAAATTAATTCGTATATTCGAGTTACTGACCTTTAACGTCTAATTTGGCACTGGCGCTAGTATTTCCAAATTTATTTTCAGCATAGCATGTATAATTGCCTTTATCGTCAAATTGTACCGAATTTATGAGTAGATCGCCATTTGACTGAACTTGATATCGTCCGCCAGTTAATTCCTTTCCATTAAGCATCCATTTTATATTTGGTTTTGGAGCTCCCAATACTTTACAAGTCATGTTTACGTTCTGATTATCTACTGCCTGAGTATCTCTAGGTGCTTCCGTTATTTCAGGAGGCAAAGCTGTAAAATATACCACCGTTATAATTTGAGAAATCCAAGTCGATACTTTAACTCACCCAATACATTAACGTAAACATCTTTGTAGACATAACCCAAACTGTTAGTAGCATTGCAACCGTAATTTCCAGTATCGTTCTTTGCCAGTTTTTCTATCATGATTTTATTTTTATATACCTTACGCCTAGGATTAGAAAATGCTTCTGCTATTGGTTTACCATTGTGTATCCATTTGATTTCCGGTTCAGGGACACCACCGGCTTCACAAACAAATTCCACAGTTTCGTCTTCTGCAGCATTTATACGTTCCGGCTCTTTAATAAAATATGGAACGGCTAAAAATATACAAAACCTATAGACGAGCTTAAATTAATGATTGCATTATATACCGTATACTTTCAGGTTGATTGAATACGACTTGGCTTCGCCAACACCATTACTAACTTCACATGTATATGTTCCTTCATCTTCAAAATCGATAATCTTTATTATCAAGGATTTTCCATAATTTCCTTGAGTTATTCGATCGGAAGATTGGACTATCCTGCCATCCTTCGACCAAACTGTTTGGGGAAGTGGTCTAAAAGCGTATTTTTGTTTTAAAATAAAAACGATCACAAATTAAAATATTACTTACGTTCCTCCAAAAATACAGTATAACTTGGCACTTTTTCCTCTATATGCAACCTCATTTTTCCTAGTAACGTACTGAAGAACGGGAGGATATTTATTTTGGGAAGCCGAAACTCCAGAAGACTCAACGTTTAACAGTACCCTATTTCCATATTTATATTCGAATTTTGTAGGGGATGCAGCTGCACAAGCGTACATAAAATCATTTGTTGCGTCTTCTTTAGTAAGATTAGAAAACCATAGATTTCCTTCGGGATCTAGAGTCATTCGAGAGCTGTTGATAGTCTTCATAGCATCATTTGTGTAGAAATATATCCAGCTCACAATGGGTTTGGGCCATCCATCAGGTGGTTGACATGTTAAATTGAAAGGTTCACCTTCCCGACCTGATAGTGATGTTGGTTGACTACTTTTGAAAGAGTTCAGTTCTGCTTTACGCATAAATACAGAATTCGATGTTGCCGTGCCATACTGGTTTTCGGCGAAGCACTGGTACTGTCCGAGATCTACATCTGAAGGCCTAGATATTGAAAGTGTACCACGCCCAGTCTGTTGAGAAATTCGATCGTCATACGTTTGCCACATAAACGGTTTACCATTCTTTATCCAATAGTATCTAAAATTGCAAAAACAAAGACAATTTTGTTATTTCATTTTTAATTTTATATGAATTACTTTGGAGCAGGTTCCCCGATAGCTTCACACTCTATGTAAAACGGTTTATCTGTTTCTCCATTCGATTCAACTTGAAATAGCACTTCGTCTGTCGGCGGCTGTTTAACTATATAAGGGGGTGACGGAACTAAAATAAATTCAAATTAATAAAAGTGTACGTATATAAAAATGTAATATTACCTTCTCTAGCTAACGCCGAGCTAATAGATAGTAATAATAACAAAACCGGTTTATCTAAATAATATTTCATTTTATGTCGTCTAATAGACCGCATCTGAAAAAAAATTTCTAATCAAACAAAAACTAAAACAACCGAATGTACATATTATTGAGGAAATCGTTGGAAAAGTATGTACAAAATGATTACACAAAAAAGTTCCTCTTATTTATTATGAAACCTACAAATAACAAACAAATATGTTAAAGATTTGGATCTTGACAGGCCATATTAACATATTTTCAATTATAAGGAAAGCAACATATGTACATCAAAATCAAGGACAATCAATAAAGTGTTACAAATGGTAATCTGTACTTAAAAACGTTAAGCCAGGCCCTTTTTTAAATAATAAAACATTTCAACTATATTTGTATTATAATTTGAGAGGTACTCAAAGCCTTCTTAAATCATGTCTTAAAAAAATCAATACTTTGATTTTTATACTTGCAGTACTTTTTGTAACAAACACCTGAGCTACTACTACTTATTTATTTAGTACACAAATATTATTTAATATAAATGTTAAATAAAATAAGATTTCATTCATAGAAAATATTATCTTGTTAAATTTAATATAAATAGTTTAAGATAGTATGAACTCATTTATTGCATACATAAATTTATATACAAATTGGATGACTCAGTGGAGTCGTGACTAACTAATTCAGTGTTTGACCACATAAGATTAGAACAAAATTGAAATAAATGTAATCTTCAAAAAATGTATGCACTTGGATGCACTCTGAAGGAAGTTTAAGAACAAAGAATTTGTAGATTATATAACAAACATAACTATGTACAATTTACTTTTAAAAACATTTACTAAAGATGCTTAATGGAATATTATTGGACCTGAACATAAATTGAATGATTATTTTATAGTGCTATTCAGAGTCACTAAACCATTTACTCTTATACGTGACATGTAAGTGCTATGTATGTATAAACTAATTGGTTTTAATATTTGTGTAAATGTCTAAAATTTATTTTCAACGACTTTTCGGTTGGATTTCGTTTACTATCTTTCAACATATTTCTTACAAAAGAAAAAATAGGTGAAAAGACAAATATAAATTTTTGTAGGTCATGATGAAATCTATTAAAATTAATGACTATACTAAAATATTTTATTTTAAAACATATTTTCAAACAGCTATACAGAAGTTATCCTTACTACAATAAGTAGGTCATTAACTATTAGAAAATAAGAACAATTTGGTTAGAGAACAGTAGTTAATTTTATTTAGAAAAATGACACGAACATATGAAATATTAACTGCTATTATAGCATATTCTATTCTGAAAGATAAGAAATATATATAATATAGAATTTAACAGTAATGAAAATAATTTTTTGGAATTTCAGTTTCTGTATTATTGAAGGACAAGATAATTCTACTTAAATAAATATGACTTCATTACATAGATGTCAACATTAGAATTAACTAGAATCTAATGATTTATAGCAGTTATTCCAAAAATAAAATATTTTAAATTGGCTCTACTAGCCTTAGTAGGTACTATTCAGAAATACAGTTACTTATACTTAATTAATAAAAGGATTGGTCAAAATGTCATAACAGTTAACTCTCATATTACTGTATAATTGCAAAACTAAAACTATTATGTTAATATTCCGGTTGAAATCTTCCATTTGAATACCTACTAAGCATTTGTTAAGTAAAAGGGTTTTTTCATAACAAAAAAGAAACGATCAAGTGTGTGTGTATGTGTGTAGGTAGATAAGGTTCCTATACTTGTTCCTATATGAATGGCAAATTCTAATCTTTAATAGGTTCAAGATATCGCTTGCTATATAATTTATATAAAAGATAACAGGTGATAAAGATAAGATAAAAACTTACCAAATATTTAGAACTAATATGAGGGGCTACTCATAACGATTCCACACTTATTCACAGTACACAACAAAGATAGGTGCGGTCGTTTCGTTTCGTAGGTACACTAGTCACTAATCGAATATCGAATATTTTAGTACGAAGTAAATCGTTTTGAACAAAATTTAAAAATTACTTCATAGCCAAATGTCTTTTTTAAAATCACCAATTGTTTCTGGTTTCATCGGTTCATTAGGCTAGTATAACAGAAGTTTTCATAATAAAATATTTTTATTCGTAGGCGTTGTGATTTACAGTTGTTTTCTACTGCCATCTAGCGGCTTCCACCTAATACGTTACGTCACTTCCCATGTTGTTGATGCGTCAAGTTCTTGGATTCTGACGCGTCGTGATGCGTCATTTGTTACCACAATCCAGATCACGATATTCTGTAGATAAAAAACTACGTTTCATTCAAATAACTAACTTACATTATACTACTACTACTTAGTTCGCTTAAAATTATGAAAATTAGAATTAAGATATTTTTATTCAGATTAGAATAGTTAGATTGGCTCAACTGTAAAAATATTAAATAGTAGGGCCCTCTAGTGGCAGCTACTCCTAACAGATCCTTCCAAGCTTGGCGCTTTTTTCTGATTCTGATTCTATATTTAGAACACACCGAAATTGAACAAAAATGTGAAAGGAAATGAAGGAATCATGGTCATTATAGAGAAATTTGTAATTAAAAACAAGAAGAAAGTAATTTTTTATTATTTCACGACAAGTTCCTGCAAACAATGGTGTAAAACTATCAGTATTCGTTTTAAATATATACAGAGTGTACCGGAGATTAATTTCTTACAATTTCTCTTTAAAAATTTGAAAAATGATAAACCTGTATGTGTTAGGTGTTTATACTAATACATGTTATGGTTATGTTCTTTATTTTATCATGACTATATAAAATAAGTAAGTACAAAAACTTATGTGCATTATTTTGTAGAAAATCAAAGCGCAAACTCGGATGTTATTCGTCCGACTTTAAACACTGAATCAATATCGTTACATCACGTGCAACGTGCACCGTAAATTGTGTGTGAAAATGGAGGAGAAAGGGCGCTTCTTTTCTATGAGAACGGGAGTTAAAAAGGGGATGACTAGCTAGCTAATGGTAAATCGATAACGCATCAATTGCATACAAGCTTCGCAACAGCTAGTTAAAACTAAAAATGAGCGTGTCGTGAATTAACTGATTGGTGATTGTAAAGTTTCGTAGCCTTAATTCTTCAATTAGATAGTTATCAACAGGTATAACTAGTGAACTGACAGCATGCTGTCCTATAGGTCTTGTACATTTAAGTAGTTTAGTAATATGAATGATTAAACCAGCTCATGAAAATAAGCATAGCATAGTTTCATAATGGCTAAGTAGATTATAAGTAATACATTTACATCATTCGAGTTGTCAGTATGCCTCAAAACAACCCATCCCCGACCGACGTTATTCGTTTAGAACCCCTGGGAAGGTATAAACAAACTCAAAATGGGAACGTGTATGCTTCAGGTAATTAAGTTTTAGTTCAACTTCTCCACAACCGCCTCGCGGATCGCTTAAACACACCAGCCTTTTCTTTGAATCCATGCAGGGATACACCACCCTCTTATTCATGTTCTCAAAATTGCCCTTATTTGTGAGAGTATCTAGAACCGAGTTATTACAAGAAGCATGTTATAAACACTAAACTCTCTAGAGCACTATGTTTTAACTATATCAGATCTTTTGAACAAAAAAATATTAGCAAATCAATTTGAGTCTTATGGGTATGTAATCCGTGCTCGCCCGGTCACAGTTTCACAATAATATATTGCGAGATTTAGCACCAGGTAGTTTTTATTTAAAACAGTAGATATGCACGACATCTTTACCTAAAATTATTTTATTCTTGCATGTACGTTAGTTTATAAATAGTTAATAGCATTTACCATACATCTGCACTAAATTCTGTCATTTCACCCCGGAACAAGCGCGTAGCTAGGGGCGTATCCGGACTAATTTCACAAGGGCGCATGACTTATTTCACCCTCCGGTGTACCGGAATAACTGTACTCGTCTCATGTCGATATTATAACATTCCGCTATTTTATACACGTATTTTTTAACAAAATATATCACAAAAAGTACAACTTCGAAACAATTTGAAAATATCAATGTAGAATTAATAGATTAATAGTTAGTTTGACCAAAACGTGGTGTTCAATGTTCAATCAAAATAGAGAATTAATATAGTGAAAAGAATTAGTGAGTAATTATTTTTCTGAGTGCTTCACCGATTGAAATTCATCCATCACAAGTGCATGTGAATAGGCATTATTGTGGAGGGCAGACATCAAGAACCTTTGGTAAAGGTTTCAGTTGTAACTGGGAATCATAACATCGAGGCAGTTGTCTGGAGGCGCTATCAGAAAGTGATGACCGAACAGGATGTTGACGATGTTGCTTTTCTTACAGGTACAAATCATAGTGTTTCTGCACCCATCACTCACTCAATCTGTCAGTCATCTCCACTCATTCATAATCCCTGTGACACAGGCGGTGTTGTAGGGAATGAAAGTAATGCTGGCACTACGAAGAAGAGCCTTTACGAGAACCATGGAGTTGCGGCATGCTCACATAACAGAGCTCTCTGCATTGCCACCATCGTATTTGCCCTATTATTCACTATTGCCATCATTATTGCCTTTACCGGGCCCCAGAGCGGTAAGTCTGTACATACTTATCCGGTTCCGTAAAAACCTCTTGACCTTTTTTATTATCATATTCATATACGGGGTGTCTCGAATTAGCCTGCAATAGTTTAATTGCAATTTCAACGGAAGAAAGCGACACCCCGTAGAGTAGAATACAGTTTGTTCCAAAACAACATGTAGATATTTTAAGGGGCGTTTTCTGTGGCGATTTTATGAAGAAAACTTCATATAAACATGTGTTTAATGTTCACTTTGAAGATGGTTTTCTTTTAAATATTTTCGAAACGTTAAAGATACGTAAATTAAATTTTACACACGTACCAAACCTTTTATGCCTTGCAATATAAAATTAGATTTAATGAACAAAAAGACCACTTACTATTCTATTTTTCAAAATTTTATAAAAAAATTTGAAATTTCGGGTTTTTTACACAAAAATGGATTTTAGTATCAAGTTTTGTACACGCGCAAAATTTAAACTTTCGAAAATATCAAGAGAACATTGAAAACCAACGGTTTTACGTCACGTGTTTATATGAAATTTCCTCATAAAATCGTCTTACTAGCGGTATCTTAAAATATCTATTCGTTTGATTTGGAACACCCTGTATAAGTAAGAATTTATGAATTTTAAAAATTATCGTATAAAATTGTATTGAATTGGGTCGGGGTTTTAGACTGTACCTGTGCTGGTGAAAAGCCACCAAATTTCGTTGATGAAGGAACAAACATGACTAGAACCTTCGTACCAAGGGCAACAAACGGACAAATTTTTCCATGGAACAATATTCGTCTTCCTACCTCCTTGAAACCTACACGATATAACTTAACAATCCATCCTAATCTTACGACTTTAGAAGTTAGAAGTAAGTTTGGAATTCGTTTAGAAATAAGCAGTTTGTTAGAAATTGGAACGATTTTGTTTATAGGTCAAGTATCCATTGAATTTCACGCAGACAAAGACACAAATTTTATAGTACTTCATTGTAAGAATCTTACTATACTAGATAAAATGATACAAGATAAAAGAGGGTATAATTTAACTATAATTAAACTGTTAGAATATCCCGGAGCAGAACAGTTGTATATAGAAATTAGAGAGAAATTTAGAAAGAGGCACAATTATACTCTGAAAATAAGATTTAACTCAAAATTAAGTCAGGACCCGAAGGGGTTTTATATTTCTAATTATATCAACAAGGACGGTGATAAAAGGTGCATATATTAAGAATTTTATTGGCAATCGCAATTATAAACGTCGCATTTTCAGATATTTGGCGGCAACACATTTTAAACCAACGTACGCTCGAACCGCCTTTCCATGTTTCGATGAACCCCAGTTTAAAGCCAAATTCAGGTTAACTATTTTTAGAGACAGATTCCATATAACTCTTTTTAACACACCTGTAGTTAACACCGATGACTTGGGATTTTACATGGGTACAGGTTTGGTAAGCTTTGGTACAATAAGTTTTTCGTTAAAGAATTTTAAGGTTTAATTTTTTCAGTTACGAGATGACTTTTTGGAAACTCGAGAAATGAGCACATTCCTTGTGGCTTTTGTAATATGTGACTATTCCCATCAAAGCGAGCAAACTGAAAAGGGGGTTTCTGTCTCAGTGTATACTTCAGCACCTTATATGCCACAGGCATCATTCGCCCTTAAAACAGCCACGCACGTCTTAAACTTTTTCGAAAATTTCTTTGGAATATCCTACCCTCTTCCTAAATTAGGTAAGTCCGACAAAATTAAATAAGAACAGTGGCACTTCCAAAATCTATATGAAATTACTTTCAGATCTGGTAGCTATACCGAACTTTGCAGATGGTGCAATGGAAAATTGGGGACTAATTACTTATCGCGAAACTGCCATTTTATACGATACCAATGAAACTTCTATTGCAGCGCATCAGTGGGTTTCCACAATTATAACGCACGGGATTGTGCACCAGGTAATTGCCAAAAAAAAGTCAAATTAACAATTATCTCGATAAAAATGTGTTACTGCTGATTTCTCTTCCAAAATTTTAAATGTTGAAATATTTCCACTAGCGTAAAAAGGGGTGTTGGTTATTAGATACATCAGGTTGTCATGACTTCCGTTTTCCGTTCACTAATAAATTTTCACACATGCACGTTGTCATAAGAATTGGGTATCGGTGTTTCAAAACAATGACGCGATATTTTTACAATCTAAAATAGGAAACAATGTGTGGCGGTTGTGATTCATATGCAAATAACATTCTATTGTTTCATAAAATATAGTTCCGATTATTATATTTTAATTCCAAATACTTTCAAGAGAACAACAATTCGACACTTCCGATTTTTATAAATCGGTAGTGAAATAGAGATTAAACTTTATTCCGTACAATATTTACACTGAATAACATGTACATACATTTAAAAATTATAAAATGTTTGGTATCCAACTGATAATAAACCGCTAATGCAAGTAGTCCTCAAGTTACGTAAATCTTTTAATTTTATTCCGTAACCTGTGATGGCATTTATTTTCGCGGCTGACGTAATAGTTTACTTACTGGCTGTTAGTTTCCTTTGAACAATCATATTTCCTAATAATAAAGAAGATAATGTTTAAATTTAACACATTATTTAATAATAAGTTTCATTCACCTAAGCTGCTGGATGACTAACAGCTAACGTAAATGTCAAGGAATCTTTATTTATAGAATAACATTTTCTTTACTTCTTACGAAAAGTTCTTTGAGGATAGATACATAAACCATTTTGTTGTAGAGCTGCCTAATTGATGTTTTTCCAAAATCGGAAGTTGAGCAAATTATTTACTGATATTACAATGAGATGTTTGCCAATATAACAAAAAACATGACTCGTATTTTTTTTATTTTTTGTGATATTGTTTTACTACCAATTTAAAGCAATGGATTATTAGCACATTAGGACAGGGCCGGCTTTAATATTATATCCCCTATTATACTTTCGTTTCTTTATAATGTACATTTATGTGTATCGAATTTTCCGGCATCATTAATGCAATAAAAGACTTAATAATTTTGCTGATTGATTCAATTTTAGTGGTTCGGCAACCTCGTGACTATGAAGTGGTGGAATGATTTATGGTTGAACGAAGGTGTAGCAATTTATTTTGAATACTTAGGTGTAAATAGTTACTTCCCGGAATGGCGAATGATGGAACAATTTATTATAGATAAAACTCAACCTGCTCTCGCCTTAGATGCACTAACAAGTAGTCATCCTGTAACTGCGGCTGTAAACGATCCATCTGAAACTGAAACTATTTTTGATACTATTTCTTATAGCAAGGTGAATTTATGTTTGGGTTTAGGTATAAAAAAAAAACTATACGTGATAATTATTCCTTTAGGGCGCAGCGATTTTCAACATGTTGGCTAACTTTTTACAAGATGAAATTTTGCAAAATGGCCTTAATGATTATCTAGATACTTATAAGTATACTAATGTCGAAACAAAAGATTTATGGAATGCTCTTAGCAGAAATACCAACCATACACTTGACATAAAGGTAATTTTTTTAATTCCCCTTTTCCATAGAACCCTGCTTTTTACACAATTTTTATGTGTATGAAAATGTTACATAAGTACCTATATAACAAAATAAACTAAATTATAGGTTGTAGTGGAGACGTGGATTAATCAGATGGGTTTTCCCCTTATTACAATCACCCGTGAAGGGAATGAAGTTATAGCAACTCAAGAAAGGTATTTGGTTACTGTGGAAAGTACTAACAGTTCTGTACGTTCCTTACCAAAATCCAAATACGATTATAAATGGTATCTGCCATTAACATATTTTACAAGCAATGACACAGAAACAGTCAAACACATTTGGATGAACATGACAGATGGTATAGAAACTGTTTTATTATGTAATTTATTCCTTACAATCCTTACACTATTCTCATTTTAGTGCGATTTGAATTAGATCCCGAAATACCTTGGATTAAGGCAAACGTAAATCAAACTGGTTTCTATAGAGTCATGTATGACGAAGAAATGTGGCAAGCTCTCATTTATAATTTAAGAAATAATCATTCTTTATTCAGTGCGGCAGACAGAGCCAGTTTAATAGATGATGCATTTTCACTATGCAGGTATAAAAAATGAATTTCAGATTCTGGGGAACACGTAGTAGCAAATTCATTTTTTTTAGAGCCGGATTACTTAATGCAAGTATCCCTCTAGAATTGTCGTTGTATTTAACGAAAGAAAGAGATTATGTGCCATGGGCTACAGCAATAAACCATTTAAAGGCATGGGCACGAAGGTTGTCAGAATCGTTATCATATAAAATGTTTTTAAAGTATATGAGACAATTACTGAAACCAGTTGCGGAGTATGTTGGATGGAAAAAAAGGAGGTCGCATTTAGAAAAGTGAGATTAATCTTAAATTGTAAATATTGTTTTCGTTTTTTGTGTATTTTTTATAGGTTGTTGTGTGTAGAAGTGCTTTCGGCTGCGATATTATGTGAATTAAATGACACTATATCTGCTGCCAAAGTGCAGTTCCAAAAATGGATGCAATCCAATGAATCCATAGATCCAAATTTGAAAGAAGTTGTGTATTCCGCTGGAATAAAATATGGTGGTATTACTGAGTGGCAGCATTGTTGGAATGTGTATAATAATACCACATCTCCAACTGAAAAGAAGCTGCTGCTCAAAGCCTTAGGAACTGCTTCTGATCCTTGGTTGTTACAAAGGTACCTATATAAATAGTCATCCAAAAAAATACTTCATTAATCAATGAGGTTAAAAGGCATTGAGTTATCTAAATATAAATTTAGATGTCTGTAGAAGATTCTTTGCAGGTATTTAATGGAGACTTTGGATAAAAATATGGTAAAACCTGATGATGTGAGAGTGGTACTAGCAGTAGTCGCGGCAAATCCAGAAGGAAGGTTGTTGGCTTGGAGACACCTCAAGGCATACTGGCCCACCATGCATTCACTTTATGGAAATGGCACACTTTTAATGGGTAGTCTCATATCAGCAGTTACCGCACATTTATCAACACCTTATGATTTTTATGAGGTAGTTAAATTTAAAAAAAAAACGGTAACGTAATTATATAATTGAAATGAAACATATATTTTCCAGGTTTCAATTTATTTCTCTGGAATGAATGTAGGATCAGCATCAAGATCTTTAGAACAGAGTCTAGAAATAATAAAATTAAACATTAACTGGGTTTCTCAAAATGAAGAAGAGATATACATTTGGCTGCGCAATAATGTTAAATAGATGTAGTTCTTAAGACTAACTTTTACTATTTCTTTTTAGAGTTTTTATTTATTTAAATATCTGAGTACTTATATTTTTATATTTTTATATGTACCTATATATTGATTTTTGTATTGTGCATTATTCAAATTGACATGAATTAATAGGATATTTTTATCAGAAAATATTGTCTTCTAAAATACATTTTCATTATTATAAAGTATTTTTTATTAATCCAAGGAAACACCAACTAATCATTTCTAAAAATATAGAAAAAGAATTAAATTTCAAAACTGGCAAAGGCATATTTCACATAAAATAAATAAAAAAATTACATCAATAGAGTAAATTTATAAAAATAATATTTTCTTACTAGATGATTTTGTGATTAATTACAATGCATATTTTAATTCCCCACAAAAAAGTGTCCTAACACCTACCGAACAATGTTTGAGTTGTTCGTTGACAATTTGAAATGAAAAGAGAAATGTCAAATTTCTCTTCTACGCGTTATTCTGCATTAAAATCCGATACTTTTTAACATAATTCAGCGGACCTTGTATCTCTTAAGATAACTGAGAGCCCAATGGTGGGACTCGGAAAACGGACACCCCTGTATACAGTTTGTAACTAACATGATTGAATTGAACTTAACTAAGCTTTAATGGTGGATTCTACGACACAAAAAAAAATTACGAAAGTTATGTAAATAATACTGTTTTATTCATAAAAAACGTGGTTAGGTTAGGTAATTATTTTTATTCAAAAATAATTTCAGGTTTTTTTGAGTACAGTTTTCATGCTCTACTTGCAAATTGACTTTACTGTCCGCGAAAAGCTGGAATCATCACTAAAACCATAAGCCTACAGAGGTTTAGTTATTATTATTAATTAGCAAAGTGAAAGTGGGGATAGAAAACAGCCAGTATTATAAGTAGGGTAGGATTGCTTTTGCTTTCAATGATTTCTGTTCACTGGACTGGAATCGTTACTAAATTCCAGTACCTACTGGATTTTAGAAATTTAGAAAGTTACTAGCGCCGTATATATCGTTTTATTCATTGGAGTGGAATCATTACTAAAACCAGTGCTAAGTACTGAAATACATAATACTAAAAAATTATTTTCATTTCCAGTTGAGCACGAAACACGAGCCACTAGCAGAAATAGTGAACGAAAAGCACGCAGTTAATTTGTGGCTAATTAACTACAAATTAAACAGAAATTCTTTTGAAATTTTGTAGTGCCGCTATTTAGTTATGGTGTCCTTCTCATCACATTTATTGGTGGGGGGGTCACATAAAAAATAGTCAGTCACCTGTCATCGTCATGTGATGTGAATAATTTTACGTCAGTTGTTGTTAAACATAACCTAGCAACGTTATCGATTAGTCACTGACGTCAAAATATTAAAATGTTTTGAAGTATTTTGCAATTTTCTTTCTTTCACTGATTTAACAATACACAAATGTAAGTTTTACGTGTAAATATATTGAATTTCGGTAAATTTCTGCGTCATTAGTTTTAGAAAATGGAAAATTTAAACAGAGACTCGCAAGAATCTCAGGAAAATGTCCGAGTTTTTATAAGAATACGTCCACTTAGTAAAAAAGAAATTGCAGAAGCAAACGAGAACATTGTTGTTTGTGATCACAAAGAAAATCTGATAGTTTTGAAGAAAAATGGCGAACACACGAAACCTTTTAAGTTTGATCACATATTTGCACCAAACACCGCTCAAGTAAGTCTATAATTATGGATGATTCAATATATTTTATCTAAAACTATAATGTAATTTTTTTAGTTGGAAATGTACCGTATGGTAGCATATCCAATAGTAGAAAAAGCATTGGAAGGTTACAATGGAACGATATTTGCGTACGGTCAAACGGGCACTGGTAAAACTTATACCATGGCGGGGAACCACATGGTCCCCGAATTTAAAGGAATAATACCGAATACATTTTCCCACATTTTTAGCCAAATTTCGAGGGCTAGTGGTGAAAAATCTTTCGTAGTCAAAGTAACCTATTTGGAAATTTATAACGAAGACGTAAGAGACCTTTTATCAGCCGATCCGAACAAAAAATTAGCAATAAGGGAAAGAAAAGATATCGGCGTCTACGTAAAAGATTTAATGGGCTTCACAGTAGATTCAATAGAATCTATAACCGAATTGCTTAATAGAGGAAATAAGAATCGAGTAACTAGGTCAACGTTAATGAATGATGTCAGTAGTAGATCTCACGCAATTTTTACTATTACAATCGAGTCCAAAAACCGAATTGACAATAAAACTACAGTCGGAAAATTAAATTTGGTTGATCTAGCGGTAAATATGTTATAAGAACTATTTTTGACCAATGTATATGCAAAAACAATATATTTTTAGGGTTCTGAACGTGCTAGTCGTACGCAAGCTACTGGTGAGAGACTTCGAGAAGCCAGTAACATTAACTTATCGTTGTCGGTATTGGGCAATGTTATTTCTGCTTTGGTAGACGGTAAAAGTACTCATATACCCTACAGAAATTCTAAATTAACAAGATTGTTACAAGATTCGTTAGGTGGGAATTCTAAAACTGCAATGGTAATATTATTTCTATGCATACACTACATTTCTTTAAGCTTTTGTATGTTTTTAAATGTCTTGCAGATTGCTATGGTCAGTCCTGCTGACGTTGATTACGAAGAAAGTATGTGTACGTTACGTTACGCTGCAAGAGTTAAATTCATCAAAAACTGTGTTAAAATTAATGTTGAAGAAAAGGGACTTATCGAAGGATTCGAATTGGAAATTGCGGAATTACAGCAAAAGTTGGCAGAATTATCTGTGCAGGAACAGAAAAAAGAACAGGTAGTCATATTCGTCATATATTCTTAAACAAAAATTAATGAATATCTTTTAGAAAAAGAAAGATAGAGTCGCAAGCGCTGAGGAAAAGGAGAAAATAAAACAAACCAACTTAGAATTAGAAAAAACAGAGTAAGTTCTTGTTATAATTTAACTTCCGATAAATCTGTTCATTGAAATATCTCTTTCAGACGTATGAAGGCCGAGTTAGAAGAAAAGATGGCTTTAATTCAGAAGAAGATTTTAGTTGGTGGAGAGAATTTACTAGAAAAAGCCCAGCAACAGGCTTTCTTCCTGGAATCATCGGCGGCAGAATTGGAAAGCTTAGATAAAAGTCATCAGCAGCTAGAGGAACAATTGAATAAAAAAGCTGCTGAAAAAATTGACGTAGAGGAACAGTATTCTTCGTTACAAGAAGAAGATGCAGGTTTATCAAAGAAACTTAAAAAAGTTCAGGCATTTATTAAAGAAGCCAAAGAAGAGCATTCAGATAAGGAACGCGAATACCAAAGAGATTTGGAGGCTCTTTTCGACAATAATAGGTTATTAGTGAGGGAATCTCAACTAGCCAACCTTATTATCGATAATTACATACCTCAGGAATATTTAGTATGTATTTGAATTAGTTACGGATTAATGTTTTGGTGATTTTTATTTTAATTTTCAGAAAAAAATTCTGTCGCATTTAATCTGGAATAACGAGACGCAGGAATATCAAATGCGCGGCGTCGCCTACACGGGGAATAATATGAGGAAGCGCCAAACGGCGAATACAGAAACTTTCACGCCCGTTAAATTCGAAATGAAGCAAGTTTACCACAAGTATCCCGAGAAGAGGCGAGAGAAACCTAAAGAGAAACGGTCCATGCTTAAGAGCTTCTCCGCTGTACCAAAGTCACGTTAATAGATGTATATTTTTTCTTAAACATGTTATATAAAGTTAATTTATCGTGCTATTTATTTATTTATTTTTATGTGGCTGTGTTTTCGATGAAATTTATTATATTTAATGGTTAGATATTGTATAGGTCTTGTTTAACCGCATTGATACGATTGTGTAAAGGCGTAAGACCGTTATTTCCATAAATTTCTTAATTACAATTTACATCTGGTTGTAATTAAGTCGTTTAATTCCTAAGTATTAAAGTTATGTATTAAAATACCATGTACCGGGCTTGCAAGTGATAATTTTCATAAACATTTAGATACGGAAATGTTATAAACTATCTGAAATAAATAAAAAACTTGCACATACTTTAATCTTGCCTGTTTTATTTGTGTCTCCATTTGTGAAAGTGCTTAAATTTCTCTTTCGCATAAAAAATCTTATGGTTGAAGTGGCAGGAAGTTAGAAATTCAGCCGCCATTGAATTTGGTGTAAAACTGGTTGCATACATTTTCAACGTGCCACAATCAAGTACTCTCATATGAGAGTACTCGAGTACATGTTAGTTATGAAATGTTGGAAGTACCGCTGGAGAAATGGGCCGATTAAGAGACGAATTTAGTCGCACTAGTGCAAAACTAAATACCAGGTGGCCTATGACCTTCATCAAATATTGATATTTCGCTTCATGTTAAGTACCAACTAAATATAAAAAATTGTTAATAAGGTTGGCTACCGGCTAGTAATGCTGGGATCTTGTTTTCCTTTGCATTAGCTTTATTTTGGAATTATCTTTTTGAGGAATTTTGGTACTTATTTTATTTATTCCTACTTAAAATAAAACTTTAGTAGCTTTAATGACCAATTTTTAAAAATTTTCGCCACTTAAATCGCATGACGACGTGGATTATTAATTATGGTCGCGTACGAAAATAAGCGCTCCATGTTGGTCGATAATGGTAGGCACGTATTATAAATAACGCACGAAAAGTTTCTTTGCACACAGGTAGTCATGTAACATGGAGAAATTGATCCTTTTGTCTGCTAGTGCTGCTGATATGATAATACACCACTTCCGTTTCACTTCACTCACTGATGGCTGGCATGAGGCTGTGGTGGGAGGTAGCGAAGCGTGCAGCATGGCCGGGATTTGGCAAGTGTACATAAAAATGTACTCATTTCATAAGACAATGTATTCGAGTACAAGGAAATACTGAGTACCAAGTACACTGAAACTACCCCGCTTGTAATATAATATAAATGTATTAGGGTGGCCCAAAAAAAAAAAAGAATATTTTTTTTTTCGTGTCTTGTGAAAATATGTTAGTTTATCATGTTTTAAGAGCCCCCTCAAAAAATCAGCTCAAAAAAAATTTTTTTAGAGGTCGCTCAAGATTTTTAAAAATTTCCAAAATCGTCTATATTGAATTTTTTTTTCTCGTTATTTTATCATTTTCTAGGTTGAAAAAATCTCGATTCTGAAAATTTCAAATCGGTATTTTAATTTCTAAAGGTCGCTCATAATTATTTTAACTTTAAAAGTAGTGTACCTAAAATGTTTTCGAGCGACCTCTAAAAATAAATATCAACAAACTAATAATTTTTTTTATTGAATTTGACGAACAAAAGAAATAAATCACACTTAAAAAATTTCTCGAGGCAAAATTTACTACCACACTGTATCAAATATTTATAATTGTTTAAAATTTAAGTGTGGTGATTTATTTCTATTTTTTTGTTCATCAATTTCAATAAAAAAAAAAATATTAGTTGATATTTATTTTGAGACCGCTCGAAAACAGGTACACTACTTTGGAAGTTAAAATAATTATGAGTAACCTTTAGAAATTAAAATATCGATTTGAAATTTTCAGAATCGAGATTTTTTTCGATCTAGAAAATGATAAAATAACGAGAAAAAAAATTTTGAAAAAAATTCAATTATTGACGATTTTGGAAATTTTAAAAAATCTTGAGCGTCCTCTAAAGAAATTAGTTTTGAGCTGATTTTTTGAGGAGGCTCTTAAAACTTGATAAACCAACATATCACAAGAGGCACGAAAAAAAAAAAATTCGTTTTTTAAATAAAATGTATACTAAAAAAAAAGCAGATAGTATGTAAAATATATTTATTTTTGTTTGTAAAAAGGCAAGGATTGGAATATAAAATAATCAAGTATAAAATATATAAAATCTTAAAATTACACTTACAATTGAAAAAATATCAACACCTTTTAATAGGCAGTGATACATTTTGTACTAACCACACTTTGTAATTTCACAAGAATATATGTATATAAATTATGTTACAATAGACATATTTTTGTGAAACAAAGCATTATATACACGATTTTTAAATACACCCTCTTGCCACGTTAAATTATATTTGTTTTAAATAAAATATAGTTTATTTACAAATAATATAATTTTCTGATAAAAGTATATTCAATAGTGACGAGAAAAATGACTGGTATAATACTTATTTCAGTGTACAACAATAAATAACTTCAATTTCACTAAAATTGACGATAAAAACAAAATTACAATTGCATGCACTTGGTTTAAAAATTAGTTTCGTTTCTCGCTGTTAGGTCATAAACGTATTTTATTACAATTTGAGAACGTGAAGATGTTAACGGCGCTCCTACTTTGACTAGAACCTTTACCGTGTAATAAAGGTACAAAAAATAGTACTATCCTTAAACACATACCGCAATGATAATTCATATAAATTAAATTTCAGGAAGAATCTCTTAAAACGTTTTTGATAATTGGAGCAATTATTTGGTAACTAGGACTCTATATGGTAATTTAAATGCACTAATACAGTTACGTACACTAAAAAGTTATTCTTTTACGTGCAACATATCAATAAAAGTTTTCGTCGTACTCCTACTTTTGGGGCAAAATGTTATCTGTTCATTTGCGTGTGTGTAGTTACAAAATGTAATAAAAACAGTGACTTTATGACCTCGCACTATTTTTTAATTAAACTAGAGTTGACAGCTCGTGTGGCGAATTAGTAGTTGCAACGCTACTTAAATCCATAGTGACTGTAGGCATTCCCGGGCTTACAGATCCACTTGCTTCTCTAGGGTGTGAGAGTTTGGTTAAATTTAAATTATCGCCTGTAGGTGGGGTTGTGGTCGATGGTCTCACAATGTAAGGTCCATTGTGAACAGCGGTGATTGGATGGCCAAAGCTATGGTTATAATTACTGACATGGGAATGATTTAACTGTGTGGTAGGTGCAGCCGTTATACTATGAAATGAATTGTGGTGTTGACTTGATTCGTGTTGCTGTAAAGCCAATTCTTTAACGGCATTCGTTTTCTCCTTTTGCCAGATGAACACGTTATGGACCATAGCACAACCACAAAATATTATTCCTAGTCCTATAAATACACTTGTTACTATGGCAGGGGTTGAATGGAACTGGATGAAGGTATAGAGAATTATACCTGAAAAATAAAATTATCGTCAATAAACGAATACTAAAAACATAAATTAATAAACAAGTTGAAATATGTATGATATTTTAAATTTATTATTTAATAATTAGCTTTATCGTTATTTTTCCTAATACAGGATGTTTTTGAAAAAGGTACCATCAATTTGGGGACTGAACGTTAAATATTAATTTTTGACCATCTGCTAGAAGCCGCTTATATGACCTTACCAAGAGACATTTTATAACATTATTTAGGTTACGTTGTTTACAGTGCATGTCGTATAATGTAAAATTTAATTTTACATGAAAAATTACTTTTTTAAATAGACGTAAACGCAATGTTTTTGAGACAAATTAAATTGACTGAAACGAATGAGTTATACTGTAAGGGTAGCTTCCTTTGATGAAAATAAATCGATTTAGATCAAGTTACCGTAACACAATGTTGCTTTTTTATCTGAAGTGTGAAATGGAACAAACATATTTTTTTGGCCGACAACTTTAGAAGCAAACAAAATTGTTCTAAAGTAACTTGACCTAAATAGGTCTATTTCCATCCGAGGAAGCTATCCTTGAAGTATGGTCCGTTTGTTTCTGACCACCCTGTATATTAAGGTATATAAACTGGTTGCCTCTGGACAGCTAATTGCGTTTTTCTTATAAATGGTGCGTTTTCAGAGGTGTCAACAAGAGTATTGTTTTTATAAAAAATTAAATTTCACATTGTAATATAAATATGACATAAAATATCTTTGATGCTCTATAACTAAAAAAACAAAACACGATAGGCCCATAGGGTGTTTTGAAATTTTAAAAAAACTTTTTACTGAATGTATCATCTACACAGTATTAAAAAATATAACAATATAATATAAACGTTACCCCTACCTGTTAAAAATACTGGTATCGATATAAAAAAACCTCCAACTGCACAAACTCGACTGACAGACGATTTTTGGAGATACTTGTTTGTCCTGAAAAATTAATAATACATATTAGTCCTTCCAACCAATTTTAATATTTAAATAAGTAAACATATCACTCAATTCGTTCTAGTTTCTAGTTGTTTTTATACTTCATTAGAAAATACAATATATCAAGGTTAAAGTAGATCAAATAGTTCATATTAAGGATCATAATTATGCTGTAAATATTATTATGAATTCTAGAAAGTCAACTTAAGTCAATTGTAGTTGCAATTATAGTGTTTATTTTAATTTTTGGTGGTCTTGTGTAAAGCCAAATATCTTATTTAGTGGATAATCAAAATTTTCAAAGGTATAATGAAAAATGTTTTTTTTTGTAAGAGATGGAGCAGTGTTCAAGCAACAAGTTTATACTCGTTTAACATTTAATGGCGCGCCAGAAAAAAACGGACTAAACATCAAATCCGTGCAGTAAAATCTGTGAAGAAACTATAGACCTTCACAAGGTCGGCTTATGGACATAGCACTCAGAACGCTTCGGCAATCAGAGGCGTATCTTTGAAGCATAGAGTTCGAGGTATTATCAACACAACACTTTTTTAAATTAATTTCCAGTGGTAAAAATTAAATAACACCCACGATACTTTTTGCTCTTTGCTACAGTTTGCTTAACCGTATAGAAAAGTGTTACAACTGCAACGTTTAAAATATCTTTCTTACATTGAACAAATGTTACGCCACTGGCACGCGGCAACGAAACCACACCTTTTATCCCCTCCGTTTTCTACTACCTGTTTTGATACAAGTTGTAGTAAGTACTTGATTTATTAGAAACCCTTAGCTGGCAAGATTCCCTCGTAACAAAATCTGCTCTAGCATGCTATGAATTTGAATTTTATTCGACCTAAATACGTATACCTATATGGTCGGAGGTATTAATTTGAAATATGCCAATTTCCTACAAACAGGTAGAGATCTTGTATTTTTGTTTGCTCTGTTTTATTCAAGGCAAAAACTTTAAATTCTTATTATAAAGGTTAATATACGGGGCACGTTGTTTTTTATTTGTTTTAGAAAGTAACCTGTATCATATGACTCGACTTTAAAAATATATCTTGGTTTTAAATGGCTAATTATCACGAATAATTTAATCTCTATAGACAGTTAATTTATTTAATTGTTTGGATAAGTTTAATTTAAAATGGAATGTTAAATACTTAACGCGGTAAACTTTTGTGGAGGTAACACGGAACATTTTCCCGCCATTTAACTAGCGTCATATAGCACGAGCGTTAAAACAAGACATAACTGAATACGAAGACTAATGAAGGTTTTGCAAAAATAATCCATCATAATTTAGAGGAAAAAGCATAACAAAATAATTGAAAAACTTTTCTATTTAATAATTATTAATTAATAAAATAAGTTTAAAATAAAGCAAGTAGAGCAAGTCAGCCTTCATTAACTCGAGGGTCAGCTGTTTTTTTCTATTTAAATAATATTTTATGTGGTATTTCCATCAGCAATGTAGCCTTAAGGTTTATGAGAAGGCGTCGTACAGAAATTTTATAGTCAATAATAGCCACTAAGATATCTTCAGGATGAAAATGTAAAAAATATATATTTATTAATTGAAAAACATGAATATTCATTACTCTACAAGTTATATGTAGGTACAGTTTGCCAGTTTAAAGTCAGAGGACAGGATCATGTATTTTTATGTGTAGGCGTTAAAATTAACATTTTTAAAACTTCCAGTGAACACAACTACGCTCCTTTTGAGTACACAATTCTTTCTTTATGCCTTACACACACTTTATTTATTTTTACAATTAGTCTTAAGTTTGCTCGAGTTTTTTAAAGATAAAAACTAGTGTCTCACAAAACTTCCTGTATATACATATTGTATACAAGGTAAAAATTACTGGTTTGATATTACAATGTTGATGTAATTATAAAGGCATCCAGTTTTTTATATGTGGAAGCCATTTAATACACTGCTTTCTTTGAACGTTGTCTCATCTTTTGTTAATTTATCTTTTATTTACGCATAATAGGTCCGTGACATAATGGAAGGTAAAGAATGTGACTTAAGACCACGCATTTGAAATCCAAAGGAAATAACCATTCCATATTATAGTATACATCGCTCAAGGCTACATCTTAAAAAAAATAATCACCAAAGTACTTCTGCGAACCCCACGTTCATAAAGCCGGTCGCACACGTAAAGCTGTACTGCGCTGTGCGATGCCCTGTCAAGAGGCTTGGAGCCGTGCTGGCTTACAACAGCACAGCATAGCTTTCGGTATGCGGTCGGCTTAAGATTGACAAAGCAATCAATCATTCTTACGGGTCTGCTCAGTCTATATTCTCGTCTAGAGAAGTAGGTTCAGATATAAATTCTTCATACCGAATCCCGACTACTTAAAGCATAAAAGTAAAAGAATGCGTATGGAATATTATCGGCACATTAGCGAAATTACAAACAAACCATGTGATGCCAATATAAGCATATGTTGAAATATCTTACCAAGTCGTTTGCCAGAACTGGCAGATTTTTAATTTATCTTATGAATAGTACCATAAACAAGGATCATACTCTCGAACACATGGCCTAGCAATAATAACTACTGATCTTTGTGTTTAACAAAACGTGGGAAATAACTTGCGCTGTATCTAATTTAGAATTGAAAGAAATTATTTTCTACATTCACTACATTAACAAAAAATTGAAAATCACAAATTAACGGTTCAAATTGAAATATAAAAAAATAGAATGTTCTAATATGTTTTGAATCAATAGAATAACGTAAATATGTTTCTAATGCTGGCACAGGTTTTATATTTTTCTACGTATTGTAAAAAATTTAATTTATTACTTCTAAGCACTTTTCAGAAAAGGAATAACAAATTTTTTACCAGTAAGTAAAAATTCGAGATGAGATAAATAAGACCTGAATGAATGAATAAACAAAATTGGATGTGCGGTAATTAGAAAGTGACAAAACCAAATAACATACATTTAGAGTGTCAAGTCTTCAATTTTTAATATTTCTCGAGTTTATTTGATAATTTACAATTAAGAACCAATTAAACGAGAAAAAAATTGAACTGAAACAATTTCACAAGTTTCTGCAATTAATCATCAAAAATGCAGGAAACTAAACAGTATTAGTATTATTAATCATACTGATGCCTGACCTGTTACAGAAATTAATTGTCTCATTTATAATGTTAGTTTACAAAGAAAGCTACTTACAGTTAACGTTGATTTAAACCAGAAAAATCTCGCAAAAAATAAAAATGAAACATTTTGGTGTATTTAGGACACCCTATATATGTTTATGGACGTACGCGAGGTCGCAAACCCTGTCAGAGTGTCAGAACCCTGTATTATCATCTTAAGATTGCTAGCCAACAGCGAGCGAGATTTGCTTTTAAATCACGGTGGCTATGACGGTGACGCCAATATTTTTTAACAATTGTTTTCATAAATTCGTAGTTAATTTAATTAGTCTAGTGAAATTCGCGATATGCGTTGTGTCGTGTGTAGTGTAGTGTATAATAAGTGGTACTTGCAAAATTACTGGATATTTGTTTACGTGTGAGAAAGCCTGGTAGAAAAGGGTCGAATGTTTTTAACAGGTAATTAGTAATCTATCTATTAAAACGCCTAAAATTTACGTTTACCAATAACTTTGCATTGTTAATCAAGAAATAGAAATAATCAAAATCATTGCTCCTGCAATATTAACCACCAAACACGACAAAAATTAACAGTGTTGTTATTTATAATCACCGATAAATTGTAAAAATTAAAAAATACATCCCAAGTTTGTTAATTATTTATAATATTATGTACTGGCAAAAGCTCAATTAAAAAGTGAACCGTTTCAGTACTGATCGATACAAAAAACTATTTAGCAAACAGGTTTAGAGGTATGTAAAACAAACGATAAATGACGTCACCCAACACTGCCAGAAATGTCAGAGCCCTTTATTACCTTCTTAGACAAACAGCCAATAGCCAGCGAGATTTACTTTTAAATCGCAGTGGCTATGACCGTATTAGACAAACTTTTCTTCGAGGCGACGCCAATTTTTAACAATGTTTCGTTGAATTCGTAGTTAACCAAGTGTCATTTGTGATTTGTGATTTATGATGTATTTGTGTAGTGTGTAATATGTGAGATCACTGGGTATTTCGTTACGTTTGACAAAACTGGTAGGAAAGGAAACAACATGTTTTTCAGAGGTATTTCCGACACTATTTCTAATCTATTGGTCTCGCTGTTGATGCAGAATTTTTGATAATTCGAACGTGAAAATAATTTTTTACATTAAAACTAAATCGCCTAATTTCGTGAGGAGAATCTACGAATTTCTGTGTTTATACCACTTTGAATACTGCAATAGCATCACAAAATATGGAACGTATTGGTACTTAGTTAAAAAATTCCAAATGAAACAAGTGGCCAGTCAGTAGTAGGTACCTACATCAGAAAAGTTAATATTTTTTGTGTACTCGAAATACGATATAAAAAATTAATTGACTACTGGTCTGGCCATGACATTTAGGAAGTTAATTGCTAACGAAAGCAATACAGGTAGATATATATGTTTGCATTCAGACAAAATTGGTCAAGCCTCTTTCGGGAAGCGTAGGTTGTCATGACATCTAATTTGTACTGTTTTAAGTAAAAGCTTCAATTTATAAAATAATTGATCATTTATGAGATTTGCTCCGTGAGATGGAACTGTTTAATAACTTCCATTTTCCCATATCTCTAACCAAGTCCTATAGCATCCATTTAAGTAGTAATTACAGCTCATTGTACAGAACAGGAAGTGGGAGTCTGAAGATATTTATGAATTATTTATTAACTGCTATGTGAAAAATTATATCGCTCAGTCAGTTTGTGTGATCGTGACTGATTTTTTTTTACTGTTTTTGTCAATCTAAGTGAGCGATAGTACGCGATTCACGCCACTGAAAGTTCGAGTCGCTAGGTGTTGAAGCTTACACACCATTTAATTTTGAAAATATAGTTATTAATTTTCTCCAGGTTTCTCTAACTCGTTTCAGTAATTGTGCATTTCTCCGTTTTAAGCTTTTCTAATGTTTTTTTTACTCATCCATTATGTGACGCTGTACACAGCCATCCGTGTCACTTTCTAACAGTACATAAACGAATAAAAAACGTATAATGTGTAAAAAACATTCTAGCACAATTTAGTCGCCCAAGCATAACAAAACTGTTTTTTCTCTGTTAACTACAGTTCTAATTAATTACAGAGTAACATTGTGAGGGGCAATGAATGATATCAAACTCAGATAAAAATTAACTGGCGATTGTTTGATTTTTATAAGATTTGATATTAGGTGCAATTAAAAAATTTTGTACAGGGTGTTTTCAAAATAAGTAGTACAAATGGTACCGGTGAATCGACAGCTGAAAAGAACACGTTTTGCATAAAAATTACCTTGGTAAAATATTCACCCCTTAGGACATACAGCCCTTGGTGGGGGCTGTTATTTTTTGCTACAATTTTTTTGATTAACAGAAATTGAATATTCAAAAATACGTATCACATAGCCTGGTTTATTTTAAAATTTTTACTTCTCACTTTTTTGCTTTAAAATTAACCGTTTATTAACAAAAAAAATTACATTCGCATTACTACTCGCACGATTGCAACTAAGAAATATTTAAGTAGGTAATATTTGTACTTTTCTTTTGAAAACACCCTGTATTCTAAAAAGTGTGATTACAAAGGATTGAAAAATAGAAAAAAATCAAAATGGATTACTTCCTTTCGATTATGCGAATAAATTTTAATTATGAACAACTCTTCCTAATGAAATTGTGTGATATTTTATACAAGGGGCAATTTAGTTACACAGATTTTTTTTACCAAGGCCTACTTAAATTTTAGAAATAAAAATACTTTACAGATTATTTTTAACCAGGACAATTGTTCCTCAAAATGTAACTTGCGGTAAAAACTTTATATTACATTTACATACATTTTAAATGTTGAAAATGTGCTTCTATATTTCTAACAATTTTTTATTAGGGGACACCCTGTATATGTTGACACATTTAAAACAAACAGAATTTTTTCATATATCAAAATAAAAGCTTTTTCTTAGTACATATTATAATTTGATAGGTAATACCTCGTTTAAATTAATTCCTCGGCAATTATTTTCAAAATATATGTAATTTTGAGCGACATTGTCTGGTACAGAAAGAAGTCCATTATTTCCTTCGAGTATTACAATAAATGAACTTTTAATAACAAGTATTACGGATCGTAATACCTTATCTAATTGTGTAAGAAGAAAAGAACAAAATATAATTATGTACGTAAGAGGTATGCAGAGGATGTAATGTTTATGATCTTTATATACATTTCATCCGGACATTCCTGTTTTGTGTTACATAAGCAGTTCATTGATTTCAAGAAATAAGAATGTAAACATATTTATATGAAATATAATTACATACCTATCGTTTCCTCCGTGTGGACTCTTAACTAATTTAACGGCGAACAAGAACTGGATAGCACACACTAGGAGGCAGCATAAATTCAGTGATAATGTTAACGCACATAAAGCCAGTGTCACTTCATACACTACCACGTATTCTTCGGCAGTTATCACAGTCAACTGTTCCGATCTCAGAAGTTCACGTATATCATTAGCTGTCACGGGTGATATCTTAAGAAGGAATATTAATGACAACAGAGCTAACAACAAGCTTACTAAACACAGCAACCCAAGACTCACTAACATTTCCTTCACACCCACCTCTTTAGACTTTGCTATAAACTTATTTACAGTACTTTGATTCCGCACCCTCGATATATTTAAACCACCATTCAATGCTTTGCCAGGTGCCGGTGGTAAAACCGTGTTGCTATATATGGAGTGTTTAGAATTATCCAAATTTGTAGTGTGAAGCTGTGAAACGTTGAGGGGATACTGTTGGGATATTCTGGAGCTGTTGGCGTTTGGGGATCGATACCGATGGGGCCCCTGGTCCACCCTCGGTTCCATAACCATGGAACTATCTGGTCGGGAACCTCGGCTTGAGATACCTCCATTTGTTATATGCTTCAACATCTTTACCACCTTCCACAATCATTTGTGTGAGATAGCTTCTCTCCAACCATTTAAACCAGTGATTGGTATCACTGATATAATTTTTCCACATATTCTAACAACATTTTTTATTTTATCTTCGAATTTTTTATATCCATCTTATTCCTCATTCTGTTCTTATATCTCTAATCATCTAAATTGCGTTACGTTTTTAACATGGTACTCGAAGTGTACGAAAACCATTCAAAAATACAAGCGATTGCGACACAGGGGCTGTCTAACGGTCGCTTCATTAGGAACTGATTAGAACTGAAACAAAAAAAAAAATTTCATTCACAATATCTTGGTTTTAAGATCGGTGTTTTGGTTTCGGTTTAACGCTGCGGTTAAATGCATTAGATTAGTTGACATTCATGTTCAGTCACCAGTCGGAAATATTAGATAGGACTATCTTCACTAACAAAAACAAAAGTGTAGTAATTGTATTGTATAACAGTTATATAATATCAGTAATTTTTTCTACTACGTGCTGTCATTAAACAGTAATTTATTGCTGATATAAAATTAGAGTGCCATGTTAAAAGCTTTATATATTTATTGACATACGTATTCGCCTTCTATTATAGTTATGGTTCTGATACACGAATTCGAATCAAAGATTTAAGGCACAATTTCTTAAAAATGCACGTATTTTTTTTTTACTTGTAAGTCGAAAAACCATTTTGATTTGTCGGCAATAACATTCGACCCTGACCATTGCCATTGCCATCTGACTTAAAAAATGTATCTAAAATAATACTTGTTTGAGTTATATGCCAGACATTGTCCGTATACAGCCGAGACAATGACATCACTTGTGTGTGGCAAATCTAAAAATATTCATAGATTGGTTGCCGAAAATGAGCAACGATCAATGAATGGACAATCTTGACATTGGTCTGTACAGAGTGTATTTATCTGCTATAACATAATAGACCCCAACATAATCGGTTGTGTGTAAAAAGGAATTTACTCTTAGGATTACAGATAAAGGACAGTTTGTACTTTGATGTAAACGAAGAAATTTGCAATTCAACTATGGAAAGTAAATAAATTGGATTTCAAAACGAATAACTATGTTAGTATAATTTCTACTTTCTATAAATAAGTAAAGCTTGACTATCGACGCAATACTACGTATACAGTAAATTAAAATTTCATGCAAACAAATTAATATGTAACTTCTCCAAGCTATAGGCATAGAACATATTAAAAACTGTGGCAGAGAATTTTTACTATAAGATTAAAGTCCGAGATACTTCACCTCTGTTGCTTGTGAAGTCAACATTCATCTCTCGTAACTACATGAATAAGCTGGACAAATCGGAACTAGTTTTCAATATATGAATGGGCCAAAGTTATAATAATACCTACATTTATCTGGTAATACGAGACAAATCATCTGTATACCAGATGAATGCAACAGCCTATATTTACTCTAAAAATGGAATTAACCAAGGGTCAAACCGCGTTCAAAATTTATGCGCCTTTTTGGCCATTTATTTAAATTAAAAATGAATGAATCAAAAGTCAGTGATCTTTTTTATTTCAATTTTGTTTGGGAAGATGTGATAATATGTTTCCAAAAGGCTAACACATATTTTTGTTTCAGGGGTCAGGTAAGGGCATCTGGGGGGGACATACTGGCCATGGAACAGGGGTAAGTTTTTTGCATGCTATTATTTTGCGTAAACACAGAATTAGTTCAAAAATTTTCCCCAATTCTTTTCGATGAAAATGACGCAAACTAAATCGAATTGATTTAATAATAGTTGACCAGGAAGGAATCGTACCCTCTTGTATGTCAATAATGTTGGTAAATTGAGCCCAATTATGCGGTGTATCGGTGTGTGAAAAATAGGAAATAGAAGTAGAAGCCACACAACTGTTGTAACGTATTTTAGTGTCTTCCCCTTGCACCTGCTATAATTTTAATACTGTAATATTCCAACTTCAGACAATTAGTTATGGTTAACTTAATAATTACTTAGTATGTATATAGATCGAACAAAAAGATAATAATTAAGAGATTTGGGTTTGTCATTTAATTTGCATTTATATCGTTGCTGTTCATTTACCTCAATAATTGGCTAATAAATTGTGTTATCAAATCAATCGTGCGATAGAGGCAAGGACTACATGCATATTTATGTTTAAAAAAATCTAAATTGTCACCAGATTTTTTTATTATACGTCAAATTCTTCGAGTGGTTGAGCGGAATTAATTAATATTTAATAATCTAATTTAAATATTTATTATGACCTACCTAAGTAATAATAATATTTATGTAAGGTAAACCATACTTGAATAGCAAACCAATTATTGTTTTACTAAAACAAATATAAGCAGGTATAATTTCACAAGAGTACACCTGTTTGTTTTACTGCTTAGAACACCGATAAATTAAATGAAAAAACAAGTTTCCAATATATTTACTTATTGAAGTCGAAGAGGAAATTGTAATAAATTTTCCTAAAGCTATCGTTACAAAATACAAATATCTATTACCTAGTTTTAATGGGTATTCAGGAAATTTCCTCGATACCAGTTCGTCTTCACACACAACAATTATTGGTTAAATGAACCAAGTAAAAAATTGTAGTCATATAGGTACATCGAGGTTGGCTGAGTATCAAGTTGTGGCATTATACGTGGCTGAAAGTCACTAGCAATCAAAATTCACATACCTAATAAATCTCAAATTTAAATTTGTCAACACACACCGCCCCTACCGCAAACTAATTGACGTATTTTTCACAAGAATGTGTTTTAAAAACATTAACCAGACCGTTACATACGCACTACAGTCACTACACTGCAAATGAATTCACATTCACATTTTTGTAACGGAATACCGACTAACCGATCTTAGCGCGTCGAATGGTTGCTTTAAGAACAATTCTCTAGTTCAAGAGGAGTGGTTAGGTTAACTCACCCTACCAATCGCCTTACCTGAGTTAATACGCTAGGCTTGATTTTTTTCTCAGGTAAAATTGTATTTCGAAAATTTTTTTCATGTCGGTAAACCTTATAATCTCCATAATCTACTCCAGTCCCCCCCCCTTCCGTCTCCCCACCCCCCGTAAGGTTTGATATTTACATTAAAACTTCATTGATTTTCATTTTAAACAAACCAAGATTTATATAAATTAGTTAATACTAATTGCAATTTTAATTATAAGAAATAAAACTGTAATAAAAAATTAAAAATAAATATTTAATATTGAGAAGGGTGACCAGATTTTTTTTCTTATGTATATAAAGAAGCGCAAAAAAATCCTTAAAGTACAGTTTTCTAAGGAAAAAATTTAGTAGTGTCCAAATAATCTGTAATTAATTTTCTAATGTAAGTTTTGGAAACAATACTAATTAAATTTGACACAGAGAAAATATAAATTAAAAATTGCATCTACTGCTTTTTAAATTGATAATGATTCTTAAGGAAATGGGTTTTGTAGTTTCTATAATTTTAAATATAATTTTTTTCGATATCGCATTTAGTTTTAGACAACCAGCAATACAGTTATGCTTTTATTTGGTTGCGTCATATACCTTCGTAATTAAATTGATGCTTTTGCAACAGAAATCTTCAAAACATGACGCTCTAATCCTCTTATTTTTTTGACCTTCCTTTTAGAAAAAAAAATCATAAACAGCAGTTTTCGGAAATTATTTTCGACATCAAACAAATATTGTGCAAACTTTCAAAGCAATATGTACATATTATTGTAATTAGAAAAAAGATGAATCTATTATATTTAAAATAAATAAAGTTTGGTTTATATCTCCGAAACGCAACAGTCAATTGTTTTTGTAGTTCTTTGAGATCTGTACCCAAACACATATATTTATTATAAAAAAAAGCCAAAGATTTTATTTAAATATTTACTAAAAAAGGTCACTAATACATAATTAAATAAAATAAATACTTTTTTGAAAATAAGTATTTAAAAAAATAACAAATAAACGCGCTATATATTACAAATGCTTTTTAAGTCTAATTTTATCCGTTTCCGAATAAAATCACTACTGTTAGGAATAAGAAATAGCCGGTCTTCTGTAATATCTAATGTTAGCAGGTTGCTGGGGCTGTCTATAAGACACAGGAGTGGCATTATCGACCGACCTGTATCTATTAGTATCTCCAATTCTTATGTATCCCGCTTCTGGAAGGTTTGCATCTTGGTTTTCACCCGTTAGTAGTGTATATCCTGCCGTTTCAGTACCTGGTTCTTGTTGGTAAGCCGCTTGAGGCCTCAGTCCTTGTTGTCTAGCCCTAAGCTTTTCCGATTGCAATTTAGCAATAGCAGCTTCGAAAGATATTAAAGCTTCTGAGCGCTGATTTGGAATATGGACTTGCTGGTACTTCCCTTCTGCTTCGTCTGCAACTGATGCCTGGTACTGCACTGTTTTCGGTTCAGGTAAATATTTATGTCCTTTTTTCGCGTAAGCTGGCTGTCGGTATTGCGCAGGTCCTGGTTCTTCAACCCTTGACGGTGTCTTATATTCCAATATTCCTTCAGGATGTTGAGATTGTTCATTAATTTTGCCTAGAAATATAGTTATTAATAATGAGACAAATATAGGAAAATATGGTGGTCACCTTCTCTACTGGATAATACTTGCTGATATATCGCTAATTGTTGCGGTTGATAAATAATTTTCTCTTCTTGGTGTAACGGTTCCCCGCCAGGTATTTGTTGATATTGCGATAAGTCTTGCAGGCGTTGTCTGATAAGTTCTTTTTCGCGTTCGTACTTGGGCAGTTTTGTGGGAGATGGAAACTCTGCACCTCCATTTGGATATTCAAGTTTGGCTTGATACATAACTTCAGCCGACGGTTGCTCGTACCCAGGCTGTTTTTGTTGGACTTCGTACTGCTGCAACTGCGTATACCGTTCCGCGTCTTCATCCCTTGGTGTTGGTTTCACAATTTTTCGCACCGGTTTCTTTGGAATACTGTGAGACACGTAAATAGACGATCTTGAAGACGTCTCGTCTTGACCCTCGGTTTCCAGAACTTTCTGATGGGCTAGCAGGGCATTTTGATAAGCCGTTAAAGTAGCGGAGTTGGACTGTTGGTCGCTCGATCGAAGTTGTGCAGGTTTTTCTGGAATGACGTACTTGATTTGCTGCTGCGTCCCAGATTTTCTGAAACATCGGTAAGTTTTGAGGAGAATACCTAGTATTTTAAGAAAGATGTTATAAAATGTATACATTTTTTCCGTACTTTTGTTATTCGTTATATATTGTGTAGCTTTAATAGGAATTTTTAGGGGTGCCCTGACCACGAATCTGAAGTTATTTTTTTTAATCAAATAAATAATCGCGTTATAATTCGTTTTCAAACTGTGGGTCACCAAGAATTAGCCCGGTAGGTTGTGTCAGTGCACTATCAACGTTGCCAGTTGATACTTTTTAAATCAACTACTAGAGAGCGACAAAGTATTCAATAAACCGTACGGTTTAACGACGTGTTATTTTAAAGTCACCATAATTTTCCGAATCCGATCCTGTTCCGAACGCTGTCGGATTTTGAGAAAACAAGACACTGTCACTATTCCAAAAAGTGAAAAGAAGTCGCGATTTCGCGCGTGCTGAGTGAAAATAATATTTAAAAACCGGACAATTCCTTTTTTAGAAGTAACAAGTCACAAGATTTACGATATTCATTATCATATTAATATTAATTTTACTTCAGGAATAAATTAAGGTTAACATCTTAATGTTTCTAGTTGCAACATGATAAAACAAACTATCGTATGCCGATTTAATTAGATTGCTCAAACTGTTGCATAATGTTATAAATATTCTTCCAATAAATTTGTTATCTTTATATGTAGATCTTATTTGCAATAGATTTATGGATGTTCAGGATAAGATTTGTTGCTAATTAACTTGGATAATTTACTGTTAAATATACATTGTTTGCGACACTGAGACACACAACTTTGTGTCACCATAAAATAACATTTTGTTATCTCGTGTGGAAGATGAAGTGGTAAGTGGTCATTCCTATTACAAGGCTATTCACCTAGTCATCTCGAACTGAATGCACTATAATTTGCTTTAATTTGAATTAAAGCATGCAATAATTATAGTTACAACACATGCGGCAATGGAAAAATATTCTACTCTTCATAGCATTTATCTATCAGGTATTATAGTGCGTTTTAATGTCTTTTTTTTTTTCTGTAAAATTGAAAATAATACTGATTTATTACTTCCTCTTTTCGATTGTTTCGATTTTTATAGAGACAAAGACTATCCGTATATTCTAAGCGTAAGCAGTTTTATTACACCGTAACTGTCTAGTATAAATATTAAACTTACTCTTGCAAGTCCGATTGTACAATGTACTGAATTGATGGCTGTTTTAGAATGCTTCTCTGCAATTCCGTTTGTTCTTTTATACCTCTATCGTGAGGCTGGCTATTCAAGCGTAAATAATTTCCAGATCTCTGATTGTAAACTGTTTTTGTCGTAGGTGGGACTTCTTTCAAATATTGCTCCACGTATTGTTTTTTCGCTGGAATCCTTCGCCTTCCGATTTGTTGTCTGTGGCCCCTTTGCGCAAAAGGGTAATTCTCAGGGTCCTGATCTGCCTGCTGCTGGGTGTAGTCTGCTTCTTGATTAGTTTCCTCTGACGTGTATTGATAGACTCGAGTATCCTCACGCCTATAGAAAAAAAAATAAATGAAGAAAGGATTAAACAATCGCCGTGTATCGTACTTTCTTAAAGATCTTGAAACTTTTACGGAAGTGCCCGTTATAATATGGTCGTTTATGTAAAAGATCTGACGTCAAAATTTAGGCCACATTAATGAAGGATGTCCGTTCGATTTCTTCAATTCAAAGTTCAGAGTGAACAGATTCTACTAATAGATTTCTTTTTCCTTGAATTGTAAAAGTTTACGTGATAAAAAATTATATTAATATTAATCTCCTAAGCAACGTTGTCTTTCTCTAACATTTCATATTGCGCAGGTCAAGATTTGTTCGAAATTAATGTACATTCTGTGTGAATAAATTCATTTTAAACTTACCTAAGAGGCTTGTAGTAATTTTCTTGTGTATAACCCACTTCGGATCTGGCTAGTTCGGAATCCGAATACGTGTAAGTTTTAGGGGTGGTATCAGGATCATCGTCCCTTACAATTATAGCCCTGCACCGTATTGAAAATATCGCTATGTATACTAGAAAATAAATATCAAATATTAAGTACGTTTAATAGTTTACAAAGCCGCAACTTCTTCAGTTACCCATAGCCTTCTACTTTATTTTTTGAGTAACATGCGTTTGAATTTACAATTCGCAAAGGTTAACTGATATAAATAACAATTGTGTAACTAAACACACAAACGAATTACAGACAATAAGAATACATATTATGCATAAATATTTCGGTAATTAATTAATTATTTTAGAGAGGGCCATGAGTTGAAAACAAAAGAATTATGTAGTTCTTAATCGTATCTTATATAATATTTTGATATTGGCTGTGTAATTCTCAAGAAACTTAATTATTTAAGAAGCACTGTCCCACACGTTTATTATATCATATTTTCATTATTTTTCAGATTGCGCTTTCCCCAGACTTGTTAAAGTTCTGAAATTTTTGTAATAAATAGAATGATCAGTTCAAATTATTTCTTACAGTTTGAGTCTACTTGAAACAATTTTAAAATCCATAAGAAATTAGTTCCGCATAAGAGTATTCTCAATTAAACTTCATTTGATAAGCTATAAGGAAGATCGTTACATATTATCACGAACTTCCTGCTGTAGTCGGAACTAGATTTTTAAATACACATGCAAGAGTAGAAAACTTCTCGAAGATTACTTTTTCCGTACGAATACATTTAATTACAGTACAGGTACTTTGTTTCGTTCGTGAATTTTGAAATTTCCACGATTGGAATGAATATGCAATAATATTTAAACACAAACAATTAATTTTTATGTTTACTAAAAATTGATTCATATTACTTGAATACAAAAAAAAATGTCGATACCGAAATTTTCACTCCAAACACTATCACAACACACCAATTAACAAGCACCTTTACCTAAAGTTGAAAAGCTGTGCATGGCGAGGGTAAAGATTAACATTGAAACTAAAGTTTAAAGTCGAGATTGAATTTATATATCCTTAGTGAAAGAGAAAGGGTTTCCAAGCAGATTCATTCAACGCAGAGTGGTGCAAAGATGTACAACGTATTCGCTTGTACAGTCGTAACCTTCAGTAAAGAATTCTTTAAACGTATGTCCCTTAGTTATCCCTCCCGTTTATTTCGTATATTTTTTTGGAATTGAGATTTTTATTCTTTGTATCGTACTTATTGCAAGTGATCAAAAACAAAAATTGTAGAAGCGACGCATTATTTTTTAAATCGACTGTATTTAATTTATTTATAAATTTAAATGCAGGGTAAAAAATAATATTCACGCACTTTTCCTACACACTACATTCATTACTGCAAATTTTCCTTCTAAATTGATTGTACCAGTACCATCACATATTAACCTTCATGAAAGAGTACGGCATCTCGTTACACATAATCCAAGGATCGATAACGTTTGAAAATTTAATACATTTACCTACCTGTCCAGTGTAATTCTCTCGAAACTTACGACATGTATGTTCTATATGTATCTGTAACAGATACTGATGCCTAGTAGAAAGTACATTTTTTACCAATAAAACCAAGTACAAATGCTCTAAGAGGAATTGCTTTTCTTTTTATGGCCTTAATTTACTAGTCATTTAGAATTTCACAAACGGTGCAGCTACAGGGCGAGCCACAGTACACCCCGGTCTGGCGATGTAGATTTTATCACCGTCGTCTCAGGGGTTGAAAACCATATCGGGAAGAGATTACGTATTAAATTTTCGCACACTCTGTAACTTTGTTTTTGCTTTGCCATCTAGGAAAACATGTTTTGTTTTAGAAGCTTATCGTTGTATTAATATTTTTTTCTCTGTTTTCTTTAAAAATTATGTAAAATTGATCAAAAAAAGGTAAAATAATCAAGTTTTTTGGATAATTTTTTTAAAATATTTTAATTGCTCCGAGGGCATTCTAATTTTGGTTAAAAAAAACTTTAGAGTATAATAAAACAACACACCAAATTTAATTAAAATCGGTTTGACTGTTTTCGCAAAATAATTTTTTGAAAAAATTAAAAAAAAAATTTTTCGAATTTTCAAAATGATGCACAGCCTCAAATAAAGCATCTAGCTACATGAAAATTTTTTCACATAGAAAAGACCGCTCAACCTTTTAAATGGTTTTTAAAAAATTGAAACCGGTTCATTAGGAGGGCCACAGTAAATTTTTAAAGTTAACACCCTTTTTTTTATTTTTAAGCAATTAGATTACATTTATCAATTTGCAATTTAGTTTTTGTTCAAAAATTATAATGTACAATTTTTTCTTAATTTTATCTGTACTTATTTAACAAAAAAATTAATTTCTAATAAATAAAAAAATGTTTTTTTAATTTGTTTAAATAAAGCCCCTCCGTATATTTTTAAGCGTTGAAAATATCGAAAATCTAACTCAGGCGTCTCTAGCTTTTCGTACGAAGATTCCAGCAAACCAAACCGCATCTTTCTAGGTCGAAAAATAAAAAAGTTACGGGCTATTCGCTAGTTTCAAAATTTTTGGGTGGGTCACGTGACCTAACAAACAACCTTTCATATCTTTTTAATCGTTGAAAATATCGAAAAACTGTTTCTGGGGCGCCGTTCTTGGTGATAAAAATTCATAATATTTGAAATTATTCAATATTCTCAAAACACACATACATAGGTATTAAATTTTCGAGACCGAGAGAGATTAAATTAATTAAATCAAATTTAAACAGGACATAGCTAGTACAATTCGAAACATCGCCTTAATGTTAAAAATGCTGTCACCTCCGTTCTTGGTGGTGAAAAATTGAAAATTTCTCGTCAAAATTTGCTCGGCAGCATGGAGAGCGGCCAAACCACTTGATTTTTTTTTTGAAATATTCCTTAAACGTTGTTCTTTTGCAGTTCACTGCAGAAAATAAGCACGGGATAAGCCGTGAAGGGGCGGAAGATGGATCATTTTGGGAATGAAGTAAAGGTAAATAAACTACAAAATATTATGAAATAAACCCTCTGATTTATTCTTAAAATTAAAAGTCATACAATTGCTCATGGTTAAGCCTACTAAATAATAATTAATAATGATAACCACTACGTGACGTATTGTACGTCTAACAATTGAATCAACAATATCAATGGCACTGGTTAAATATCACCCGATTCTATAAGTATATGCATAAGTAACAAATAATTTTGTTATTTATTTACAGTATAATAATAATTGTAACTTGGAGATTAAATATAAGTAATTCCAAGTAAATAGATCATTTGATTTTCATTTAGTTAAAATATTAATAAATTTCGAACTAAAAACTATATCAACAAATTATTAGAATTATTATATCACACGTTTTCTACACAGTCTACAAAATAAATAATCAACACAAACATATATATCTATATACAATACGAATTAAAATATCTATACCAAAAAAACATGTAACACAAAATAAAATTATTGTCGTATTTTCACTAAGAATCATTGGTTTTTATCAAATTAAGTTCTTTGGTCGAATCCCTAAACGAACTGAGCAATCGTCAAATAAGAAACCAAACTGACCTTTTAACTAAATAAAACTGCGTTAAAATATTAAGTTAAAATAGATCTATTAACTTGTACTTTTTTTTTGGGGGGGTAAAGGGAAGTAAACGAAATGCAGAGTGTCCGTAGAGTAAACATGTTAATAAGAGCGGAGGGAGTAGGTACATCAGTCAGGGTCACTCTGCTGCATGTGACTAGAAATAAAGGAGTCGGGGGGGAGCGTGACCTGTGGGCGCCCCGTGACCTGTCCGTAGCGCCCTTCGCTCGGCCGCGGCTGCTTTAAAGGTACTCAATCACAGTAAGATTCAATTTCATCCATCTACTACGAAAAGCATCCCACGTCTCGTCCTACCTTTTGAAGCCTACGACGAGCAGTCGCCACCAAATTAAAATTCAACTCGAGCAATTTCTGCGATTATAAAACTTTCCGTAAAAAAAAAGTGACCTGTTCGGTTTAGAACCCCTTACTTAATCGTAATAATTTGGCATGGAGCGCTCGAATTATCGACCTGGAAGATATCTTTTCGAACATAATCTGTATTACGTTGCGGCCGTATGGATTTTGCGAGAAGGATAAGATGCTTTTCATTTCGTGGCAACCTTACGTACGATAGTATATAAATATATATTATATACATGTGAACTATGATGCCGTTTTTGCAGCCTCAACTCACCTATACTCTCGCCCCTGGCGCTGGTTATTCTCAAGCACGTCACTGGTGTTTTTCCAAGTGAAGCAAACCCCTTTCGAGGCAGGGTGACGTGATTGTGACGTGAGGCGTCGAATAAGGGATGTTTTACAGGGAAGCTGGCTGCACGATGAGCGGAGCAAGCTCGATTATAACGTTTCTAACTAGGCTACGGTAACAGTATCAATATTATTGTAATACTAAGGCACAGACCCAGCTCACTGCTTGTTCACGCAACAAGCACATCCGTGGAAGACAAGCATCGCTGGATATTCTACCCAACATAGGAACGGAATTGAAACACGCCACCAAAATGGGGCCCCTGACAATGTCGTTCTCTTTTCGGCATCCGCGCGTCTCCTAAACGCACCTCGAAAAATATCTGAGAAAACGCTTCGATGCTCTTTATTGGTTTTGCGGGAACGCGTGGATCGTGAGCGAAAATCGAAGAACTGTCAGGGGCGAAGTTAGTGGGCGCTATTGAAACTAACGTATTGACGGTGCCCAGGACAAGAGGACCAAGTTGAAGGTGTGTCATCGGTCCTTCGCGGAGGTTCGCGCAGCTCGTCTCGGCACCGGCGTCTATCCTAGAGTATACATGAGAACTAATCTACACCTCTACATTTACTTGAGCAGCCTCTATATGCGCACAAAGTCGCGAGAAATTATCAAAATCCAACAGAATCATCACACATAAATTGGCAAGAAAGCTGCAGAAGATGATAAGGCAGTTTGTCGTTGTTTTCCGAAGTTATGGCGACTTTGGTGGTGGTAATTGATCTTGTTCCCGAGAAGCGGAACTTTCTAAAGCGTCGCTCGCTTGGAAAAATCTGTCCGCGTCGCACATTAGGTTTGCACTGTTACAACACTGTCCTGTGTGTTCCGTGGATGACGCTGCAGCCGTCGCCTCGTCCATCAGGATTATCGCGTTCGTTTCGGGGTTGGCAGGGTGAGTTATCATATTGAAGTCTTCCTGGTCTAACGTGAACAAAGGGGTGCTCCACCTCGGTATACTATTAGAACGCGGGGTACCTGCAAACAAATCCCATTTTAATTCACCGAATAACACACTTCACATCTATTAGTTTATTACAAATGGATAGAGGTAACACATCTAAAGGATCATGTGGAGTTACGCAAGGACCCATACTTGGGCCTCTTATTCAGGATTTATTATGTAAATTAACAACTTCCTTAAAAAAAGCTGTAAAATATATTTTTTTCTTATTATGTATTGTAATACAGGGTGTCTCAGAAATCAGTGCCAAAATTTTAATCACGCATTTAAATTATTAAGAGCAGCAACTTTTGCCTAATAATTCACACTCATACTTTTGTCAGTTTATATAGTCAGGTTCCAATATAATTTATATGTATTAATATTCTCTATTACTTGTTCGTTGCTTTCGGGAAATAGATGGCATTTTTTCTTCAAATGCTATTTGTGATCGTGACGTCCTTTAGAATATGCCGAGGGGTGTGCCACAAGTAATTTTTGGTGTACGTTTGAGATATTATACTTTAAAATTACTTTAAAAGTATAGAAATTATTTATTAAAGTATAAAAATTACCAAATTCTTTGGTAAATTACAAAAATTACAAAAAGTATGTATGAAATTACAAAAAGTACATATTAAATTACAAAAAGTACAAAAAATTACCTGATAGAGTACAAAGATTTTTAAAATTATTCTTTAAAATTACTGAAAGTACTTAAGTAAAATGGTGTGATTAAAAATATTTCATACGGACTAACTTCTGTTGCTTTGCCTACATTTACCTACCTAGGTACTGTTGAAAAAAACAGTCTAGTTTGTTTATAATAAAAATTTGTGTGGAAAATAACAATAAAAGTAAAAATCTTACTAATAAAACAAATTGTGTTTCTAAATTAGTAACGGAAGTAACCGAACAAAAATATTGAGAAATTTTATGATGAAGAGTAGTTTATTGGGAAAATAATAAAGTATGACGGCATAGAAATAATTGTAAAAAATTGTAAACTTTTATTTTAAATTTAATATAATATAAAAATAGCCTGAAAACCAAATAAAAGTAGCTTTTCTAATTAAAAAAAAAAAGAAATAACAAATTAGAACTTAAATAAACACCAACAATGAAGCAAGTCCTATTCAATTTGTAAACCTTTAAGTAACACACATTTTTCTAATCTCTTTATCAATTCCTTGTCCATTTTTTGCTTAAAGGGCATCCTTTGTATTCAAATATGAGTTTTCTTCTGAATTCAAAGAGTGACCGCAAAATCCGCCTGTTTTTTGAGACTTTGACAGAGGCGACAGGAAAAATCTTAAAAATATCCATGAAAAATGAAAATGAGCATTACTTTCAGTTTTTCAAAAATTTTCGAAAATCACCCTTATTTAGAGATTGAAAAGACAAAAAAAGTGAACAAATTAAGAATCATCAACAGTTGTAAAACTCCAAATATGTTGTTATCAAAATAATATTATGAACGTGAAAATATCTAATTTCGTATTTGATACGGTCTTCTCCGGATTGAAAATCAACCCTTAATATCCCTAAAGGGGTGAAATCATCCCCTAAACGCCAAAAAATGCTAAAAATACATTAAAAGTTACAACTGTTTTTCTTTTTCTTTTATACGTTAATAACCCACAATCACTAGATCCGAAGGAAAATATCCCTAAATGAGGGAAAAACCACCTCTAAGTTCAACCATATACGTATAAAAGAAAAAGAAAAAAATTGTAACTTTTAATATATTTTTTTGCATTTGTAGGCGTTTAGGGGATGATTTCACCCCTTTAGGGATATTATGGTTTGATTTTCAATTCGGACAAATCCGTATCAAATATGAAATTAGATATTTTCACGTTCATAATATTATTTTGATAATAACAAAGAAATATTCGGGGTTTTACAACGGTTGATGATTCTTAATTTGTTCACTTTTTTTGTCTTTTCAACCCCTAAATAAAGGTGATTTTCGGAAATTTTCGAAAAACTGAAAGTGATGCTCATTTTCATTTTTCATGACGAGTATTTGGATATTTTTAGAATATTTTTAGGATTTTCCCTGTCGCCCCTGTCAAAGTCTCAAAAACAGGCCGAAAAATGGCTTTTTTTGCGGTCACTCCTTTCGCTATCTAGTTCTGCCAAAAAAAAAAAAGATTTTCTTCCAAAAAAGCAAGGACCAATTATTTCATGATACGTTATGCCACACCAGACATTTATTTTTTTTAACATTTTTAGCCCAGTATCTACAATTTTGAGAGGGAACCACGCCATTAGTTGTGAATGTTGATGCGTCATAAGTAAAATATTGTGATGAAAGAATATGTTTTCAATTTCTCGCCCATTGTTAAACAAAAGTCCAAACGACGACCATCATCTCCATCAAGCAATTTATAATTAAACACTAGTTTAAATGGATATTTTGTAGCATTCTAAAATTTTTTGAATATGAGATCAACTAATATCTGTTTTCTGACTTTTTCCTGGATTGTCTTGTACAGAGTTTATAACTATAACAGTAGCAACATCGTTATCATTGTATTCTTTTTTATATATTCAATATTCTTTACATCACCAGTGGTATCAAATTTTATAATTAGCTTGCGATCTGCTCTACATTTGTATACTTTTCATCAAAAATCCCACATTTAAGCATTTCTTGAGTTCCCGAACAAATTTATTAAATACAGTGTTTTTAATGAAAACAAAAATTAAAGGCACTGCATAGGGAAAAATTTCACATTTTGAAATATTTTGGAAGCCTGGAATGATTTATTATAAATTTGATTACTGTCAATGACTTCCCAAGATATGCAAAATTTTTTATCAAGAATAACTTTTTCTCAAAAATCAATAAAAAACGTTTACAAAAGTGCGGTACCCCATTCGGGAACACACTGTAAATATATATTGTGGAAAACTCATTACTCTGTGGATTAATACACCAACCATTATCGTCGAATTACACTCACAATGTTTTACCTAAATATTTATTAATTATTATTAGCTTTTGTAGTTTTTTTACTTTATTGTAAGTGTTATTTTAGCTAATTCAAATAATTTTTTTTTTTAAATTACTCCCAACTAATAAAATCTAATATTTTCAAAGAAGTATGCAAATAAGTGCAGTTACTTGTAAAAACAAATGTTTTCCTTTTTTCAAAATAATAATTGGCTTATGAAATTGCATACATCATTAAAAATTATAACAGAATTACAAAAATTATTTGAAGAAGTCTATTAATTCTTATAAGTATGTGAAAAAGTCTACAAAGTACGAAAGTATATTTAAAAATTACAAAAAGTATCAGAACAAATCTATAAATTACTGAAATTACGAAATTATATCAATAAATTATGAAAATTACTGGTAAGTAGCAAGGTAATTTTAAGTAATTTAAGTAGGTGTACGTTTTACTGCTGAGTGGCACACCCCTCGGAATATGCTTTTTATAGGCATTTGTGGGTGTGACCTGATCTTGAATTGCTCACCCTCGGTTTCCGATATAACTGATCTTTTTGTAGGAATTTGTATTGAATTAAAGACGTTCTTGTGTCGATAGGTGTGAAATATTTATCTGTTCATATTATAGCTCCATATAATGGGTGTTCTTTATTATGGAAAAATGATCTGAAGGATTTTTTTTTTATTTTACTTAACGTTAATCTTGCTTTACATGAACTGGGATGTAGTTTCGTGTATTTTGTTAATTGTGTTCTGGTTAATATGTTCAAAGTCAAAGTCTGTTTTATTATAGCAAAGGAGTATATGAGGATTGAAATTATAATTATTGACATACCTCTCGACGTACTCACGCTGGGTGAGTACATACTGAGGTTCGTAGGGCTGATAACGCCAGACATCCCTGTCATACTGGGGTAGCTGAAGAGCTGCAAAGAAAGGAAATTTACGATCATGTTTCCACAATCCCCGAATCTGCTGTCCTAAGGAAGATCACCGTATCTTAAGATCCAAAACTACCTCAAGACAGAAACTAAATCGTTTCGATTAACCGACAAGTTAAAGATAGGGGGTCTTCCTTTGGACGACAGTATCCACTACCAACATGTCCCGGCTGCCCGTGGAAGTGGTTGAAGGAATAGTCTCTGTTGGGGGAGTACGGACTACTCGTGGGCACCGAGTTCCTCTGCGAAGGCGATTTTCGCCTTTCGTGGCTCCCAGGACTCAACGGTGGTGAAGAACTTATTTCCGGCACTTCGTCTGCCGGCGAAGCTTCGCTGCATGGAGGCGTTATACTGGCGGGAGGCGAGTTAGTTCCGCTCATCGTCACGTCTCCAGTTGATCGGATGATGGCCACTGGTCGAGCCATCGGGGGTAAGGGGGGCGGTGGGAGCATTGTCGAAGGGAAATATTGCGGTTTCGGACTTCTCGATAAGTTAGTTTGCATCTGTAAGGAAATAGTTAGAAATAAAGTAAACCGCAAAGGAAACAAATAAGTCTCCTAACCTGTGCGTTTTGGTTGCTGTCCGTTTCCTGACAAACAAAGGTGACGAAATCCGAGAGGGAGTCGTGACCATTTTCCGGATATTTTACTTGGTTCGGGTGCTGGTGGTGAGGTTCGGGACTGTGCTGGTAGAATAACGTGCTTGGACTTGCTTGAGAACTGGAAGACACTAACGTGGTATTCTGAGGCATCGCTAAAACAAGAATTACATTAGACCGTGTATGGAACATTTAAGAATAGCTACTTACAATATGTAGCTGAAACAACCATTGCGTCCACAGACGACGATCGGTCCCCAACGACAGGTCCTTGTTCAGGATAGTTATTGCAATAGAAAGCAGGATGTTCCAGTTTCACACTGTTCATGTTGGGTTGCGGATCTGACAATTCGTGTAGTATCGAAGCTAAAAATAAACAGAATTAGTAGATAATCTCTCTTTGTGATAATGTAATTTACATTTGGATAACTTCCATAATTCCTTTGATGAAAATACTCCAGTGGCTAATATAATGTCATTACATACTACTCCGTTATAAGGATTGTGGGTGTATCCTGTAACTGGAAATAATTTCTGTTTATGTCAAGTCAAACGCAAGAACAACAAAAAAGTTCTTTGTTTACTTCAAATTGTCAATTCAGTGCAAATTCGTTATTTTAATAGTTTTCATGTAGATTATAATTACAGCCTACTGCTATTTTTCACACCCTTTCCTTATAACTCAAGCCATTTCACAACAATTACACCGGCACACAATATAAAAAAGTCATCTGTACCTTTGATTTGACCCAATGTATTTTGACGTGCTGATTCCGAATCTGAAGTCCGTTTAGCTCAAACGCCCCCAAAATTTTGAGTAAACGGCAAAAAATCATATTAATGAGAGTGAGAAAATGTAGAAAGAGGTTTTCTAGATTGGATCAAGTGTTCTTCTCATAAATTTTGTCGCAATATCGCAATATATCGAAAAAAATGAAAATTTTTAATAAATGTCACTGATGTGAATTGCTTCCAAATAAATTCGACTGACTCGAGCCAGGATTTCTTTGATGTTGCTCTTACACTTTTCTTCTCTTTTCTTTTCGAATGACCTATGTGCGGATTTCTCTTTCTCTTCTGTCTGACAGGAATCTACCGTTGTTGATATCCCATCTTCCTTGATGTCGATCCTCCACTTATATCTTAATTGAATCTTTCTCCTTGTTTTTCACTGTAGTTTCCAAGGTTTTGAGGAAAGTAGTCGAGATGAAAGTGTAGGAAGTGCAATTTATGATCCACCAAGCAACCTAACTGTTTTTTTGCGATACTTGAGTCTCAATAGACTTTAGATTCAAATTCGACTCTACAAAATTTGATCTAATCTAATCTAAAAAACCACTTCCTAAATTTTCTTCATTTTACATTTTTTTGCAAAATCTGTGGGGGGGTGGGGTACAGTTAACAGACTTCGGACTCGAATTCACCGTATCAAAATATATAAGAAACACACTTGATCAAGGTCAGTAAAAAAAAATGACGTGATTTTTGACGATTTTTCGCTATGATTTTGCGATTTTTACAAAATTTGGGGAGACGCAACTCAAAGACGTCTATTTTTTGCCAATTACTCAAAATTTTATAATGTTTGAGCTAAACGGACTTTAGATTCAGCACATCAAAATACACAAAGCCCACTGGATCAAATCAAAGGTGCAGACCACTTTTTTATTTTGTATGTGCGTGTGTGTGTGTATTGATCAAGGATGGAATATAAGATCCCCATTTTTTGTTACAGGTACCTAATGTTAATTTTAAAACTTAGAAGGCCTTTTTGAAAATGATATTTATGTTTGAATCTTGAAGTAAACAATTTCGAAAATGAAGTATTTGATGAAATTGTTACCAATTACCATACCCAAGGTAAAAACATGAACTAGCTTACCTTTATTTTTCCGTTCTTCTTCTTTTTTGTTGTTGTTATTGTAACATACACCGCTTAAAATTTCTGAAAAAAAATTGTCGGTTAGATTTGCGTGCATTTAATAGTACAGTAAAATTTAAAGGATAATACATCCGTACAGGGTGTATTCAAACGAAGGAGTACAAAAATCTCGAGCAAAATTATGATAATTGGGCCAAATATACCTAAAGTCTGAAATTGCTCAATTCGCAAGTTACAGGGTGTTACAGTTTAAGTATCTGGAAAGGTATTTGACATAGATTAAATAAATAAGTCGTCACTTTGGGCTATTTACGTATTTGTGATGTTTCTCGAAGAAACAATTTAGGACTAAGGTATATTTGGCAAATTATCAGATTCTGGCCTCAACATTGTCCTTCAAATAGAGATGTCAAAGAATAAATTAGGAACACGACACGAAAAAAAAAGAGAATCCCTTAAAGCTGTAACGAGAAATTGCTCGTTCAGGCGAACATTCCATGCTAAGATGACGTAAGGTATTATAAACTATTCTTATTATAAATCAAGGAAGGTCTAAAAATAAAGAAATAAAAGCGCAATATGATACATTTCCAGAGTGCAATGAGGAAGAAATAATTGAAATTGTGCATGATCAGGGACCAGGAAAAAATAAAATGTCGTGAAGTCTTGCACTTTTGCTCAACATAAAAAAAATCGTGATAACATTACCTTATTTTAAGCATAGTTTGCGATATTTACCGTGGCTGTTGATGAAGTTGGCCAGATACAAATCCAGTTCCCTCACCGACACGTTAATATGATATGGGTTAACGCACAGTCCGGGCTGCGAGCAGTCCGGGTTCTTCTCCAACCTCTCGCCGTCCGTACTCTCGAGAGGTATCGCCTTGAACAGTATCACCATAACGAGATCGAGACGCCAAACTTTGTCGGCCTGGCGCAGGCAGTCTATTCGGCGCATTTTGCCCTTCTGGTCTGGATTAGATAGGACACACACAGCGGGACGCTTCCCCGTTATACTCAGCACGAAATCCTCCCGGCACTCTTGAGTAATGTCTTTTCGCAGTTTACCCAGCAAGCGGGACGCCCACTTCTGCTTGACTTCCGCTTTCTCATTCTGAAAAATGTCGCAAGTCCTCGTCAAAAGCCCCACGTTAAGCGCCAGCGTAATATCATTCGTTACGCGATAGTAATATTTGATCTGGGAACGTGTGAACACAACGAGGGTTTCTTTGAGTGTAAAAATTTCACCTTCGTGGTGTGTGCAGCCTTGCTCTGTTAATTAACCGTTTCAAAAATAGCCGTTTAATTCGTTTAATGTCGAGGTAGTCAAAATTAACACAGGATACTACTGTAATAGTATCTAAAAATAAACACTCTTTTATTTGGGCTCATCTTCGTTATGTTATGCTGAAATATGGCTGTAGAGATTATATTTACGCATAATTATAAAACTGAGCTAATTTTGATACGACATTCGAAACAGCTGTCGAATTGTGTAACTGCATTAACTATTTTAAATTTCTTCGGGTCTCGAATAAGTACCTGCGCCTGTTAGTGATGTGTTTCCATTAAATATTAAATACATCTTCAGTTATCAACGGTCACAGGTCTGTTTCAATGACAATGACTTATTACAGCCCACTTACTATACTCGGTATGTTATACTAAAAATAGGGGGCATCTTAAATAACAAATTTTTCACTCGGTGAGACGCAAATAAAAACTGCAGTGTCACTATAACCAAAATAAATTTTAAGTCTTTTCTAACCGGTTGTTGCGAACAGCGAATTTCCAATGTATATAGGTTATTTATGCTTTACAGTTACTACAAATAGATTCACATGTCCGAAAAGTATAGTTAAACCTTTACGTCAATTGTTATTAAATTATTACGGGGTTAGTTCGAAAAAGTTAAGCCCGAGTTTAAGAATTGTGTCTATTTATTAAATTACCTGAAGAGCCTCCTTGCACTGCCGCTCCTCCTCGAGGGACATTCGCTTTTCGTGTTTTTTGTAATACTTCCTTTTTGCGGCTTGCAGATTAAACCACGTGTAGGAAAAAGACTTGACGAAAGGCAGCAGGGCCTCGATGAAAGGATGGAACTCGTCCTGGTAATTAGGGCACATTAATTCACTTTATCCTGCCATTCAATCGTCATATTTAGCAAAAACTTAACACATATTCAATTACGGAATGAAAAAAAAAAAATCTAACATCGATCTGTTTGTTCTGACAGCGCTTAAGGTGCTGCAAAGGCTAACTCGTTTGCATACTGAGGGAACTATGTACGTTTTAAGTGTAATACTTGAGTTATGCACATATATCCCTAGTCCCTTCTTACTTACGATAGTATTATAGGTATGCGTTAGTTAAAAATTTCACCTCTACCACAACACGTATTGGTTTTACGTCAAGTTCTTAACCACGCGTCCGTAGGTTTAATTTTAAATTAAGGCAAAATTCCGAAATATAACTGAACAGAGAAGCTAAAAATAAACGTACCGCGGAAACTGTTCACAAAGCGTGTATACGAGGCACGTATAATATTGACAGTATAATTTAAAATACATTTTTAACTATAAGTCCCGAACAGTTGTGTCGCATCACATTCGCGTTATCAGAACTAACAGATTTTAAAATGAGTTTCTACGATAATATCAAAATGCCCCTAAAACAAATATTGGTGTGGTTAATTAATAGTAACTGCCAAAATGAAGAAAGATAGAGTAAGGAGACTGGAAGACAATCGAAAATGTTTATATTATAAGCCGATGTAATAGACTGCACTGCCTCGAACGTTACAACTGTTACCAATAAACAGATAATTTTTGCAGCAGTCGCCCTGTGGTGCACAGGGGGTGTAAAAACGTAAGGGGTAACATTTGCAACGTTCAATATAAAAGTGATACAACATCGATCTGTGACCACCTTGTATTTTGAACGGCGAGGCCAACGCCTTTGACATCGGGCATCGGCAATGTAGAAGTATAAGCCCGTTGGATCACGTACAAACTTTGCATGCACAAAACAACAATTGCAACGCACAAACAGAAACAACAACCGTATGAGAATGTGTCGCGAACGTATCCCGGCAATGAGATGCATTTAAATTAAGGATATATACTCGGTGGGCTCGGCCTTATGGATTTCTCGGTACGCATTTCTGATTGAGAAGCAGAGGGGCTCTAAAAAATGCCGAAGCGTACTCGTTAGGTAGTATATATGAGGTTCCAGAGTAAAGCGATGTTGTATACCGCACTTTGCTTAAAAAATACTGCTGTATGTGTAATTCTGTAATAAAATTTAATTTTTATAGAATATCGGATTGTGCGTCTGCCAAAAAGTGTAATAAACCGGTTATATTATTGTAAACCTTATGAGACGCTAATGGGAGGATTTATTTAAAAATATTTTTCCATTTCAATGGCTACAATTCTGTAGCGGAGATTTTGTCTGAAATGTAATTGTTGCTTTATTCGCAGTTCATAGGTCTCTTGATCAAACAATTTAACAATTGACCAGTTTGATAAAAAATGTATATGCAGTTATGAAATATTTTATTTTTCACGCTATTTTCCTTTATAACGAAAGATTCGTAGCCTCTACATACACATGCTGATCGGAAACAAATTGGCCACACTTCAGCTCCTATTAAATCGGTTTAGATCTAGTACAATTTTGAAAGTTTAGCGAAATTATGACATTTAATTAGACTAAAACGTCTCCAAGTAATATACAGCGTGTTCCACACTTGTGTCCTGAAGAGTAAAAAACACTTTTTTATTTGTAAATTTATGAGAAAATTCCTACTTGCCTTTAAACTCTTGAAACATTTACTTGAATTTATGTATAGAATGTTAAATATTTAAAAAAATAAATAAGAGTGACCCCAAGTACCTTAATCTTTTGAAATATTGAAGGGTCACCATTAGTAATTCCAAGAATGTTGTAAATATCAATTTTCAATTGTTTTTTGAAAATATAATTACTTTATTTAATATTGTTTAGGTAGCTTATGATTCTAATAATTATATCAGAAACTGCTTATCAAAACATTAATTTATGAATAAAAATTCAATGAATTTAGATCGGAACTTTTAGAAGATCATAAAATTACTCAATTTAGATTTATTTTTTCCTAACAATATCTATTAGATGATATTCTTCGATATTTCAAAACATTTTGGAAAGCTTGCAGTCAGTTTTACTTTTTTTTATTTAACATTCTGTATGTAAATTCAAGGAAGCAGTAACATATTTAAGAGTTTGAAGACACGCAGAAATTTCATAATGAGATTTTCTCATAACTTTAAAATTATTCTGAAGAGTTATTAAAAACGCCCTGTGGAATAGAAATGACGTACTCAAGTTTTGAAAATACTAGTGATGGCTATAACTTACCAAAAATGGCTAAAATGACCAAGCCAGTCGAAAATTACCATGGAATATTTAAAATGACAATACCTCCTCTCTATTTCAATCATTCCTTTCAATTCAGTATTTACAGTAGTCAATAATTATTTTTCTTTCTTAAATATGGTTAAAGGTGAAATTTCGGTCTCGGACTACTTAGTGTACGTGAAATCAGAAATATAAACTGCAGAAAACGGTATAAGAAGCACAACAGAGCACCAGTTCGAATAAATTTTAAATTTTTAAGTTTTAAATTTAAAAATGACACCAAGTCCAGCCATTTAGCCGTCACTGCAAAATACCTTAAAAATTTGTTATTTTAGATTTAAATTTCATTTATTTGTTATCGCAGCTGCGTACTCGCCATTTTCGCGATTCGAAAGATGGTTAAATGAGACGAACGAGCGGCGCGATTCCAAAATTGAGTCGAATTAGATTGGCGTAGCAGTTTCGGGTGGAACTTCGACAATTTAGAGCCATCGCTGATCGAGTAGAAGAAAAGCGGAGGTAGGTCTTCCATGTCTTACACCCGCGTATACTCCGTTAGATTCCGACTATTTATAACGCCGTATTTTTAGCCGCTAGCGGCGAAGTGACATAGCGAAGAGGGAGAACAGATGGTACGTTTCGGAGTTCGTATACTCGGGGACCCGACGTGAAAATCTGGCGTGCGTGCGGAGAGAAATGTCAAGCGGATTGATCAGGCATGCAATTAACATCGATTACAAGTAAAAGGGGTGACCCACGGTGCGGTCCGCCCGACGACATAGTAGCAAATGAGCAGATAGCAAACAAGTACGACGGTGCAGATATGAACAGACATGAGACAGAAACAAAACAGTCAATAACAGTCAGTAAACATCAAAATCAAACATGTCAACATCGAGGGCCGCGGTCAGGCCGGCCGATGGACCGCAGGGGTGCTCTCGGTCCACGGTCCAGTCTCGACTGGAGACTGGAGGGACCAGTGTTGCCAACCATAAATTAAGAACAGTCGCTGCGGTACTGTAAAATTCCGCTACACTTCGCTGTAACTGAAATATAATCAAAATAGAGTAAGTTTTGGAACAGATTGTTGGAATTACATAAACCGAGGATAAGTTCTTTCATTTTGTCAATGACATAGTAAAAAGTGAATAATTTTATATACAGTGTGTCTGGTTATTCATGTTAACAGCCTTAAATATAGGTAGGCTGGGGGAATCAAATGGGAATAATTTTTTATGGCCTGCTATGATTTTGTAAGTGAGTGCATTTTACAGAAAATCACGTTAAGGATTTTTATAAATGTAACACCGTGTGATTATTCTGCGTTCCCCAAAATTGATGTGTATATCTTCCAATACATATTTTTTCTTCAATTTTGGTACACAATCATTATACATAGAATAATCTTGCGGTGTTTTAAAAGCAATATATGAAATCATAAAGAAATATCTCGGAAGTATGATGAAATTGCTGTTGTATTAAAGGGATTTACATACTTTGAATTCAACTAGCACCATTTTTTACGAATTTACTACAACTATTTCCTAGCCTAACCATTAGAAGGGCATGATACAGTCTCAATTGAAACGAGACAAAATTATAGCCGAAAGGTATGAAGTAACAATTGAATAGGTAATAATACATATTTTACAAGATTTGAGTTTAGTTTTCATTGCAATGAATAAATTGTGTAATACAGCAATGACAGTACCATCTTCCAGTGCAAGTTGTGAGAGATATTTTAGCAGTGTAAAGAAAATTAAAGATTATTTATTAAGAACAACTATGGGTCAAGATAGGCTTACTGACTTGGTTATTTTATATGTTGGCAAAAATATTGTAAGTAAAAAATTTAGATTTAGAAGTAATTGTAAGTATATTCGTTTGCTGCAACGCATAATAATAGATGAAAAAAAACACTTTTCTAGTATTTTGTGTAGATACTATTTACCTATTTATTTGTTTCACTGGCCTTAACGTTATTTTTGTTAACTTAAAGAAATATTTTGAATTTTATTAAGACATAAAATGTTTTGGAAAATCCAATGCTGGCGGCGCCATGTCTGGTTCAGACCTCTGAAATTGACTGTGAAAAACCTCACATAAATTATCAACCCTTTCGACAAAATTGATTTAAAAAAAAAAACAAGTTATCGTGCTTTATATCGCTTTCTCACTAACATAACTACTGAAGATAATCAAGACTAACTTGACTGTTTTTTAATATTTAATTCATCTCCTTTTTTTATTGTAATGGAAATTTAAAAAAAAATAAAATAATTTTTTAATTTTGTCAGAGGTCACAAATAGACTATTCCGTAAAATTTCACCGCAGGAATATTATATTAGGTATGGTGGAAGATATCCAAGAGAAAGTGTTTTAGTCAAGATAGCCATGGAACCGGTGTATATTGATATTTCTCCGTTATTGTTAAACAGATCTTTAAATGTTTTATTAACAAAAAAATACTACAAATAACCACATTGTGTTCCAAAGAATGGATTATGATCCACGCAAGGAGTCCACGTCGTTCTTTCTATAGGTGATTCTGAAAGAAAAAGTAAAAAAGGGAAAGATGAAATAATTTATTATGACCGCAATGAAAAAATATTGAATGAGGTGGATAATAGACATTACAAAAAAAAACTTGATTTAAAACTGGATTAAGATATAAAACCTTTTATAATAAAATGTTTTTCGTAATAGTAAATTTAAAGAATTGTTTAGTAAATTTAACAGCGGAAAACATACCCCAGTGGTTCCATGGCAATCTTGACTATGTGCAGCATCGGTAAGTAAACCAAAATATTGTGCAAACTATGCAAGCAAATATATGACATAATCATCTTAGTTAGAAAAAAAACAAAAGTTTTGTATCTTCCATACGAAACAGTCAAGGTTTTTACATAATTCCTAAGGCTTTGGTGTTTAGTATATTTTTTTATATAAAGTTAAAAAATGTAAAGGAGTACAGTAAGCGTTTGAAACATTTTATTGTCCATGGCTGTACTATCGCCTGAAATCCGATTTATACAGCAAAAAAATTCGACATTTTGGTGCTTTAGATTGGAAACTTTTTATCGTCCACATCTGCACGAAAATTATTGACTTCTTCCTCTTTTATTGTTTTAATATTGTTAGAGGGCCGTGGTTTTTTATAAAGAAGTGGGTGCATTTTTGACCGAATTAGTTCTGTCGCCAGTACGTCGGTGAAAAGTGTCCGGCACGGATAAGGTTGGCAACACTGGGAGCGACCGTCCGGGCCGCGGGAGCGAACATTATACAAAACAGAATAACACTGATGTTAATCATGTTAATTACATATCACGCATGACGGCGCGGGGGGAGGAGGGAGGGTAGCAGCGGGTAGGCACCTGTCCAGAGGACGGCGTCTGCAGGTACGAGGACACATCGGGCTCCACCATGCAGCTGCGCAACGTGTCAGGGATGAACATTCCTCAGGGTCGCGTCACCGTCACCGGCAGGCGGCGTGCTGCGTGCCGTGTCCCATCACCAGGAACTTTAAGGGCCAACGGTACGTCCGTTCCTCACCAGAAAGTCACACAGTCACTCTTTGGCATCGCCGACGCCGACCTCATCGATTTCACACTGCGCACTGCGGACCCCGTCCTGGTTCCGACGGCAACGACGACGACGACGACGACGATCGCAACGACACTCGTTTTTTCCGTTGTCGCCGTCGCAGCGCACGATCTGGTCGCGACCGAACCGAAACAGAGGCACTCAGGTGCACTGAAAAATGTCCGCTCCTCTTCGGCGATCGCTATTAATAAAGGGTAACCGAAACTCGGGTCCGCGCTAGCAAACGACGCGTGTATTTATATTCCGCTGCGACGGCAGCGTCGGGACGCGGTTTCTGGTCGAGCACTGGCCGCCGGCCGCGGCGGTATCATGATGTGTGGGTACCGCGGTGCCATGTGTTCGTTTCCTTCTAGTCGGGCCGGGAGATGCTCGGACGCTATGCGGCGACGCGAATGCGAATTTCCACCGCCGTCAGACGATTTTCCTAACGATCGCTAACGCGCGCTGCAGTTGCACCACCGCAGATTTACGGCGGCTGCTTGCTGACCGTACATATTTCTCCTCGAATTTTCTGATTTTATCGGTTGTATTCTCAACCTCCAACTTTTCTCAAACGCACACCATAACAAAAACCTAGTTGTCTTACCAAATATGAGATTTTGTGGAACTATTATTTTGTACATAACATAGGTACCGGGTGTTTCTTCTGTATAGGCTTATTTCCAAAGACGTTTGCTATCGGAGTTACTTACACCCCTTCAATCTATTTCTCGCAAGGGACTCATTCAGTAATATTTAATTTATAATTTCTTTTTACTAAACCTTATATACGAGGTGAGAAAATCAGGTCGTTAGCTTTAATATTAACGTAATAAATAATAATTTCCGATTCTCAAAATGTTAGGAACGGTCCATGCCATTTGTGACGTCACACCACTCGATTGGCTCTCCGCCATTGCTGATTGTCTCAACTTTATTTTCCCCTTATTTTTGTTATAGTTTAAGTTTTCTCCTTATATAATAATATTTTTCCACTTGTGAAATAAAAAATTAACCAAAAATGTCTTTGTGCCGAAAAGACTAGTTAAGGGTTATGTTTTATTAAATTATTTTCGCCTAACTATAAATCACACACTGACAATAGTAGATAAGTAAAAAATACGCGTCACTGTGTCACTCACTTCAGTTGTAGACTCGTGCAAGAAGGGTATAAGTAATTTTTTTTGAAAAATGTATAGGTAAAAATCATCGATGTTGACCGATGTTATTACAAAACATAATATCCCTAGTTAAAACAGAAAATAGACGTTTTCAAGAAACATCGATGTATTGTGCTCGTCCCTATGGGACACCCTGTACAAATCGGGAAACTCAAAACATTAGTCTCTTTAATTAGGAAAACATTTATTTTTTTTATCTAAATTTCAACGTGCAAGCAAATGGAAAACTGAGATCAGAAAAAAAACATTAATTTGTATATTCACTTAAAAGCAGATCTTCAGATTTCTCTTTCTTATTATGAGTGATTTAGAACAATATGCTCTTGACCATTCCGGACATATTCCGAACTTTTGTCGGCTTCGTCTACTAGCGGAAATGGTCTGATTACTTTGTTATTGGAATAATTTCTAAACGTTATTTTTTAAATATACAATAATATACTATTTACGTAGACAAATATAGTAGTTAGTATAATATACAAATTTTAACAACAGTTTTATTTTTATTTCTTCCAATTTTTCCGGAAATTTTGAACCTCTGGTGAAAATTAACACAAAAAGTTCAAATGAAACGATATAGCAGTTTGAAAATGACCTATTGATGTTTTTTTTTTAATATTTTTAATACTACTTGAAGTATCAGTACCTAGAACATTTCGTACAAGTTTTCGATTATTGTTGGTTCATATTTATTTAGAGTCAAAAAGTGGACTGCGGAAATTCATTTTTTCATAGTTACCTATAAAAAAAATGTGGAACTTTTTCTGCCACTCTTGACAGTCGAATTAAAGGGCCTCCTGTCGAAGTTTTCGAATTTTCTCAAAAACTATGTCCTAACGGACAGGTCTGCCAATAATTCGTATCATAACGTACATTACATTAGCAACATTTTCTTGTTGATCGATTTTCCTCAGTTCTAGTACTAGTAATTTGTTTCTTTTTCTGAAAAGTGAATCTGCCCACTATCTTTTATAGTCTTGTAATTCCTTCTTCTCAAACGTGGTCAACTGAACATTGTTTGCTGGCATTTTGCCAAAGACAAACACGTGATTTTTACTTTTCTACGACTTTGCAAATGGTTTAATTTATACGAATCTATAATTAATCGTTTTCATTATTTTCCAAAGATAATTAGGCTCAGTCTGAATTCCATAATAAAATGAAACCATTATATCATGTGTTGTACTTATATTTTCAGGATTCCAATTATAGAGTCGCCAGCGTAAGGTTCACAACAAATGTTAGTTAGCTGTGTCGTACGACACCTGGACACGAAGTATAAATAACGTGAGATACAAGCGCTCTCTTAATCACTATTTTGTTACAAAAATGTTTTTTGTAACAAAATCAGTTTTGTATGTAGGGTGGGTTAGTTTTTAATGAGTACTTACAAATAAAATATTTTATTAATAATATCTTATACGACAAATATTCAGTATGGTTTTTCCTTCATAAAAGGATAAGTCTATACAATTGTGCTAAATTATTTCTAATAGTACTTCGTCAAAGAAACGTGGACCAATAAACAACGTTTAAAATTAAGAAAGAAAAGGGAAAGAAGAACCTGGAAAACTGATCAATGCAAAGAGCTATACTTTTTCCATCGCAGAAAGTGTCATATTGTGGTTGACTGACGGTGCTGTAACGAGGCCTTTCCATTCCCTGTAAAATGAATTTACTTATATTATTAAAAAATAATAATAATAAAACACCCAATATACAGTGTGTTTTGGAAATAGGGGCTACCAATTTAAGGACAGATACAATCTCCAAAAATAATTACATTTTTTCCTATGGACCAGCAAGACCTTTCCGAAAAACAGCATAATGTATTGAAATTTGGGTAAGTTTTCAAAGGTACTAAATGCTAAATGCACACAAAACTCGTCGTCCTAGGCTGACATCCTAACAACCGCGATAAAAACTTTTGCTGTGGTAAAAATTAATAAGAACCTTTTGCAAAATATTTTTTATTATTACAATAGCGCAACCTTTCTGGACATTTGGTAATAATGAATCGGGTACGAGAAATTCAAAAATACACTTCGCTTGCCCCGAAACCTACCCAAATCGACGTCCCATGTAAAATCAGATTACATTTTAGGAATTTATACTCTTGAATTGGTCTTGGAAAATTTTTTCAGCATTTTCAATGGCCAAATTAACATTTTTATTTTTCCAGCTGTTCAAAATATTAACAATAATTTATAGAAAAGGGATCCGCTTAAAAATTGTATTTCTTCTGCAATTTTTTTTGTGAATGAGACGTAATGGTAAATCGGGTACCAGAAACTCGCATATGGCATCAGTTTGGCAGTATCTCGTTTACTTTTCGAGATACCTGCGATAATTTACCGGAAGAAATAGGAAAGTCTCGAAACAAAAATCTTGTTTATTGCGTCGGATTGTTCATATGTCGTTTATTGTTCGAGATGTGGAAAAAAATAAGCTACAAGCAGTATTTTTTGAAAGTCCAGAAGAATTCTCTCATAATGTGTTGTCATCAAAGTAAAATTTATACCTACGCTTATCTACGTTCTAATATAGGTACTATTGCTATGATGAAGGATTACAGTAACTTACTCTATACTCATTTATATCTAAGTTAATGTCCTCCTCGGAATATCCCTTCATTGCCTTTGTTGCCACTGGCCCCATATAGTTGTTAACAACAGCGAACTCCATCAGAGACATAAAAACAAAAACCGAACAACTGGACATCCACACATCAATGGCCTTCACGTAAGATACAGGAGGCAAAGATTGTTGCGACTGTGTGTTCTGGGTAGCTAAATTTATAGTGTTACACAGAGTGGCGTTATCAAACTTCGCCAACTGACAAAAGGTTAAATAATTTTTAACTCCGAAATTGTACGTGCTAGCAATTTGTCATAGATCTGTTTCGGATTTTGATTTGAACATATTGTTTATCAGCTGGCGAAAGTTTCTGATAAGTAATAAACTTCGAATTACCTAGTGTAAGTAGAGATGTAACACCTAGTGTTACACGAGCAGGTATGGCTTCTGGTTTTATCCAAAATGATATCCATGACATCACTACGATTAAGGCTGATGGTATGTAGGTGTGAAACAAATGATATCCTAAGCGCCTTTTTAAATTAAAAACAACTGCCAAACAGGTGAAATTACCTAAAATTTTTTTTTTGTTGAAAGAACTCAAATATGTAAGTAAATACAAGTGTATATTTAAGTTAGGTGCGACGTTACGTCCCTCACCAGTAGAATATTCTATGGTACAGTCGGTTGTATAATTATTGGAAATATCTAATTGAGGCAGTTCTATTTCAGGGTTAACAACAAGTGGATCTGTCATATTCCATATAAAAACTAAGTCGTGATCTGTATGCGACACTAAAAAATATAAGAGTTAAAAAAATGCGTACATATCGAACCACAGACGTACAACTTTCTATCATCATCGTACAAATTTGTGTATCGTGAGGGTACGTTTCGAACTTCATAGCGCAGGACAGCACCAGGGTCAGCCTAAAAATAACCTATATTTTTTTGTATTATCATTTCGTATTGGCGGGAGCGTAAAATATCATTTTAATCTATTTGGATTTCGTTGTACGAATGACAGATTGTTGCGAAAAATATGACAAAATACTTACTTTGACATGTATAACAGTGTCTTGTCGTGATACAGCCAAAGATAATGATTGGGGATAGTCATTTCGTGAAACGTGACACTCTTGGCGTTTTTAAAAAAACAGTCTGGCCTCCAAATACTATGCAACCAGTCTACGTCTAATATTCTGTACTCTTCGCTCATATTTTCTGGAAGACGAAGTCTTGGATCGCGCCAACTTTGGGCTAGGAATATATCGGTAACATACGTCTACAAAATATAATTTATAAGGCAATCGTATGCACATTGATTAGATCATTTATTGTTTATAAATTGTTAACTCCTAAATAAGGCGAATTTGCGTGAGTGACATATCAGACGAATTAATTTTAAAAGCCTTTAAATCCGATCCTGTTAAGGTGGTACTGACATTCAGTATATTATGTAAGTGTAACAATACATCAAGGGACAATGTAAATAATATTACAATAAAATACTTGCCATCGATTCTTCGTTAATCGAATCCAAAGAAAGTACGGTTACATGGAAATACACAATGGTTGGTTGTCCCTGCAGTTTTGGCGCGCGATTCTTGTCGTAATGCTTGGGTTTAACAGGTAAAATATCTCTTAGTGACAAACTGTTTTCTTCGATGTAATCGCGAATTCTGTTTTTGGAATGATTCTTACTAAAAAGCGAATATAACGGAAGATTCACTTAATACCGATTTTTTTTTTAAATTTAACAAAAATTTCAAATTAGTACTTACAAAGTGTGAGTGGCCACTGCGTACGGTATCGAAATATACAGAGTTAATAGCATGAAAATGTTCATGATGAAATGTAATTTTGTCTCGTGTTTTACCTACTACCTAAGGGCTAGCTTATAATATAATTTAATTATCCTGTAATGGGATTAGAGTCAGTCACACAATCACTAGAATGCAGGCGTTTCATTATGCACATATAGAAACATAAGCTCCACTTACAAACTAACCACCTGTCTTATAAAATAACTCGTTTTCGTTGCAGCGTAGTTTTAGCACGGCTTACAGACAAAATAAAAAATTAAATAATTTGAATATTTTATTTCATAATTAATTTACTAGATTAATTACATGTTTAAAACAATTTTAATATCTGGTTTATGTAGTTCATGTAACAAAGACAACATCCATAAGACATAGGTATCTGACATTTCTGTTTATGTAAAAACAACAATAATTGTTTAAAATACATTGCTTATCCATTTTTCCATGTACAAATAAATGTGGGTATAAGAAAAAATATATTTGTTTCTAAAAAATCTTGATTTATATTTTACAGTTCATGAATAAAAGATAATTGGAAAATGTCAGTCACGCAATGCAATTTCTATTTTCTTTTATCACAAAACATACCTCTACTTTCAAGTAAGTCAGTAATTATCTTAATTCCCTAGTTATTACATACTTTTCAGTTTTCCAAAAATTAAAAGAAAAATAAAATACCTTCTTTTAATACAATATTTTTCAAAATAAATAAACATAAAAGAACCATTATGTCACTTAATAAAGAAAGTTTCTTAAAATTCCTAATTTTGAGTCATCGTGATAAGATAGATGTATCGTAGATTTAATTTAGTATTTATCACATTAAAGTGGACTCAGAGGAGCTAGTGGAATCAATGATTATGCTACATGCTCCAATATATCAGTTTCAGAGAAAGCTTGGATGGAAAAAAATGTTTTTTTGTTTCGTTAAAACTCGCCACTGCAAAAATTAAACTGTTCTAAATTAACAAATATTTAATATAAAATTATGGATTCTTCTGCTACTTTCATCCTAAAAAATTGCGATTTACATTTTATAGTATTTTTGTTAAAAACTAAACGATTGGTAAAATGGTAAAAGAAAAACAGAGGATATGTATTTGGGATTTTATTAAGTATTTAAAAATATTGAGCGAGCAGCGCTGCCGTAGAAACTGGAAATTAAGTAGTATTAAAACTATTCACATTAAAGTGAAAGTACATAACATATTTTTGATAGTTTGGCAGGAATGTGCCAGGTGAAGTATGGAGTTTTGCAAAAATTAATAATAAAACCGATACTGTGTATAAACAGCAACTGATATAGCTTATATCATTTATTTATTGGATATAATGTAAAAAGTATATGTAATGCTAGTGACCTTGCATTTTTTATCATTAATAGTGTGTGATCTAGATGAACTAATTATCAAACAGATCGCATTAGAATAATCGACTGTATCACTGGTTCGCAACTCACTTGTTAAATAAGTGTAATTTACAATGAGACAAACTGTTTAGATGCCATTTGATATTAGAGATCCCGTAACTAATCAAAAATTTAGTTGATAAAACAAATTATTCAGTTATTAAAAAGAATATTATCTAAGCAATAATTTTTTTACATAAAAAATGTCTTCGAATTAATTTTGCACTGGATGGATATTTGACATTATGAAAACTTTAGAATTACTAATAACTTTATTTTATTGCCTTTAAATATTCTCTTATCATTACTATAATATTTATTACTTATGTACGTTAGCCTTTCTTCTAATTAAATTTTAACTAAATTAAAAACATATCAAATGTACATATTAAATGCATTCTCTAATCAAGTCTTCAAACAAGTGTTTCAATTTTCTAGGTAATTTTGTTATGTGCATGAATTTTAATACAAGATTTAATTTTTAGTTACATTTTATATTTTTAATACATCTAGTCCTTTAGAGATTCTATTTAAACACAGTATTTTGGTGTTTTGAAAAGTAATATTGCCAACTTGCTTGAAGCTTAGAAATATGACAAGATGTATAAAGCTAAATATTTGCTTGCAAATGGCTTCGTTTTTAAATTTTATTTCGATAAAATAAAATTTCTATATACATTCTAGGGTGGCCCAAAAATAAACGAATATATTTTTTTTTCATGTCTCTTGTGAAAATATGTTACTTTATCATGTTTTAAGAGCCCCCGCAAAAAATCAGCTCAAAAAAAATTTTTTTTTAGAGGTCGCTCAAGATTTTTAGAAATATCCAAAATCGTCAAATATCGAATTTGATTTTTCTCGTTATTTTATCATTTTCTAGGTTGAAAAAAATCTCGATTCTGAAAATTTCAAATCGATATTTTAATTTCTAAAGGTCACTCATAATTATTTTAACTTTCAAAGTAGTGTACCTAAAATGTTTTCGAGTGACCTCTAAAAATAAATATCAACGAACTAATAAATTTTTTTTTATTGAATTTGATGAACAAAAGAATAGAAATAAATCACGACCCTTAAATTTTAAAAAATTTAAAAATTATAAATATTTGATACTCGGTGGTAGTAAATTTTGCCTCGAGAAATTTTTTAAGTGTCGTGATTTATTTCTATTCTTTTGTTCATCAAATTCAATAAAAACAATTATTAGTTCGTTGATATTTATTTTTAGAGGTCGCTCGAAAACATTTTTCAGCTGATTTTTTAAGGGGGCTCTTAAAACATGATAAACTAACATATTTTCACAAGAGACACTAAAAAAAAAAATTCGTTTTTTTGGGCCACCCTAATATATTCATTAGTAATAATTTGCAGTAGGTTTGCAAATACGTCAGTGTTATCTGGATAATGCTTTATGCAACTAATTATATTTCTAACCCATTCCTAAAATTATTTTCTAACGCCAAAATATAAATTTTATGATAGCAGAGATTACAAGTAGAAAATATTTCTAAATACCATCAAAATGCTTGTTATATTTTCAAATACGAGAAATATTTATCCAAGAGTATCTGAAAAACAAATTAAAACTTTATACTTGTACCTTATAGTAAAATTTTCTTAAGTATAATCTGCATTTTATACTGGGTCAATTTAAGTAATCACAGTCTACACCTTAAGTATACATATTTTATGAAGAAAAAAAAAAGAAATGCAAATAATTAAGTATCTTCATAATACTTAAATTTTAAACTTAATTTCTAGGTCTGTAGGAAATTTACTTTAACACGAGATTGCCTAAAGCAATACTTAGTAAATTTAATTAAATAAATTACAACTTCCACTTATCGGTCATAATGTAAAAAAAAATAAATATAAAAACTGATAAACCTATGATTAATTTTTTGGCTACTGGTTCATTTTCTTTGCTCCTAATCATATTTTTTAGATTTTCCTAATTACAATTTTACTATATACATTTCAATAATATTACATTAAAAAATATTCATTTATAATAAAAAAAAGGTATTGAAATAAAAAAAAATACACAAAATGAAGTACATAACAAAACAGCTTTCTTTAAATTTATGTTCGAGTTTAAAAAAAATCTTCCTACAATCATTTAAATAAATTAAGTGAAGCTACCTATAACTTTTCTCCATCCAAACCTCAGTTACATACATTTTACTAAACGATCGAGAAACTACTGATATTTTAAGTATTATTGCTAGTTGCCATTGTCACAAACATTTGTTGAAAGTCGGCTAATTCTTGTCCCAACATTTCTATGCCCTGCCCGGATCGAACAGGTTCTCCGTCTTTAAGAGGTACGTTTGTTTTTTTTTTCTCTGATTCTGCACTATCAGGCCTCCTGGCAGTTGCCGTTTTACTAGGGATGACTGGTTTATTTGGAGGTATGGGTGGTGGAACACCTCTGGCAGACACTGAACTTTTCTTAGGAGGTGTCTGGGGAGCTGTTGACCCCGTTTGAAACTGGGGATGGAAAGCTGCACCTTTTGGGGGGGTACGCACCGTGGAAGCCTGGGAAGATATCTGATTTGGTACTGCTACTGGTGTTGGATTTACCTGAATGTACATAAAGGATTAAGTACATAAAGTTTTTTCAAATAAAATAAGTCCTTTACCTTTGCAGTTAGAGTAGTTGTAGCTGATGTAGCAGTTTGTCTAAGGGCTTGTCCCGGGGTGACTGACTGAGCAATTCCAGTGGCTAAAAATTAGAAATTTGTATATATTTGATGATTAAACGTTATTAAAGATAACTTACTAGGGCCAGAGACAGGTACACTAGAAACTGTTGCAGTGGGTTGTACAACTTTAGCCACACTACTTATCATAGGAGACGCACCGTCACTAGGTAATGAGGCTCTGTTCCGTAAAGCCTCACATTCTGCTTTAACTCTTAATAATTCTGCTTCTAATTCTTGGCATCTATAATCAAATCATATATAAGACCGAAAATAAAATGGTGTCAATCATGAAATACCTAAGTTCTTTTGCAGTTAACTGAGTTTTTAAGGTTTTCTTATCATTTTCGTAAACATATACTTGTTTCTCAAGTTCAGCTTCCATTTGTAGCGACTTTTTACTTTCTTCTTCTAATCCCTCAGCCATCGTGTCAATTCGTGACTTTTCTTCGGATAAAATCTATTAAAAAAAAAACATTTTCTTTCATTCTGTCAGTTCCACACAATAATTTAGTTACCTGAGCCAAATCTTCGCTTCTCTTCCTTTCTTCAATATATTTAACAATAATCTTCTTCCTTTCCGCTAGTAAAAGTAGAACTATTTGTTTTTGTCTTGCTCTTTCCTCATCGGCCATTTCCACTTGCCTTTTGACTTCTTTTTCTAATTTTTTTCTAGCGTTTCTCTCCATTTCCAACTCTTGCCGCAAACGTGTTCGTTCCATCTCTAAACCATATGTAATATCATCTCCCTGAGCTGTATCATGTTCGTGTTTACATTTCTCTTCTTCTAATTCTTGAATTACCTAAAAGGATTAAATTAAATAAAAAAACATTTAAGTATCAATAATTTACTAGATCGGAAATTACACTACTTTAATACATTTTGTGTTTGTTTTACCTTTTTATGTTTATTTTCTGCCTCTTTTAAAATACTAATCATATGTTGATGCGCCCATCTTTGCTGCAAAACTAACTGTTCTAAAGCTTGAAGCTGCTGTTCAGCTGCCTGCGCCATTTCTTTTTCACTCACTGGAGGCTTAGCAGTAGGTCCATCAGCTATACTATCTCTCAGTAACGCTGTATATGGATCCGACATTACTGCCGGTCTGTACCTTCCTACATTTACTACTTGCTTTAATTTTTCAGACTAAAACAAATATTGTAGTGATGAGAACATTCACATAGAAAATATAAAAATTAAATTAATTTAAATATACGTAGACTACTAATCTTATAAGAATTATTTTATAATCTTTAAATATTTTTAATAAAATATAAATACAACATTTAAGATTTTCTAGAAATCATATGTTTTGACGCAGAACATTAAGGATTAGTTAAAATAAGCATTAGGTACTCTTTTCAATGCAAAAGATTATAAAAAAATAATAATCAAACAATCTACCTTAAGTGCAGCTATGGCAATGTCTCTAGCTTGAATTTCTCCTTCGAAATAAGTTACAAGTTTAAGTAAATCATTTTTTGATAATTCCATTTTTGGATTCCTCTGAAATAATTAAAAATTTAAACTAAATCAGATTACAAGGAGTTACAACAAACCTTTAAGGTTGCACTTGTATTAGCCCTATCCATTTGTTCATATTGGTTCATACCAGAGGTAGTGCTTTGCTGTTGTTCAGAAACAGTATTTGAAGAGGTCTCAAAATCTACTACACCAAGACTACCCATCCAGTCAATGCCTACATTATTAGTAGCCATATTGGAGAATTTTCTTTATTTGGCTTATTTTCCAGTATTTTTGCTAAAATATGAGCATACTCCTCCTACTAAGTATTAGACACTTGGTTTCACTTATCATTATTGTTATTAAACGTATTTTTATTTGGACTTTACTGCGCGTTTGACAATAGAAACAACACTTTTAGGTTAGTGTGATCAATCGATAAATTTAGGGACATTTTATTTCTTATCTGACAGAGCTATTTATTTTCTTACGTTGGTGACACACTCGAAGGATAAAAATGTACTTTGAAAAGTCGAGGTTACTATTAAATAAAATATGTAGTTGATTACACCCAATTTTATTTGTGAATATGGAATATTTTTTAACAATATTTATATTATAAGCAATAAATGACATCGCAAAATATTTATATAAGCCAACGTGCATTGTAGTAAAAATAGACTTTTTAATGCTGTCTAACAAACCTTTTTCAGTCTCTACCACGAGGAAAATTTTAAGTATTTAGTAAGTTATTGTAGATATTTGTATATTTGAATATGGTATATGAGTTCTATAGATAACTACTGTTTCCGATTGGTTAGACAGAATTTCATGAACACCTAAAATGACAAAATGCTAAATTATGATCTATGTTGTTAAAAATTAGTTCTTGTTGCAGTTGTTGTTCATATAACATTCTATGTAGCTCACAACCAACAGTTCGTGTAAATTTATATAAGCTATTTTTCCTTTTACATGTACATTTATAAAATTTATATAAAATAGAAGCATATTAAGTCAATTTTATCTAGATAAAAGTTTATTTAGGCTGCAACTTAATAAAGATAAGTAATCCTTGATACTGAATATCGAGGTGTGTGAAATAAAGTTACTGACATCAGACCATAAATTAAAAAGAAGTTTTAGGTAATATTGACTCATTATTTTACAAAACGTTTTACAATAATCCATAAAAAATATATTAATCTAGAAACATCAAAGCCATTCCTTGTGGGAATGCAGTACTTAATAAAAATAACTCGTACAGTCTAAATTTAACACTCCTAAAAAATCACAGAAGAAACCAAAGGAATGGCTTTGGTGAACATGTTTTTCTGCGTTCCTTACTAGGTATAGCTATAATGATGTAAAATCTTTATATAGGTATTAAAATTAATTCTAGCTTCTACACAAATCTTAATATATTCAAATTACAAACCACCAACTAAAAAAAAAATAAAATAGAACAAGTTGATTTATTCTTTTTTCTGATCGAGCAATGTACTTGCTAAAAAAAAAATTAAGTAAATATGGGACAATAGTTAATTAAATTCACCTTACCTTTTTCTTTAACATTTTGAATAGTGCTGTCGATTACAGTATGATGTTTTAAGAAATATGGTCTTACGATCCTCCTATAAATAACTAAAGATCCGTTGAACTCAGTCGGTATCATCAACCAGACAAAGAAAAGACACTATAAAATGTATTTGCATTTATTAGGATTATTTCTATATACTTATATATGGCTTACCTTAATTAACCAATATAGTGGGAACCATCCTACAATAACATCTGCGAAATATTCGAAAATTGAAAAGATGGCAAAGACTACCCAGTAGGTCAACCACTTTGTATCATCATCTTTGCAGGGAGATTCTATAGCGTGTATTGATGCATATGCCGGATACAAAAATCCAACAGAATTACATACTAACTGAGCTGCATATCCAAAGACAAGCCACACACCAATAATAGCAATTGTACCTGTTATACAAACGAAAATAAAGCATGTCAATATGACGCAACATAATGCATTTATAGTTAATTATATATTATTTAGTGATATTTATTTACCCAAAAAAATATAGATGCGATCTACGCCGGTACTTTTCTCAACTTGGGAGAATACACTAGTCCACGGTTTTTCTGGATCATGTAAAGATTTGTCCAACTCCTGCTTTATTTCGTTAAATTTTTGAGCCATGATCAATGGACAAGTTCGTCTATTTTATACGTTAATGCCTTCTACGTTTATACGGTTACAAATATAAATGACAATGATAAAAAATCATTACCACAAGAAACAAAACGTTATACAAGGTCACGATAATTTAGAGGTTAATTAAATTTTAAATCATTGACGTATAATATGATCGGAAAGAAAAGTTAACCTCAAAAAACACGTAAAAGAAGAAGAAGAATGAAATCTATACAGGGCGTGTTATAAGTTCATGTCAAACTTCATTATTGGGTTGTTTTACCAAAAAGCTCTAATGTTTAAATGTACTAGTGTTCGAAATATAGTGTTAAAATTTAAAAGAAATATTACATGTATTCAAATATCTCTGAGCATGTTTAGCCTTGATTGATGAAAGACAAACATTTATAGAACTTATATAGGTATAGATGTGTCTGCCAGTAACTGATTAACTGAAGTACTTAAAGGCACAGGCACTGAAAACCTCAGAATTTCGGAAAATAAGCAATTTTCGAATCATTATTCATTATTGATATTGATAGTAAAGATTCACTCTAAGTGAAGTGATTTGAACTCGATATTTTTATATAATCTCAATATTCTGGATCTCAAAATCTTAAGGTTTTCTGGTCCAAAATAACTCGGAGAGCAATTTCCCAAATTTCCAATTATACTTAAAAATTGTCTTGAAAATATAATAAAAAAGTTATAAGTGCAGATATTTTCAAGATCGACATTCTAAAAGATCTAATAACATGGGATGTCTAGTTAAGATTGTTACTTTACTGAAGATATATACACTATAATAGAATTAAAAATTTATTAAAAATAATGACAGAAAAACATATTTGTATATAGAAAACATTGTTCGTGATGAAAGTAAATATGTAATACTGATAAAAGAAAATCAATACTGATTATCAAATATAAAAATACAAATAATATGATGTGACTCCTCATTAATGCAAGCATATGAAAAATTAATATTTATTTGACATATAATATTAGGATGCGTATATAATAAATTAATTTGTGATTATGTACAATTAATTCACTGGGCAGTATTAAATCAAATAATTATTTAAAATATACTTAGACAGAACATACACATTATTTTGGCACATAAACAGCAAATAAAGAATTTTATACTGTTTGTAATAAACACAAACTTAAATAGTTATACTGATCCAACTTTACACATATATCAAATATCATATAAAAGTTTTTAAGTAAAAAATAAATTATATAAAAATTCTAATACATATTTTCAATATTATCTACATTTCATTATCACAAATATGAAAATTTGACACGACATTAGTACCATACTGTCTCTGATCAGAGGAAATGTGTCTTGTGTCAAATATTTTAAATTTTCTGTAAAGCTAAAGCAGGCCATAATAAAAATACAGCGCCTGTCAAGTATGTCACTGTAGAACCAACACTCCAAAATGCTATGCTCGCAAAAATAGGTCCCAGTGCTCTTGCCAATGCCCCTAAAGAACGGAAAATACCCATAACAGTACCTTTTTCTTGGTCATTGCCATATTCAGAAGCCATAGTCGTAATGCATGGAACAACCATAGCAGTTGCTAAAAAATAAAAATTACAGCAACATTAAAAATAATAATTCTAGTTTACTTACAAATTGCATACAAAAATAATCCTAAATATAACATTATTTGCCCTTTAGCTATTCCAACCAAAATAAATGTAGGTACAATTAGCCACAAACCGTTAACTGCGGTTTTTTTAATTTTATTCTGGGGTACTCTTCTCACATATGTTCCTTGCATTAATGCCATTGTTAACCCTATAATAATTATAATAATAAAAAAATACATGTTAACATTTAAAAATCATTCACCTAATACGAAAAACATCCAGCCTTGTTGCATTGAGGTGTAATTAAATACGTGATGGGTAAGGAAAGTTAAAGTAAATTCTAATCCACTGTAAATGAATAAATATACAAAATAAATTAATCCTATTTTCCTCAATTTTTTCAAATTTGCGTCTTTTACACTTGCAACTGCTGTAAATCGAAACAAGTCTATAACGTTAATCAGCACTTTGGCATTTTTCAAAGTTTTCATAACACTTTTAGAACGTTTTTCCTAAAAATTAGTGTATATTAAAAATATGCAACTAAACTTGTCCTTGAAAGTAAAACATCCTGTGTTTGTTGCATAAAAATATGCATATAACTTACTTTAGGTAGTGATTCTTTAAAGAATATGGTAAAGAAAATTAAATCGGCAATTGAAAGCAAAAAAGCAAATAATGCTGGGACTACAAACCATTCGCCCGATTTTTGCTTAGCCCATACCGCGAAAATTGCTCCAATTAGCGGTCCAATAATAAAACCTAAAGAAAAAGCAATTCCAACAAGTGCCTGCAATAATAATAATAATGATGGATTAGATAACTATAGCAAGTAAAATTAACATTACAAAATTATTACCATTCCTTTTCCTCTTGTTTTCATAGATGACACGTCAGTAATTATAGCCATACTAAGTGATACGTTTCCTTTACTTATACCACCAAAAAATCGGGCAAGTATGAATATTACCAAATTAGTGGACAGCGCCCACAAAATATATGATAGTGATATTCCAATCTATAAATAAATAACAGAAGTGATTTATTGAGAAAAATAAATAAATAAGCAAATTACCAGACAAGCGATCATAACTTTTTTTCTTCCGATAACATCGGATATACCACCAAAAATAGGAGCTGCAACAAATTGTAAAAAACTAAACATCGATCCAAGAAATCCTCCAAATAATACTGTACTGAATCGTTCCGGGGCGCCAACAAATTGTTGAAAATAATTTATTTTATGGGAAAGCCATGTATATAAACCTGTGCTATCATTTATTCTATAATGTTCAAGTAAGGATGGTAGCAACGGAAGTATCATAGTAAATGCTAATAAATCCAATAGTAACGACACAAATACTATATAAACTGTGGGGCTAATTCTCTCCATTTTTTCAGTCATTTTAAGTGCAGTTAAATAATTTCCAGTGGACGACTCCAAATAAAATACTTTCACTTTGTAGCTTACTATTTTCTTTAAATATGGTTTAAAATTAGGTCAATCCATAGTAATCAATAGAGTATCTTAATCAGTAAATTTATCTTTATCTTTAAGATTTTGCTTGATCTTTAAAATGTTGTAACTATTTAAGAACATGGAACTCAGAATTTTTTTTGCTTTTACATCATTTAATAACAGCGCACTCAACACAGTCTGTTGATCAACACTATCAACAGGTAACAGGAACAGGTAAACTTATTTTATCTGAGAATGAATGAAAATGCGCAGAAGCAGTTTTATGATTCTTTATGTGTAAATCTAAAATTAAAAAATAAAAGTCTGCTGATCGGCGGGTGATCCGCGATTGTTGTGTGTATAGAAGGTTGAGAATTGAATAACATTTAATTTTTAATTTATTTTTTATTTCGTTATTCCTTTGAGTAAGCCGAAATACTCATACTCAAAGGAACGACGATAGGACAGCCAACTGTATATATAATAATCTGTTCTATTAGTCATTTAAATCGTATCTCTCATATGTTAAAATTCTCTAAACAGGATCCACATTATTATATTTTCTATGATCCACATGCATATCCTGATAGTTCCCACTATCTGTCATTTTACTTCAACGATCTCCTTCCAACGGATACGTGATACATACAAACCTAGATAAATGGTTTTATCTAGACATACAAAGTTGAAATGAATCAACTTTCATCCGTTTTGATCTTGACAGTATCAAGACTGTCATGTGATGATGATAACGTGGTTACAACGGATCCGTAATCACGCATACATGTGGATCCAGGCTAAGGTAAAAGGGTACTTTACTCAAAAAGTTATATAAATTCACTGGTTGGTATCAATGCTTCTGGATACATTCCCTAAATTCAAATATTTTAATGCATGTATTTATTTAAACAATTATATTTGTAGGATATATTGATAATGATTCATTAACATTTTGCTTGGCATAACCAGTTATCGTATTAAATGTAACAAATTTCAATATTTGACCTTTTACCTGAAATAGTTGTTGATGTTGATGTTATATTGGTAGTATGAATTGGTGCTTGATCGCCATTTTATATCAATAAGTTGTAGTTCGTGATAATTGTTGAATAAAATATTTTTATTTGTTTTTAAATAATATATCAGTGGCTTTACAATTGTAAAATGGTGTAAAGATAAAATTTCGTCATGTTGAACTGGTAAGTATTGTATAATATAAATTACTGTCCAATTGAGACAACCTCGGTATTTAAATTTATATTTGTTTATTTTTTTAACGTATTGTCTGCCAGCCGCGTTATCATTGTATACATTCCTATATAATGTTTACAAGCTTTAAATAACTGTTTAATTAATTTCTTTCGTTTAACCATTTCTAATTTATAACGCCTACTTAAAAAAAACTCCTACTGAATGTGTGGGTTTCAATCTAATAAAGTAATGTTTATGGTCATACATATTATTAGCGGTAAATAATTTTTTCTCTTACAGTTCACCTATGAAAAGGAAAAGGCGAACTGTAGTTAATAATATGATGGAAGTATTTGAAAATGTTTTGTTAAACGCATCAGAATTTATTAAAGGTAAGTTATTTATCTTACGATTGTAAACGGTGCCAAATATGTCTGATCTAATTCTAGGACGTCTGTTTTTTGTGTCATTAAACACAGACGTAAAACCGAAATCTACTCCATCAGTCCATTATTTTACAATCGATACAGAATTAAATTATGATAGTTTCTACCTAGACTTTGGGCCTTTAAATTTGGCCATGCTGTATCATTATTGTGTGAAGTTGAGAAGAAAACTAAGCAACCCAGCTTTCCATAACAAAAAGATTGTACATTATACAGGTGCAGACGTGCAAAAACGAGTAAATGCTGCTTTTTTAATTGGTGCATATTCTGTAAGTACTGTAAATTGCCTTTTCAATTGTAAATATTGCATATATTTTTGTCATTAGCTGTCTTTTTTACATTATTTATCAGTTTGCTACTTTTACATAAATATGCAATGTTTTCTAAATATTTGAAGAATTAAAGGAAGTTAAGTCATATTGCTTGTTTTAGATTATATATCTCAATTATGAACCAGAACAAGCATACGAGGTTCTGAACCATGACTCGACAAAAGATTATCTAAAATTCAGGGATGCTTCTATTGGAGAGCCATACACATTAAGTCTTTTAGACTGCCTGAAAGCAGTAAAGAAGGGCTTGCATTTTGGGTTTTTTAATTTTGACAATTTTGATTTTCTCGAATATGAACATTACGAAAGGGTTGAAAATGGAGATTTCAACTGGATCCTTCCCAATAAATTCATTGCATTTTGTGGACCTCATAACAGATCTAAGTTGGATAAGGGATATCCAATTCACTCTCCGGAGACATACTTTGCCTATTTTCGAAGGCACAAAGTAACGACCATTATTCGATTAAATAAGAAGGCCTATGACTCGAATAGATTTGTTCAGGCTGGATTCGATCATAAAGATCTGTATTTTGTTGATGGAGGCACACCTAGTGATAGAATATTACAACATTTTATAAGTGTATCTGAAAACGCAAAGGGCGCATGTGCAGTGCATTGCAAAGGTATATAAATAGTGCTTTTCCCTGATCGTTTTATTAAGTTCAAATTTTTAGCGGGTCTGGGAAGAACAGGTTCTTTAATTGCTTGTTATATAATGAAACATTATAAATTTACGGCTGAGGAAGCAATTGCATGGATAAGGATCTGCAGGCCTGGATCTATAATTGGTCACCAACAAAGTTGGTTGCAAGAGTAAGCAGTAAAATTATTTGTTTAAATAACATTATTTTATATAACATTATTTAGGAAACAAAAACAAATGTGGGAAGCTGGGGAAGTTTATCGCAAGAAAAACGGAATTACTGGAATTCCAAAGCATACAGTAGGAATATACAGTTTATCGGAATTAAATAGAAAAAAGAGCCACGACAATGTTACTGGAATTGTAAAAAAAGTTGACTGTATGGAAATAAATGATCCGGACGAAGAATTTGAAGAAAATACTATAACTCAAGGGGACAAACTAAATGAAATTAAAGCTCAGAGAAGTAAAGCTAAGCCTCTTGGAACAAGTCAGTAAGTAGCCTCAGAATTAAATTGCTCTTTTTTGTACCTACTTAATGTTTGAGTTATTTTTTCCATGCTAATAAAATGACCTTGAAATGAAATGTACTTTGTAGGACAGAACGTTTACGTAGAGTACATGTTTCTAGCAGTCCTACAAGTCAGACTGTTTTAAGGGGAGGTAAAATTCTTACCAGTTCTTCATCGAAAATTTCAGGATCCACTAGTAATCGGGTGGTCGCCAAAAGGTTTGTCTAAAAAATGCACATTTATAGCTTCATACTTTTGCAAATAAAAGCATGGCTTAAAACATATTTTTGTATTACTCTGCATGCAGATCTTAAATAGTAACTTTTTTCACCTTATAGTATGAGGCGTGTCTTTTTACTTGCTTGAGTTTATACATAGAAAAGGTTGTAAATGGTTCTTATGTAATCTGTATTTTGTATTTTTAGATAATTTTTTAAGCACCGTACTCGTTACATGCCAATCAAACGTGCAGTATCGTTTGATATGAAAAATAATTTACTGGTTAATTTTTACAATTATTATCATTCTTCATGTGTCATTTAAGGCATTTTTCCATCCAGTAGGTTTTTTTTTAGTATATGGGTAAAAGAAATTTTATAATACATAATATCCTTTTTATTGATGTTGGTTCAAAATATAAATTAGAAAAAGAAATGGACCAAACAGGCAAAAACTTTGTTTCATTGGAAGAATCTTGGATTAATTAATGTGTAGTAACATGATTAAAAGTACCTATTGTTTTAAATAACCTTCAAGGTCAATAGAGAAACTTAAAAATCTATGAACAAATATTTTTTTAAAGCTTGTGTTTGCTATTTGAATGTGGCATGTAGTGTGCGTATAGTAAGTTATTAATTGTGTAGGCATTGTAAATGTCTAGCATAGTAGTTTATATAGGCATGGTTTTAGCACAAGGACAGCTTTTAAAAATTAAGAATAAGAAGTTTGTATGCCACCAATACTTTTGTTGACAGAATTGAAACAAAAGAGCCTCAACCAGTAAAGCGCAGTAGCACAAGAAAGTTAGCTTCTCCTATCACCACTTCAGCTAGTGAGAAGCTGCATCTAAACGAAAAACGTCAAATTGTAAAGAAAAGTCCTCTGTCTCGTTTAACAAAAAATGGAGTAGCTTACCAAAACGGTACAAGTTTAAAAAATATTTCACCTGACGAAAAACAAATGAAACGGGGTAAGAGGACACTTGCTTTAGAAAAGGATAAAGCAAGTCCTAGATCTGTTAAAGTGTTGCGTCGTTCTCATGTACTGGCATTAAGCCTAAAGGATTGTGAAAAAACTGAAGGTAAATTACGATTACCTTCGGTTAAACTGAACAAAACCCTTTAACTATGCATTGTACAGGTAAATGTTTAAAATGTGCATAAAAATTGTAACTATATATTTATAAAATTTATTTTTAGATAGACTGTTAAGGTAAATATAAATAATATTTTATATTTACCTTGATCTCAGTATCAAATTTATATTGAACTATTTGTGAAGTACAAGATTATTTTAAGTAATGGTTGAACTTTATTATTTAGGGTTAAAGTTTATTATTAGTTCGTTAAAACTAGTATGTACTTTAACCTTGAATATATCTGTCTTTTGATAAACAAGGTGGTTCAAATTTTGCAAAAAAGCCTGCTCACTATTATATATGTGTGATATACACATCAAAAGAAATTGTACGGGCAAAATATTTGGTCTGTTCTTTTTTTTAATATATAGGTATGTTATAAAATAAGAAATTGCAGCCATCCACCCATTATATTAAGAAAAAGTACATATAATCTCTTAGAAAAAAAATTCTTATAAATGTAATCATGTGAAATTGTTACATTGACAAGAATTTTATTTATGTAATTAAAATACTACATATCATATTTTAACAACTTTACAACCTTTAGATATTGTTGATTTTTTAATTAAAATACATTATATCGAATAAATTCCAATTTATTTGCAATAAATTATGTAATGGAATATATTTTTTTTATTTGGGAAAATAGGTTTTGTGTTACTCATATAAATATGCTAATATTAAAAATTTGAATCATCGTACTTACACTGAATATTGAAAATGTATTATTTTTATATGTCGCCACTTCATCACTGTATTTATTATACACACGTTGTTAATTGTAAATAGTTTAGAATTTAGAAATATTTTTCAATTATATTCTTTAGATCTTAGGCATTTATTATTTTTTTAGTTGTTATCTTATATGAGTAATACTTTTTGGTGAAGTGCTATTCAAAAAAAAAATGTTTAAATATTGCCACTATTTTATGATTGTTACTTTTTTAAATTATACTCCATGATTTTAGAACATTTAATCAAACAGTGCTATACAGAAACATTTTTAATTTCTGCAACTACACAAGGGTTATGTGGGTGGTATTAGGTTTTTTAATTTACATGTACTTGTATGGGACGTCCTGAAATAAGTACCCGTTAAGAAAAATTCTTATGAAGACATGCTTTAAATCTGTTCAACTTCAAGATACAAGCTTAAATGCGTCCTATACTTTATATCTTATGTACATAATTTTCATTCTTAACAATTACTTTTCGGGGGATACCTTGTACATATACAATCTACAGATTTTAAATTTGGTAGCTAAAAGCTGATATGTGAAAATGAATCTTATCCAGCATTTTCCAATTTTTTTAGATTATGGCAACAAAAGTTTTTAGACATTTAAAATGAGAAAAACATTCCATTGGAGTAATTTTTTTACATGTTGTATTATATATATTTTAAATTAATGTTATGTATATTTTATTTTCAGATATATGTTAACCAAGAAAATAATTATTAGAATGAATGAAAATAGATAACATTTTATTTGTTCGAATGTCAAACAGAAAGAAATTTTAATTCATAATACCTGTTCGCAGTGATGTGATATTATCATCTATTCACATTACAAAATAAAGAGTTAAATAATTAGGACTTGTACTGATATGTTTATGTTTCTCAATCGCTTTTTTAGAGCATTATAGATTGTTAGTTTGTTGCTTTGCTTAAAAGTTAATTTTTGACACATTACAGTCATATTGTTTAGTCATTGCCATAACCCTTATATAAGTTTTTTGTTAAAAGACATTCTGTCAAATTTTGTAATACATATGTTTTCCATTTAATAAATAAAAAACTAATCAGTTTTGCTAATATTATTTTCAAAATATAATTTTGGAATCGTTGAAAAACTTAGTCTTCGGTAACAATTTCATAAATAAGTTTCCAGTTGGTGTCTCAGTGTTATATCTTAAAGTCAAATAATTAAAAATAACTTAAATTTAGGTAAACTACCAGAAAAGTTAATGGTAAAAAAAAATCAAAAACATACTTCACTCCTTAATTTTCTATGCACTGTTAACTTTACTCATTTAAAGCAGACTCATATAAGAAATGTTAATGTTGTAAAATACAATGTTAACTTAATGTTTAATATATTTTATTGTTTGTTGAAAGCTGAATCTAAAGTTATCGACAAGCAGTGATTAAGAGATTTATATTCAAAATTTTATAAATGTGTTGTATATATAAAACTGCTTACAAGATAAGTTTAATTAAGCATTTATATACTGCAGTCTTTTTACACATTTATTTGACAAAATGCCATTTGTAGATTATATGCAAACATATTTTTAGTTTAATAAAGATGCCATTTTGTTATAATTCATCCATAAATCAGAACTCTATTAAAACGTTTAATAAATGTTTTTATATATATGTAAACACACACAATTGTTTTATTTGTAGGTAAATAGTAATATAGAATTTAATTAAAATTTACAAACTGGATGCCTGTAGAAAGGGGCAGTATAAACAAATGATTTCTGTTTACTCCAAGTTTCAGTATCGTAAAGTTTTACCATCTCATTAAATTAATAAACTTATATTGAGGATATATCTGTTAGGTGCTTAAAAAAAAACAAATTAGAATGGCCACTTCATATTTGTATTAGCAAGAGCAAATACATATATGTCTTATATTTCGAAAAATAAATGTCACTAATACGATTTGTAGCACGGGAAATAAATTTAAAAAGTTCAAAAGAATAAATAACATATTCTATATAAATATTTGGTTACCTTCTTTAAAATATAAAAAATATGGTATTAGGAACTATAACAATTAACAAGAAAACTATTCCTATTTTGTACATGTCGATTTTCTAATCTGTTTAAAAAAGTATTTAATACATATATGAGCACATTTTTAATTTTTTGTATTATAGAAAATTTAAGAAAAAATGTATTTCTTATTCAGCATTCTGAATATTGTTACAATTATTATCTAAAAAATTTCTACAATTGAAAACATTAATAGCAAACTTAAAATAGCTATTTGTATAGTCACATTTCTTCAAGAATAGTAGCGACTTTCATCTTCAAAATGGTGTTCGTGTAAAAGCCCTTCTTGGTCTTCATCCATTTGCCTTTGAGGGAATGTTAATCCATCTCCCAAACTATACAAAAAATTTACATTCTCAATTAAGTTCATTCTATCACAGCACTTTCAAATGCTAAGCTTTTTGTTCTTTGACACACCTGTTAGAACGAATGTATTTTGTGGCAATTAAAAATGAAATAAATAGTACTGTTTTTATGAAACAATTTTATATTTTGCATACGCATACTATTTTATTAAATTCCTCACTTGAACACCTGTTAGTAATAATTGTCGAAATTAAATACAATACAAAATATAGCAAAAGTAAATTATTCATAGTATTTCAAGGATGTTAATCAAAAACAAAGGGTACCAAATCATAAAACAGAAAATGATATAAAATAATTTATTCCAAAATAAAAGTCAAAATATCAATTAACAATAATTAAGTACATTTTACTTAAATTACAATATGGATATTTCTGTAAGGCCAGGGTTGAGCTTACTTGTTTCAGTTTCAGCGTCTCGTGTGCTGCTTAAAAAATGCAATATTACTTTGTTTATTAAATTAGCTTTTGCAATGAAGCTTTTTACATGCAATAAAGGTTACTAGCAAAATCAGCCTATCGTTTTTAAAACCAACACCTGATTCTAAAAATGAAATACACATATCACAGCAAAAATATCATTGCTGAAGCAAACCAAATTTATCAAAACATTATGTGAAAAGTAATGTTTCAGTGGAAAAAAATAAAGCTTCATGACGATCACCACCATTAAATGAGCTTGTGATGTTTCACTATTTTACTTGGATCTCAAAAATGAAAATGTTTCATTTTTGTATCAAATCTACTTCTGTTATAAGTATTTTTCTAGAATAATTAAAATATAAAATTTAAATGGCGAATATTTTTAATTTCAAATTAACTAATTTTAACTATTAACTGTAAACCCACTTATTTTTAATTTAATAGAAGATACTATATGGATTTAAATCGGGTTATGGATCAATCAAATTAAATCTAAAAAAATACTAATAGGGTAAGTTTTTAAAGTATCATAGTTTTTTGGGTTGTTAGGCCATAGTCTATATAAAAGATATTCGCCATGACTGAAAAACTTAGTTATGGCGAAGCTTCTGTAAAGTCACCACTGATGATATTGGTACTGGAGGCAAGCTAAACGTTTGGAATGCGACCAGTTACAGAGGCCATTATGAAACACAAGACAGACCCTAGCACGAGAACAACATGGGCAAACCAAAGACTCCTAGCTAACGTTAATAAAGTGCAATGTAAATTTGTAACTGGCAGCAACCATGTACATAGACCACGGCAAAAGAACCTCAAAAACCATGACATTTTAAATATGAACATGGGCTCTGAAGGCCTTAACTACGAGTAGGATAAAGTATTATTAAAATATGAAATAAAGAAAATTTGAATATTTGAAATCTGATATATTAATACATTTATTAATTAATATATTAATAAGTATTAATATATTAAACAAAATTTAAAAAATTTGAATACCCTAAAATAAGCTAATTTTAAGTTATTAATCGTCCGAAATTTTACATCACTCCTTGGTTTTTATAAATAATTTATGTACAGTATGAATATTCATCAAAGCTAAATACAGAGAAATTAAGAAAATGTGATTATCAGGGTGAATTGTTAAATATTTTTTACTTTTTTAACTACTGTTAGTTAAGACATATTTTCTTCATAAGATACATTGGAACTTAAAAGTAATTTATACTCTAGTCGTAATTACTTTTCAAAATATATTTACACGCAAGTTAGTTACTTTCATTTAAAAAAATGAAGTCGTAGTTTTGGAAGCTACAGAAAACATATCTTATCAGAAAATGAATAGTATTAAAACAAATTGATTTTATTGATAGCTATTTGTTATCACAAAAATAAAAAGTTAAAAGTGTTAATACTGCAAGAAAATAAAATGTTGAGTTGCATTAGCTAATAGCGTTAGCCAATATTATTACTCTAACCTGTTCTGGGTGCTGTCCATAGACTGATAAGAACTCTGCTGGTGGCGTGAGTGTACAGGGTATTCTATACCGTCACCCAAACTACAAAAATTCATAAAAAATGTAATGTTGCTGAGATATAAATGTATATTACTCTATAAATAATTAACTATAAAAACGCACACAATTTATACCCACATATTTGTGATTGTCTTAAATACTTGATATTAATAAAAAAAATAATAATAGTGTCAAACTGTGGAAATCAAACAAATACTTTCATTGTGATTAAAGCTTGCTACGTTACAGAGTAATTATACATGGCTGATATTTTTTTATGTAAAAAGCTGCATTTACATAATTTTGTTAATAGATTGAAACATATTTATGATCAAATTATTTGCCTTATTTTACCCCTGTACTCTTAAATTTGGTATCGTAAAACATACATCAATTATAAAAATTGATAAGAGACAAGTTTTATTTGTGTCCTAAAATTCTTAGAAAACCTTTCAGGGAAGAAGAATATGTTAAATAAATATAAGTTATACATTTACTGTTATTTTAGAAATTGAAAAAAACATTTGTCAAAATTGAAATTTACCGTCCTTGTAAAATTGGTGTCAGTTTCTAAATTTCCCTAATGCCAATAAGTTTGTTTTTAATTCAAAATATTTCTAGAGCAAAAAATTTTAAAAAGCACACTGATAAAAATATCAGTGTTTACAAAAGTAGTTTTGTTATGGCAGGTCCACATGATTTTGTCTTAATTTTATCAGCATATAACCATTTTCCTAAAATCTTCCATAATGATACTATTTTACATGTGTATTAAATTTGTTTCTAATTTTATCGAAATTATCTCATGTGTTGAAGTTTTTTTTTAACTAAAACCTCATGTTCGTAAGTACTATAATTATTTTAATTAAAGAACTTGACTAGCATAAAATTTTTTGTAATTTATTATAGATTTCACGAGAAAAGAAATAAATATTTACAAAAGTTTGAATAGATAACTAAAAGTGCACATATTTGATTGGTTTTGGCCATATAGTCTTGTTTTTTGACTGCAACCTCGGAAGCTTACAACTTAATATAAATATGTCCATTCTTAGTGGATATTCATGATTAGGGATAGAAAATGATAAATTTTTTGTCAAAGGAGATAATAAAATTATTTATCTCGCCAACTCCACCTTAGCACCTTCTCTTTATCCATTTCTCAAAAGTAAAATGTTTATTTGAATGTTTTATTGCTTTTAGAGTAATACTATACCACTGGTCCCGTACTGTTTCCTTTGCTTTAACTAATATCATATTTATAATATAAAAACTTTTATGTTCCTTGAATCATTTCAGTCTTATTGGTAATATGTTTAATATATAATAATAATATATCCACTGCTCACGCATAGTTCTTAAAATAATTCATTTCTTTAGGTCGAATCTATTTGCATTTATTTTTAAAGGACAAATTTATGTTTAACATAGCAGTGAACATAATAAAAATACACAAAAAATTAATTACCTAGTACTGAAGGGAAGAAACCAAGTCTTCGGATCATCTCCAAATACTTGTTTAAAATTCTTATACCTTCCTATGTGAAAACCATATTTGTCTGTACCAACACCTCGAAAACTGGGTGGTCGAAACGCTTCTATTAAATATAAATACATGTTATTAGTCATATCTAATATTGTGAAATTACTGACCTAGAGTTGTTCTATTTTCACATACTAGATAACAGTGGTATCCAAAAAGAGACATTAAACTAACACCAAACATTATTGCAACGAAAAAGAGAAACAAAATATGGAACCTCCCCATTCCTTGAAGATCGCCCTGCAACATAATTATAATTCAAAAACTAATCGAAAAAGGGGCATTTAGAAAAAAAAATACATTTTTCGGTTTACCTTACAGGGTATTTTCTTAATTAAAATAAAGGAAGAAGTTTTGAAACTATGTATATATATTTTTAATGTTAATAATTCTACAATTAGAAATAAATTGTATTTTTTTTAACTTACCCTCCAAAATGAAATAAAATATGGAAGAGAAGTAAGTGATACATATACACAATATGCAAGTGCATATCCCAAAAAAAGCACAAAAAATTTATAATTTGTGAATGAAACACAATTATTAATCCACGGGCAATGATGGTCCATTTTTAGAACACAGACTCCACACACTGAACAATGGTGTGCTCTGTCGGGTTTTATAATTTTGCACTTTTCACAAAATCGTACGCCACCACTTATTGTTATATTCGTTATAGGTAAATGGCTTGCAAATGTTTCTAATATTGTGTTTTGGGTTTCATAAGAGTCACTGTGGTTCACGTAAGCTTCATAATCAGCTTCTGGAATTTTATACTACAACAAACAAATTACAAACGTGAAAAATAAATAATCTAAATTCTTACTTTACTAGGCACTCTACCAATATCGGTAAATATAGTTTGCCAATATGACCAGCAAAACATGAAGAAAAAGAGGTGATAAAATATTAGATAAATAACTTGTTTTGTTGGACTTTCCACAGTCACTAAAAAAGTATATCATACAGTAAACGAGACAATATTTCCAAAGAGTACGCACTTACATATACACAGTTGAATAACATATGCGTAATAAGACCACGCAACTATAGTTACAATGAACAGAACTGGTATCCATTTCACAGTCTTAAAACACCAGTAACATGGCCCTCTATTATCACCACTAGGTACAGCCATATTGAATGTTATTTTTCTGTCAGTCTATTTACAAAATCATTTCAAATGCGAGATCCAAAATATTGAAAACAAAAAGGGGCGGGGTTAGGATTCTAACCTAAAAAGAATTAAATTCAGTAATTTTGTTTATTACATACATACCTACCAACGAACTTAATTATTTTTTGAAGTATTTTACATATTTGTGATATCGAATTTATCCCTTACTAGGTCCTATTTATAACAATTTTAATTGTTCAAATGTTGACCGTTTAATCTGACATATCAGCGAACCATAACCAATAAATAATCGGCACAAAACATTATGAGACAGCAGGAGAGCGTTGTATTTCTTCTTCTTCTTTATGATTTGGGGACTGGCTTGTTGAATCTTGCCATAGAGTTTACTTTACCAAAATTAATTCGACGCTTCTGTTCGGATTTTTACGAGTCCTATAACAATCTGTTCATGCGCACTTCGTAAATATCGTTTCGGTTTTTTCAAAATCCTGTTTCCTTTTTTTTTCAGAATCAGTTCTTGAACTGTTCAAACAGTTCTTCCAAGAGAGCAAGTATTAATTTAATTCTTAGTTCGGAATTATATAATTTTACATTCACTCTAATATTTTAAGAATTTGGAAACCTAAGGTAAGCAGATTATTAGGCAATTAATATTACATAGAAATATTATTGCATCATCAAAAAAATGAAATACCACAGAAAAGAATTCTAAATCAGTTCAAAATATGCGCCTACAATTCTGCGTCGACCAACTAGTTTCATACAGTTCTCAATATTAGAACCAAATCGAAGCTCTAGACTAGGCGTTGTCTCAATCTAGAGGTGTTGGTGTAGTTCCTGAAACGAACTGTTCAACAATCTGTGAAATTATAGTAATTAGAGCAATTAATTGAAGTAACTACGAGTATTTATAAAAATGCATTTAAAAATTTAGCCTAATAACAATTTTCAATGGAATAATAAAGATTTTAAATCATTTCTTGTATATTTAAAAAGCAATAATAATACAGCAAATGATTTTCTGTTTCATTTTTATTTAAATCAATAAAAAATATATTACTGCTCAATCGATAAAATGCCCACTTCTTTAGCATAGACATTTTCTTCCATTTTTTTTTTTCATATTTTCACAATTCAACAGTCCAGCATCATTTGGTGTTTCCCATCACCACTCCTTTGCTCTAAAACACAAAAGTCAATATCAAATTTTATCTGGAGGTCAAGGTTTAATAAACATTAGATACCTATCATTTAGAAGTTTGTGAGAGTTTTATAGAAGGAATTTTTTAATGAACGAAAAATTTCCTAGGGAAAACTTTAAAATTGATTTTGCAAGGTTTTCACACTGGTTAAGTAAAATAAACTTAAACAGCTCTAGTAACTTGCTTTAGTAGTAAGACTTTATAATAAAAAAAAAATGGCAGCATAACTTACTTTTACTATTGTGTGATGTAAATACATCATCCGTCTTCTCCTTTATTGGATGTCTTAAAAAACATATCTTCAATAGTTTCATGTTTTTCCTAGTAAAAAAATAATTATTAACTATTGGAAATGTACAAAATATTGTCAAAATAAATGTGATTATGTTAAACTGTGTAAATTTATTTTCCCAATTTACGAATTGTTTAACATAATATTTATTTTCCACACACATGAACGCTTCTATAGATAAGTTATACACTATGAAACTGCCTGAGTGTGGTCCTATTGAGATTTAAACTGTTCAGTTAGTATTTTATTTATAAAAAATATCAAAATATTGTTGCTGCATTATCTAACTTTCAATGATGAGTTTGTCACATTTTCCCAACTAAAAACCACTTGCTTAAAGTGGTAACATACCTTCAAAAAAATATTCAAATTCATTTTGGGGCTTCATCTCTTCTTTTCATGGTAAAGAACAGTATTGACATTTATAGTTACAAAGTCTCATAGGCTTTTCCATATCAAGTCCTCATGGAATTTCCATCCAAAATATTTTCTGCGCCTAAGGATAATACATATAAGTGATGTGGTAATTAACATTTATATATTATACATGTACAATTAGTAGCATAACTTGGCAGGCTCAGTTGTTCGTTTTCTGCACATGTCACCAATTTTTATTAAAGTACCAATAATGTCTAGAACATTTAAACATTAATTGCTCGGTTAACTGATGGAAATTTGTGCTTTATGAATGTTGTGAAAACAATAACAAGCTAACAAAAATTGTTTAGCATGTGGTAAGTAATCACATTTCTTTAGCAATTTAAAAACTATTAAATGAATATGCCATCATTTAATCGTACCAATTGCATATATCGACATTGACACTCGCTTATTAGTTATTTGAAGTAGTTCAAAGTTGTGAACAGAAAATATAAGGATACTCTATTTCTCATTATTTCTAATGCTAATGTAATCCTGAATAATTTTAAATATAGTAGGTTGTCACAATAAAAAAAAATAAGTACACACATAATAGAAACCAATGCCTGATTCAATACATACTGGCTTCAATTAATCAAACTCTGATATTTCGAACACAAAAAAGAATTTGCACATGTATATATAAATTACAAATCACTTTTTTGTTAGAATTTAAAAATAAAATATACCTAACTATATAGAATAAATAAATCAATAGAGTATTACATAACAAAGCGATGTTATTTATGTTAAAATAAGTAAATTTACTATAAAAAATATGATTAACGCGATGTGGACGAAACACCAAATGCAACGTGGCTCATGACTATGACCACATGGTTGAACAGCATTAAACGTAATAATATTCTTAGATACACAAAATTAATAAACAGTTAAATAAAATAAACTAAATTTAATATATTTTTAATTATCTTATTTGTACAATACCTTCATAAATACAGCCAATTTCAACAAGTAACGAGAGACGCTATTCCCCCATCAGCAGACATTGAATAAATGGACGCTTTCGCTTAGTGATGGGAGATTTCGAGTGAAAAATCGAGTGAGATCACTCGAGATATCTCGAGATGTTTACTCCCACCACTCGAGTGATTATTACCCTACGGTTGCACCCCAAAATGTTAGTGCATACTGCAAATAGTCACTGATTGCGTAAGCTTTTTTTTAGAATAAAACGAAAAAGTGGTTAGATTTTGAAGTGCGTGAGCTTTTTTTTTTTTTTTTAGCTACGCTCATAAGTAATATATGACTAATACAAACATATTTGTGCGCCGCTGGGATGAAAACGACCAATATCTCGTATCTCGAGTGATCACTCGATTATTAGAAGTACTCGATTGCCGATAACTCGATTATCAAAATTGGTCGATTATGCCCATCACTATTCGCTTATTCCTTCCGGTTTTGCTTTACTGAACAGTTTATTTTCTTCAACCTTCAACCAAGGCGGAAATAAGATCGAAGTCCAAAGTCAATGAAATACTTTCAAGTTAAACCTTTTGATCAATGATCATTTATAAAATGAAATATATAGTATACGTTAATTTTTCTTAAAAATTAAAAGATGGGCTAGTATTTCATATTGAACAAATATGGGCATAGACAGATAGACACAAAAACTTGGCGAATGAAAATATTCGAATCTTATTACTATTTCCGAACAACCAATGAAATGGAACATGCAAAGCTGGCTTCAAAGACTTTGGAAAATATAGAGGTCGGTCAGGTATATGTCTCATCTTTGTCTTTTATATCTATGGTTGGTTTTCACTATTTTAGAATTAAGGGTAGTTCCCCAGTATTATTTGATTGGTATCGCTAGGAAGAATTATTAAAGTTGGCAATAACAACTAGCTATTATACATAGTTTAAATTAGGGTGGATCTCCTTTTTTATAGAAGTAAAATTAATCTTTGCGTTTTAGAAACAGCATAAAATTCAAATTTTTGCATCTGAACAACTATCCGTTATCATGAATAATTTAATAATTCTGGAGAATGTAAATAAATGGAGGAGGAGCGCCAAATATTGAAATTTTGTTTGGTAGTATATCATTTTCAATGTTGGCTATTGGCAACTTACGAGTTACGACATATGTTAACCTCAAAATGGTGGTTAAGGTGTCATAAATTTATTTTTAGTAAATATTTTGATACAAGAGTTTACATATAATCATATAATATATTCATTTATTTATAATATGACCCTTTTAATATTGACAGATAATAAATAATTAGTTTGTCGGTAATATCTCTCTGATATATATATATTTTAAACACATAAGTAGACTAGACAACACAGCAATAATTATTGTGATTGTCATTATCTTTCAAAATAGAACAAAATGATATTTACGTATCTGTTTTAAATATTTATTACGCTATCACTGATAATGGCTCAGAAATTCGTCATACGTTTTTATTCTAATTATTAAAATGGGTAAGTATTAAAATCGGTAAACATTCTATTTTTATAATTCTATATTTATTAGAAGATGCTGTTAATATACAGGATAGTAAATTAGTAAAAATGGGCGCTAGTAGTAATGTTAATGTAGCTAGAATAGCAGCTCTTCAAGAAAGAAAAAAGCAAATTGAAGATTCACTTGCTAAACGTAATCAAGAATTGAGGCAGCTATGTATCCAGGTAAGATTTCATGGACAAAATTTGTCAAATTTGTTGCAAATATTTATGAACTATATTATGTTATATATATTTTTTTTTTAGGAAGCCGAGTTAACAGGTATAACACCACCAGAAATGCCACTAGAACCAGGAGAGACTCTCCCGTTGATAAGGAGACGCATGAAAACAGCTTTTGAATTACCTGAAAATTTGGTAGTAAATGCTAATAAAGATACATTAATTACCAATTTAGAACTGCAAATCCAACTACATGCAAATTTGGCAGAAGCTGCCTTAGGGCTGGCTAATGAACAAAGTATTAGTAAGGTAAATTTGAAACTAAATGTCGTATTTACTTTTAAATAACGGTAAATTTGCCTCTTTTAAAATTAAGTCTTTTAACTGTGACTATATAAGAAATGTTTATTCAGTGTAAAGAAAACATTTAATCTTCTTTCAGACTGTAAAACGTCAGCACAGAGCTGAGTATCAAAAACATAAAAGCCAATGCATTGCCTTACAAGAAAAATTGGCTTTATTAAAGGAACGATCAACAGCTGAGCAATATAAACAAAAGAAGAAACCACGTGCCTCTGAACAAAGTTAGTAATTTTTTTTATTTTTAAAATGAGCACTGCATTAATACCCACAATTTATTTGTTTTACAGAAGAGGATACTGTATCCATAAACACTAACTTTAATGATCCTTTTCTTAAATCAGATGTTCGTCACAGTGTACGTTCTGTAAAACAGAATTTACCCAGTCCAAGTGAGAGTTGTGTTGACCAAAGGTATGCTCATGTAATGCCAAGACATACGTACAGAAATACTGAAATACATTTTACTGACAACCAGCCTTTAAGGCAAGAGGAGAGTTTAAATTCAGGATTTTATAGACTGAGCTTAAATGGATATAATAAATATATGGAAAGGTAAAATATAATTGTGTTGCAATCAAGCAGAAAAAAAAATTAAGGGTAAGGAAGTTTCTTTAAATAAATATTTTTTTATTTTTAGACGTGAGAAAGTAAATAACATGCATTCAGTTCCAAATTATAATACGTACTCAAACTCTATTCCCTATAACTTGTCACACAATTCCTTGCAGCCACACAGTCAGCAGCATAGTCCGCATTTTCAACAAAGTAGTCCACATGCATCCCAGCATAGTCCTCTTATGTCTCAGCATAGCCCACATTCTTCCCAGCATAGTCCTCTTGCATCTCATCACACTCCTCACATGGCACAACAAAGCCCTCGTTTTTCCCAACATAATCCACAACAGCACAGCCCACAGTTATTACAGTACAGCCCTCAACTTGCTCATCAACGCCCTGCTGTGTATAACCATTCTAATTATGCCACAGATATCAATAAATTTGCTATGGGGAGCAACCATTTTTCAAATACCCATCTGCATAGACAATCTAGCCCTCCTATTCCTCAAAAGTCACAATATTTTACTTCCCATACTATCCATGGTCAACCAACCTATAGACATTATCAGAGTGAAAGTACTTACAGAAATTCCCATCAAATACAACCTCATCAGCAGTATGAACATATGGGGATTATGACTATGGGATTGGGCGGTTGCTGGAAAAAATCTGAAAATGGAGAATTAGTCTGGTATAATTCAAACACTATTGATGTCAACTGGCAAAAAGATAAGAGGTACAATTATATTTTTAAAATTATTGTTAGATAAATATTATAAAATTTTTAGATTTGGCAGTTTAGACAGAAGAAAAAATAAGAGGATTCATAAAAGAATATCTCCGTCTATAGATAACAATTCCAGTGTTTCTAACTATCCAGATCAAGTTAGAAACGCTTCAGTGAAATCACAGGTCAGCACATACCTCGGTTTATTTATTTTCACTCCATGTAATGCTAAAAATATTGCATTTTAGATTGCAAACCGACGAACACAGGACAACGGACAATTAGTTCGTACTCAATCGTTAGGTAGTGTAGGTATTCAAACAATAGACAGTGTTTATCCAAGTGATGATAATTCTTCCTGTGAAAGTGACAATCGAAGCATTAATGATGTTAATCAAATACTTCGTAAACATAAGGAGAAGGAATGGTAAGGACATAGTCGACTATCTTTCCAATTATACGAAAAAAAAATATAAGTATATATACAGGGTCTTGCGCTTAAATGTGATACAAGATGTATCGAATTTGATGAAACTTGGTGATAAGACATTTTAAGGGCTGCTGAATGAGAATACGTAATCTGTTTTTTGGGAAAAAAAATCGCTAATAACAATTAGCCGTTTTCATGTCAAAAAAACACGTCCTATTTGGCTGTGAATTGTATTAATAAAAACAGCAGCATTACAGTTAGATAGTTTTTTATCCTACATTCTAAAAAACAATTTTTGAAATCGGTCAAAAAACAAAGAAGCTACAGGCTTGTATCACATTTGAGCGCGACACCCTGTATATATATAAACCAAATTTCTTTCTTAGACGAGGATGCAGCCAAGGATAAAAAAGTTTCTTCACTCTTTTATCCTTGGCTGCATCCCCGTCTAAGAAAGAAATTTGGTTTTTAACTTAGACAGCCGTCTAATTTTTTGGCTTTATATATACAAATGAATGAGTATTAAAATATTTTATAATTGTGCTATCGTAGGTTAGAAACATCTTTAGATGGACCAGTTTCTTCGACACAAACGTCAACTAGTTCTTTGCAGCCAGTAAATCTCTCAGTATTGTCTCCTGAAGAGAAATACGTTGTGCATTCACCACCTCAACCGGCGCCTCCCTTATCAATATCTAAACCTCCATTGGAAATACCTGCAGAGTCAAATCCCTCTCCTCGATTGTCAGAAACCAATTTAGAGTTATTCAATAACAACATACCAAAAAATTGCACCATCGTACAAGCAGGACATTGTAAGCCTTATCACGAAGAAACAAAACCTTTTGAAATGTCAGATTTTTATAAATACTCGACGAAATTTAAAAAATCCCCTATTAAAGGAGAAAATGAAAACTCAGTCAACACTGTCCATAATAGTGGAAATATTGCTAAAAACTTGAATGAAACGTTTGAGGAATTATCCCAGAGTACTTATCCTGCTCCTGCTAAATGTCAACCGTACGCTAGCAGGTATACTCATCATTTTCTTTTTATTAAAGTTTCTATTTTAATGTGTAAATCATATTTGAAAAAATTGATTTATTTTTTGTGTTTCAGCAGTGTTGGAAATTTGGATAATAGTGCCAACTTAAATACAAGTATTGATCTGGGCCATATAACTGTTTCTGACCATTTTTCTGCAGAAATGAATGCTTGGTACAAAGATCAGCAAAAAAATAATAACAATACAGGAAATGTTTCGAAAAGTAGATCTACTGCTACTTTAGTATGACTTTAGTTAGTAGGAAAGTGGAAAGTACAATGCAATAAAACTATGTTTACATGTTTGTACAATAAATTATATATATATTTTAGGTATATTATATATTTTTTATATTTGATATGGATGGCTAATGTTTATAGTATTAAAATTTTTAAGATGTGTATAGTATATTTGAATGTTGTAAATGGATATTTTAAGATATATAAATTAATTCATTTGTGATGCCATTTTAATATTATGAAGGATCAAATGTAAAATTTATAGGCTCAAATTTGATATTTTATATAGCAAAAAAATATTTCCTAAGAATATTTTGCCATTAAGAAAGGAACTGGAAAAATATTGAGATAAGAAATTTTGGCCTCTTAGCAGTGATACTTGCGTTAAAGTTCTGATGTTTTTATTGATGTTACAAATCAATTTTATCTTATGTTAATTTAATATATAAGACTTTGATCTCACATTTTATAAACAGTGTAAATGTTACATTGCATAAAAAATTGCATTTCCGGTTCTGTTTTAAATATGTCTTAAAATGTTTTAATGATTTTGCTGTTTTGTTTAAATTTTTTAGCTCATAAATTTAAGTATTTAAGTATATATTCAATATATTTTAAATGATTGTATATTGGTTGTGAATCAAAGCAATATTTTAGGTTTCTTTATCTGAAGCTGAGCATTGGGCCTTTTTAAAATAAGGGTCTGTATAGTAACGGTTTTTATACTTAATAGAGTTTTTTTTTTATATATATTAATGTCTTTTATTTTCCGTCCCTTACTGCAAATGATATATGTCCATATATTTTCAAAAACATTTTAGGTACATTACTTTTAAAGTTAAAATAATTATGAGTGACCTTTAGAAATTAAAATATCGATTTGAAATTTTCAGAATCGAGAGATTTTTTTCAACCTAGAAAATGATCAAATAACGAGAAAAAAATTTAATTTTCAACGATTTTGGAAATTTTTTAAAATCTTGAGCGACCTCTAAAAAAAAATTTTTAGAGCTGATTTTTCGAGGGGGCTCTTCAAACATGATACACTAATATATTTTCACAAGAGACACGAAAAAATAATATTCGTTTTATTTGGGCCACCGTACTGTACACGTATTGATATCCGAATTTAGTGGTTTTTTTCTTTTTAAGTTTCATTATTCAATACCAACCCCTGTATCTCGAAAATTCATTCAATCATTTGCGGACCCTTGTTGTATAATCTTTTTGGATTAAAATAATACATAATTTACACCCTATATTTTGCATTTTTATACATATGTATTAATTTCAAAAAGAAATTGAATATTGAAATAGTTGTACTAATGCTTATTTATATAGGTTTTTATAACGTCACTGTACATTTTATGACTGTAATGTTCATTCAAAAGTTTTTCAATATAGGTATTTAGATTCTAAATTAACAACTGCATTAATCTTTAATGCGATCTACTGATAAGAAAGAATGAAACAACTGTAGAACTGTAGAGATATTAGTGACGGAATACTTGATGCATGACAACATTGCACCACGAGACGAAATTTTAAAACACCATCGATTTGAGAAGGAAAGTACAAATTTGAAAGTGTTCCTAAAAGGACTCTTAAACTTCCAAAATCAATTAAGGCAAATTTATGTGGGTGTAAACTTGAAAACTTATCATGTCGTACACCTAAATTGTTTTTATCTTTTCGAATTTCAGGAGAATTATTTAAAATAGCCGCCTAAATGTTTCTAATAGATAGCGCTACTGGGGAAGGAAGTGACGTCACATCAACTCGGAATGGGGGGAAATGAAAAGAGCGCAGCTTCAGAGTATCTTCCTTTTTAACTGGCTCGTCGCCCGGTGCGGTTGCCGTCTCGTTAAGTTGATAGATTTAAAGTGTTCCTTGTATTTTAAGGTTTTTATTAACTGTTGCATTTAATTTATTCCAAACGGTAAGTATTCATGTATATTTATTTCCACTCGTACCTAGTTAACGTATTTTTTTTTAAATTTATTAGAACTTAAATTCACGTGTACAGGCAACTTTTAGTAATGGCCGCCATATGTTGAAACAAAGTTAATTCTTAATAATTCGTGTAATTAGTTAAGCTCCTTCTTCTACAATTTGCTTTTGTAAAGGTTTTGCTGTAATTATCATAATTTTGATAGCATACAGTTACTTACATTTAGTTTTAATTTGTTTTTAAGATACCGATAATGACTAATCGGAAATGCATGCCGCATCGGATTCCACCTGTTGTGTCTCGACTACGTTGTTTAATGATCATTTTTATTCATTTAAAAACATTTTTTCGGGGGTTTTACTGTATATTTTTTTACCAACTTTGGATTGTGGTATAAATTATGTTTTCTTTACAGATAAAATGGGTAAAGAAAAGATTCATATTAACATTGTAGTCATTGGACACGTAGATTCTGGTAAATCTACAACTACAGGCCACTTGATCTACAAATGTGGCGGTATTGACAAACGTACCATTGAGAAATTCGAGAAGGAAGCCCAAGAGATGGGAAAAGGTTCCTTCAAATATGCCTGGGTACTTGACAAACTTAAAGCAGAACGTGAACGTGGTATCACCATTGATATCGCTTTATGGAAATTTGAAACCGCCAAATACTACGTAACCATTATTGATGCTCCTGGACACAGAGATTTCATCAAGAACATGATCACTGGTACTTCTCAGGCTGATTGTGCAGTACTCGTTGTTGCTGCTGGTACTGGAGAATTTGAAGCTGGGATATCTAAAAATGGACAAACACGTGAACATGCTCTGCTCGCTTTCACACTGGGAGTAAAACAACTTATTGTTGGTGTCAACAAAATGGACTCTACCGAACCACCATACAGTGAAGCTCGTTACGAGGAAATTAAGAAAGAAGTATCGTCTTACATCAAGAAAATTGGTTATAATCCAGCTGCCGTCGCTTTTGTTCCAATATCTGGTTGGCATGGAGATAATATGTTGGAGCCATCTAATAATATGCCATGGTTCAAGGGATGGAATGTCGAACGTAAGGAGGGCAAGGCTGATGGAAAAACTCTTATTGAAGCTTTGGATGCTATTCTTCCACCAAGCCGTCCAACTGACAAACCACTTCGTCTTCCCCTGCAGGTTGGTATATTTGGATATTTATAAATATTTATTATTTATTCATTTTTTTACGTGATGAAAAATTTGAAATGACAACGTGATTATTAATTAGGCTTAATCTTTGCTGATTTTTTTTTTCGTATCTTAAAATTTTTTAATAATTTTAACGATTTTTCATAATTGATTGTTTGTTGCAGGACGTCTACAAAATTGGTGGTATTGGAACAGTACCAGTAGGTCGTGTTGAAACTGGTGTTTTAAAACCGGGAATGGTGGTAGTATTTGCTCCCGCAAATATCACTACTGAAGTAAAGTCTGTTGAAATGCACCACGAAGCTCTTCAAGAAGCCGTACCTGGAGACAACGTAGGATTCAACGTGAAAAATGTGTCTGTTAAGGAATTGCGTAGAGGTTATGTAGCTGGTGATTCTAAAAATAACCCACCTAAAGGAGCTGCCGATTTCATGGCTCAGGTCATCGTTCTCAACCACCCCGGTCAAATTTCAAATGGTTACACTCCTGTACTCGATTGTCACACAGCTCACATTGCCTGCAAATTTGCCGAAATTAAGGAGAAAGTGGACCGTCGTTCAGGAAAGACCACAGAAGAGAATCCCAAAGCTATCAAATCTGGCGATGCTGCCATTGTTAACCTGGTACCGACTAAACCTATGTGTGTAGAATCATTCCAAGAATTCCCACCATTAGGACGTTTTGCTGTCCGTGACATGAGGCAGACTGTTGCTGTAGGTGTCATCAAAAGCGTTAACTTCAAAGATGCCACTTCCGGAAAGGTGACAAAGGCTGCCGAAAAAGCTCAAAAGAAGAAATAGTTTTTTTTTTAATCTTAAGATCATTTGATGTTTTCAACTTAATAAATAAACACATGGTTTCCTAATAAATTGTATACTTTTATTTTACATTGTTTTGCTCTATTTACCCCAAGCTAAATAAACAAATGAAGAAAACGTATTATGATATTCTCAAATATATTACCTATCTACTTCATAAGTAGCTGAAATAATTCTGCTTTACATTAGAAAAACGAGTATTCTTTATGGGTTCCTTACTGACTAGAACGTAATTTATTTTGCTGTTTTTTTCAAGTTTTCATATTTTGTTAATGAACCATGATTCATACTTTTGTAGATCCAGACGATTAGGGCAAAAAAAATTTAACTGCTGGGTATTCTATCTCGCAAAAGTATGTTGTGAATGTGGGCAAATTTTAATTTAATAACAACTTCCATTTTTCAAACTACAATTCTGTACTTAAAAAAAATTAGAAAAGCTGTCATTTCATTATGAAAATAAATATTCTTCAACTATATGTATATATAACTCTTTTTGTGAATTTTTCCGTCCTAATTATTAAATCAAAAATGAAATTAGGTATTGCCAAACCTATAACCTCGCTGATGAATACAGATGGCCGGTTTTTTATTCTCAAAATTTGAATTTTCCAGAAAGCTGCGGTATAATAAAGTTGAAAAATAAAATGTTAGTATTAAATTCAAATTTAAATAAAAAAAAGAAAATTAGTTTTGGGAAATAAAAAAAATGCCTGCTTGAATGGATGTTAATTATAAAAAACATTTATTGTACATACAGTGTGTTTCACTTAATGTCGGAACACCTCTGTATTTAGGATGGCCGATTTCCAAAATTCTTTTTTTTATGTGGTAGTACTCAAAAAGACCTACTTTTTGATATTATATTTTTTGACATGTGATCTTTTTTGGGGCTACTATCATTAAAAAATGACCCTCAAAAATTAAAAAACATAGTAGGCATTTTTTTAAGAAAGAAATGGATAGCATTTTCAATTTGATCACGCCTCAAAACTATAAATGCAAAGTTTCATTATTATAGCTTTTACAAGGTGTTCACAAAATAGGTGCAGACTTCGAAAAATTTCACTCATTGCAGTGTCCTGTATTAACTGGAAAATATTTTTAAGGTATTTTTTTCATAATTTTATTAACCGAAGGTGCTCACAATAAGACAGCCAAATTATATATATTTTTTTATTATTCCAGAAATGAATTTCACAACGAAATAATTTAAATAAAACTATTTACAAACAAATAACACCAAATCAGTTGAGGAGGGTTATTAGAAATAAGAGGAGAAGAATTGAACAGCGCATACCAAACGACAGTGGACTAATAGAAAACAATAATATTTAAATATTATTTCGTTGTGTAACTCATTTCTGCTATAATAAAAAATATATATAGTTTGTCTGTCCTATTGTGAGCACCCTGCATGAGTGAAATCAATGAAACTGCATGGATATACATACCTTCGGTTAATAAAATTATGTAAAAATATCTAGAAAATATTTTCCATTGTTAATACAGGACACTACAATAAGTGAAATTTTTTCGAAGTTAGCACCTATTTTGTGAACACCCTGTAAAATCTATAATAATGAAACGTTGTATTTAGGGTTTTGATGTGGGATCAAATCGAAAATACTATCTATTTATTTCTTAAAAAAATACCTAATATGTTTTTTAATTTTTGAGGGATTTTTCTTAATGATAGTAGGCCGTAGAAAAGATAACATGTCAAAAAATATAAAGTCAAAAAGTAGGGCTTTTTGAATACTACCACATAAAAAAAAGAATTTTGGAAACCGGCCAACGCCATCCTTAGTACGGAGGTGTTCCGACTTTAAGTGAAACACACTGTATATGTGTAACCCTTTTTCAGATTACAAGTTGGGCAATCCCTATTTTAATTGTTTATTCCGCAAACTTATTTTAAAATTTTTTATTTGAAGTTGTCTACGTGAAAATGTTTCATTATCAAAACATGACCACTTTAATTTTCACTAGCCACCACTTTAATTACATAGAAGTTATCTCAGTTTTAGTTAATCTTTTTAAATTATTTATTCTTAGCTTCAATTAGAAGTAAAAATGAAGTAATAAACTTTATAATGACTAAATAAGAATAAAGATAAAAGAATTGTTTGAATAATAAGTTTGAAAATACGATTGCGTAGGAGTTGTTTGCTAGGTCGTCGTCAGATGGCGCTTTTGTAAATATTGGCAACATTGTTTTGGGGGAAACCATGGAAGCGTGACTGTCCGTAGATAGCTTAAAGTTGTGTAAGTGGCGCTGTTCGTAGAATCCCAAGCAGCTTATGTTGTGAAAAATAATTACAAACAACGGTGTTTCTCTCAAGAAAACTCTGTGTTAAAAAGTGATGATTATGTGTGAATTATACGGTAATCCATCCTTTAATAACGGTGCGAATCTTCTAATAAAATGAGACACTTTTATATCTGATTGCAACCCAAGTTGGTTGTCTACGTATAGGTATCGTCAATTCCAAGTATTGGGTGTTTTAAGAATGGTGCATCATTGAACAACAAGTATGTTATTTTTGTATATTTATACTATTTATGACCTACGGTGACGTTCAGCGTTATATTTAATTGGAAAATATTAATTAGAGTAATATATAAAGAGCCATAGGATTTGTTTATTTGTATGTGGCATATATTTCATTTATTATGTTTTCATTCTGGGTATTTAATTACGAGATTTGCGTCAAATGGGTTTTTCAAAATGATTTGAAATAATCATATTGTTTTTTTTTTTCAATAATTTTGTTTCACATTGTGATTAACAATTATTAGACTAATTAGTTTGACTTTGCTATTTACTATTAGATATTGCAAATAAGTACATGCTGTCAAATTTTAGTGAAATCGATCTTAATTTTGTTTTATATTAATGAGTGAAGATACAAATTCCAATCTTAAATTGTTTCCGAAAATTATATACAATGTACTTTCATTACATGGAACTTGAAATTTATTATTTTTTATCAAATACGTATTCAAATTAGTTAGTGAGAACTGATTATTATTTTATGTTTGCCTCCTTTTTTATTTAGCTAGTAAAATTCATAGACTGTAGTTAATTCGGTATGTATCTATTGTAGGTATAATACTTGACATAAAAATGTGCTTCTTTATTCTACCTAGATAGGCAGTTGAAATGAAAATATTTTTAGTTTATTTATTTTTTTTTTACTTCTGATGTGGGGCCCTCTATAGCAAACTTTGTACACACACACACACACAAATAAAGATATTTGAAATGTATAGGCAAAGATCTGGTAAATTAGTAGTAAATTTACGCTATGGCTGTTGTTTTTAACTTTTATGTTTAATCGGATATTAAAATTGAGTTATTGATATGAAAATTATTACATTATTTATTTAATCTGCAAAAACACTATTAAAGTGGTAGGTATAGTAGGACAAAATTATTATAAAAATACCTGGATACACCTAAATGTCGCAGTTTTATGAAAATAGTTTTCTATATGGTATATTTAAAAATTAATTTAAAACCATTTAGTAATTTAAAGATGAATCCATCTTCTCATTTGCTGTGTTATTGAATGGAATGGTGGTAATTCACAATAATTGTGGTCAATGATTGAGTGGTTTCGTTTAAAATTTAACGTGAAACTTAAACAGTAGACTATAAAGAATACTTATAATTACAAATTATAAATTAATATACGATCGGTAAAGGTTAACTGCTCATCAATTATAATATATTGCCAAGGTTTTTTCATTCAGAAAATGGTCTGCAGATGGAGCTTTCAATATTGTTAATTTGTTATTAATTTTGAAGAACTTGCTGATTTTTAATGGCATTTTGTTAATGATTGACCAACATCTAATTTTTTAAGTTCTTTTGGAGGAATTTTTAATGAATAAATTAATTTTCCAAAATAGTTTATGTATTCAGCTTCAGGTAGTTGCATTTTTCCAAAAATTTACATAATTTTATTAGTATATAAATTGAAAGTATGACGATATGTATCTTGTGGACCATCTGACAACAAAATAGTGTGAATGAATATACTGAATTTTTTTTACTTTTAAAATTTTAAATCTAAACTAAGAAAATATTTCAACCAGAAACAAGAAACTTGTATTTTGTTTGATAATTATTTATAAAATACAATTTGTAACAAATTTTACCCAAAATATTTTTTGTTCATTTAGCGGTATATTTTAAACTTGAAATTGTTCAACATTTTTATATCAATTTCACCCAAAATTCGAAGAAAATATAAGTAAATCTTTTATGATTTCTAGGAATTGTTTTATAAATTGTGAAATTTATTTATATGAATATGATACTACTATATGTTGTAACCGAGGTTGTAATGTTCTGATATTTGTTCTTCTAAAAACAGTTAAGTCGATTTGCTTATGTATTTTCAAATAGTTTCCTGCATTTTAAGATATGTGTATATTTAACAAATTATCAATGGGCTTTCAAACACTTCAAAAGCATAATGAAATGTTTCCAACAAACATTCAGAAGACATTTTCATTGATAATTGATCAAATATGTTATACGTTAAACTTATGTGTCATGTAAAATGATAAAATAGGAAGTTAGTGTTTAATAAGTAGTTTTTAGCTCTTGAGGGTGGAAATTTTTTTTATAAATATTTACTTACACAAATAGAACTGGAAAGAAGTATTTCAAATACTTTAATCCCACATTACTGTTAGTATTAACTTGAATTATACATGTTTCATACATTATGCAACTAGGTAGAACCAACAAACCTGTAAATTTGAAAACATTTTCTGCAGAGGCTATTTGAATTTAAAATGATGGTATTGTTCAAGAATACTAAGTATATACTATAGACCTGTTTTAGAAGTTTGGTGGATTTTTATTAAATATCATTACCTGTTATATTATTAAATTTGATATATTATGGCGTCCAATAACAGTATTCGGATAAAATGTATTATAACATTTTTTTTGGTAAATATTGAAATGATGTTTTTGGAAAACCGAATTATTTTCTAATAAATAAACTGACGTCTTCACTTACGTTGTTTATGTTACGTCTTAATTTTTGTCACTATAAAATGTGGACAACTCTGAAAAATAAGTATATCATCTTATTTGTGTGTGTAAGTGTTATCAGTTAAGGTCAAAGTTAATAAAAAATAAAATCATACATTAATTCACACTTTAGGGATATTATCATTACAGGAGATTTCTTCATTAAATAAACATGGCATTTAGCAAAGAGTACATTAGGTCTATTATTGTACTTATAACATTTGTGTCAACTGCAGGACAAAAATGTATGAGCAGCTTACTTACAGATGGATGTAAGTAATTTTTATAATTTGATTTTTACAGAAATATTAATATTTGATTTTTAGATACTATGCCACAGGGAGATATAACACTTCGTTATGGAGAAGCTTTAAATATTACTTGTAATTTGTGCAAAGAGGCCGTTGATAAGTATGGTTTAAATGCGAGTTCTCGACTATATTTCACTAGAGACAATAAGTCTATTCCACCTGAAATGGTAAGCTTATTTTATGTCTGCTATTTTAATGTTGTAGTTTACGTTTTTAATAATTGTAAATTATGTTATAATTGCACTTAATTACTCATTCGTAAAAATGTGTATCTTATTTTAATTTTAAAGGTTAATTAAGTGGTACATTTTCCAGGTCAAAATCATAAATTCTACTAGTATTAACTTATACATTGCAGAACATCCAAAAACAAAAGAAGCTAACTATTATTGTTACTTTAATGCAACTGAAGGCAGTCAAATGATATGTATGAACGTTGTTTATGTTGGTGGTGAGTAAAAATTTTTGTTGTATTCAAAATAATGATGTATAGTAGCAACTCACATATTTCAGTTTCATTTAAAAACTATCAAACTTGCAACAACTTAAAGTGAAACCCATATAATTTTTTTATCACAATTAATGAACTCTGTTGTTTAATCGGTCATCCGAATTTGGTCATTAGACACAATTGATTTGATGATTTGATTATTTGGATTCAGAGCCGCAGCTAGGGACTGGTCGCGCGGGCGGCTACCAGGGGCGAATAGCTGAAGGGGAAGCACTCGCCTTTAAAGTTATTATACTGTTTCTCTTCCTTCAAAATAAATGAGAACTAATTTTATATCTTATGCTTAAATGCATAATTTAAATTACACTTTAAAGTTATTGTATTGTTTTTGTTCCTACAAAATAAATTTTGGGGAGCGCAAAATTCTAATCTTGCCCTGGGCGCTTACGGCCTTAGGTACGAGACTATGGATTTACAATAAATAAACATGTGTTTTTTTTTTAGTTGCTCCTCAAAACGTTACAGACTTTTCGTGTATTAGTAGAAATTGTGATAATTTAACATGCACTTGGACCTCTCCTGAAAATTATGTCAAAACTGATTATAATTTGACTTACAATGTAAAATCAAGATCATCAAGGTGAGTAATAATAAAACACAAATACATTACCTTACATATAAAACTTGACAAAACATAAACAGTCCCCTGATTGTCGTGGCAGTTATGTCTTGTTCTTATAGAACAAAACGGTTATTCACATCTTCCACTAGAATTGGCGTCATTATAAATAACTTCATCAAATAATACATCAAAATGGTGCCAACCTCTATGAATACATATATTATGATAATTTTTTGTGCCTATAAATAAAATAATTAGAAATGAATCTAAAGTAAAATGCTGCAAAAAAAAAACTTAACAAAATGTGGACTTGTAAAGGAAGTAAAAATCTAAATGTTTGCGTTGTTTAAGAGAATTGGCAAGGATTAATTTATTGTGATAAATATTTGAAATATATCGGCTTCTAGACTTAGCAACATTTATCGTCACAATATCTCTAGACCAAATCATATACAATTTTACAGGAAAAACAAGACAAAACCAAATTGTGATCCTATACCTGAAGACATTGACTTTTGGTAAGTTTTATTTATGTGGGTTGTGAAAGTAAACCGTAAGTGTTTTCGTTTTGTCTTTAGTTAGCAGTGGATTAGGACATTTGGATTTGGATTTTTTTTATTTGAGACTAAAACTGAAGGCCAAGTAATGGAAATTGCAATCTTGTCTTGCAAATTACTGATCTTTCAATACAAAATATTTTCAATTTTAATGGATAACGTAGTTTTCGTAACACATCCTATTAACCTCATTAATTAACTATTGAAATTTTAAATCGTAACTATTATTTAAGTATGCATCCGGTAAATTTAGAGTTACACCCTTATTAAAGATTTTTTGCTAATTATTAAACCATACCGAATAAAATTTACAGCACTAAAGCACTAATTGCTATATTTAACAAAGAATGTAACCCTTTTATGATTTCTGTTTTTTATAATAAAATCTTCAAGATATTTGCCAAAATGCAAGAAAACTGAAATCTTTATTGAAAAATTTGCTTCTACATTTTTTTCATTCGTCCTTTTATTGACATTTTTCAGGCAACTTAATAAATTTACACGTCAGACATTTGCCAAGTACAATTTTTTATTGTATTGTATGATACAATGTTATTTTAGTTATGATAGTGTCCAAATCACATACTATGGCCCTCTTGGATTTAATGCATTAATGTTTAGACTTCATCTATTCAGCTTCAGGTGATGGCGCTATGGCATCTGTGTGTTATAAATGTTACACATTATATTACTGTATATGTATTTATTGAATATATATTTGATCTTCTATGAATACCATTTAAAGAGGAGGAATTCATATTTTGTGGGAAGCTGTTGTCTATTCAAATTAAACATTTCTTCATTTGTTTTGTATTTTGAACTTTTTAATAGATGATTTATGTGCAAAAGTTGCTTTTTATTAATTTGTTTACTGCAGTATTTATAATATACTTTTTTGTTTTAAGGTTTTTGTATAATTGTCCGAGAATATCAACTGAAAATCGTAAAAACGTCTGTTTTTGGAATTTATCAACATCACCACAATATAGATCAGTACATGATTGCTATTATTTTGCAATTGGTATGAGTAACGACTTTGGTGTGAATATGAATTATATTACTTTCGATCACTTCAAGCATGTTCTTCCCAATCCCCCAGAAAATTTAACAGCTGTGGCTACTTCACCTCATTCCATAGAACTTTCATGGACAATTCCTAACTCTATGATTACATTTTCACCAGGACTTCATCATAGGATATTATACCAATGGGAATATGAAAAACACTGGCACTTAGGAGGCATTATAAGAGGCGTCAAGAATAGAACTTTGTCTTTTGAATTAAAAAACCTGAAATATGCTCATATTTTATATGATATTAGAGTCAGTATGAGATCTTCAGTGGCAGATCAGAACGATGAATCTATGTGGTCAGAAAATGCAACGAGAACCATTAGAACAAAAAGTAAAGTGCCTGACTGTCCTCCTAAAACTAATTTGGGTAGTTTTCAAATCGTTATTAATGATAACAGTCGTAATGTTTATATTTACTGGCAGCAACTCAAGGCAGAACAATATAATGGTCAAAATTTGTCTTATATAGCAAAAATCTTAAACCGTCCGTCAATAAATAATGTTGAATCTGTCAAAGCTTATGCCATGTTAGAGAATTTAACTTTTTCTGAATATGTTGTTAATATTTGGTCCGTAAACGAGATGGGGTATTCTTCAGAAAAGTCTACGGTGATTATCCCGGCCAAACGTGAGTACCCTCTTTTGAATATTTATGAATGCCATAACCGTATATAAAATATTGTAGCATTGGATAAACCATCCAATTTTATAAAAGAGCATATCGGAGATTCATATGAACTCAGCTGGCAATCGCCAAAGGATCCAGAATCAGCAGCAATGGTGACTAATTATACAATATTTTGGTGCCGTAACGAAAGGGATAGACCATACCAGTGTGCGGTAAGACTATTTTTCTTAGGAAAATTGTAATTTATTAGAGGTAGTGACTGTCGTAAGCAAATATGATTCTAAATTTTGTGTTTTTTTTTAGTGGTTCTTCTTAACTGTCTTAACTAAAGTTTTTTTTTTTTAATTTTTAGGGAGATCTGAGTTGGGATGTAGTATCCAAGGATACAAGGAGATATACTAGAAGTTTGCCAGTAACAGGCATTTACCAGTTTGCCATATCTGCGAACTCTTGGAACAGTAGTAGTGGAATGTTTTGGGCCGAATGTACTATTATTCCAAACAAGAGTAAAGGAAAAATTGAAAATGTTTGGATAAAAGACGTCCATTCTACTTTTATAGAAATAGGATGGAGCTTAGATTGTTCAAACCGTATAAACACCATTCAAGGGTTCGCAATACATTATTGTCCGATACAAAAACCAACACAAACAAGTTGCAAAAATGGCACAGAGAAAAACATTACTATAAAAGGTGATGTAAATCTACAATCTGGTAAAGTTACTGGACTCACACCACATACAAGTTATAGACTTACAGTTAGTTACATCCTTAATAACTTCACTTATAGTCTACCTAGTCAGCCCCTTCTTAATACCACTAATGAGGCAGCACCCGCTACCCCACCTCTTCAAGTGGAAGTTATTGATGTTACTAATTCTTCAATATCGCTTAAGTGGCAACCACCATCAAAAATTAATGGTTACTTAAAAAATTATTATGTGTATTATAATGAGAAAGTGAAAAATACTACTACAAACGAGATAACGCTGATGAACTTGATGAGTTTTACAAACTATACAATATCCATTGAGGCCTGTACAGTAAAGTGCTCTAACCGTTCGAATCCGCAAAGCGTTATGACGCAGATGTGGTTACCTGGTAATATGAAACAACCGGCCATAAAATTCCAAAATGATTCTTACATAACTGTTAGTTGGGAGAGACCAAAGCTTGCGGGAGGCGAAATTGATTATTATCAAGTGAAAATTAGGGAACGACTTGACATGGAAGATACTCCACATATAAATGTAACAACAACAAACTACACCTTAGAAGGTTGTGGTTCGGGCAAGTACAAACATCTCTACATTTCAGTTCGTGCAGTAAATATAATTAATGGGGAGCATAAAGAAGGACCGTGGAGTGATGACTTGGAGTCTTCATGTGCTCCATACAACTCTGTAAAATATCTGTTAATTTGTTCATTCGTAATCTTCCTTGGCATAGGAATGTTGTGCGTTTTCAAAAGGTAATGTTTAGACATAAGGAGATAACAAATTATAACATTAAATTTTAGGTTATACTTGTATTTTAACGAAGTGAGGAAATTTGTTCCAAAACTGCCTCCAGGATTTGAGATTGAAAATTGGAATTCTGAAAAACAAAATGATATTGAAATTGAACCAAATCCTCCTGCTGATGCACAACTTTTACTTCATAAAATTAGCGAAACGCGCTTAAGTGGTGATTCCAGTGGATGTAGTTCTGGTCATGAAAGCATCACTTCATCTATAGAATCTACAGCACACATTTCTCCAACAGATTCAGGTACAGAACAGCCTAGGTCGCCTTCATTAAATGAAGAAAATAGAAAAAATTCTCTTCGTCTGAGGAATGTGTCTGCCGCGCCTCGTCCACCGATTAATATAGGTAAACTTTAAAACTGTTTGAAATCTATTTACGATAAGTTTGCGATACTGTCACATTTATTAATTGAGCACAGCGGATAGAATAACCTTAAACTCTCGTCAAACTAGGAAATTTTATTGTTTTAAGTTTACTACACTTGGCAGCGTTGCACTGAATTAAAATTGAATTTATTTGTTTGGCCGTTGACAGACATTTTGAAGTTTTTGTTACTTTTGATAGCAGCTCCGTGAGATTTTTGTGCATTGGAATCTACTGAAAGCTTATAAAAAATGTTACGCAATTTTAAGTAAAAATTAATATTTTGACTGTTTCCTAAATGATTTAAATGAACTTCATAATCCATAGTTCTAACTTACATTTTTAGTAAACCTGATTCACTATCAAAAATTTATTAATTAAATATCCTGAAAAAAATTATAACCTGGCAGCACTGTACCATTTCGTTTCGCACTGTGACATCATTGCAGACGTATCGTAAATGGAGTATTGTTATATTTTCTTTTATAAATTTTATATTGTAGGTTATGTTACTGCAGATACGCTCCCTTCGGCAACCTTGGTTCCAAAACTGTCGACACCCGCAGGAAATTACTGTGTTTTGGGCGTTGATCCTTCCAACCCGACAAAACCTGATCCTCCATATGTACCGATAACTGATTTAAATACAAAATTACCGTTCTCGAGTGACCAGCCACCACCATATGTAATGACAGGAGATTTGGTTAAGGCATCAAATCCTGGTTATGTTCCTCATCCTGCAACGGAACCCGCAGACAGAAATATGGGTTATGTTGTAGCAGGGCTAACTAAAGATTTGTTAGCATCTGATTTACTTCAGTGTGACACCCCAAAACCTGCTATTAATGAAGAAAAGCCTCTCTATATAAGGGCCGGCGAATCTATTCCTACTTTGAAACCCCAGTTTTCTTGGCAGCAGCCGCCACCTCAGTTAGCTTTGCCTAAATCGGGTTATGTTAGTGTTGGTGATGCACCTCCCCCTAAATCTTTAACAGAAACCACAAAGGGTTATGTTCCTCATAGACAGTTTGAAGGTAAATCTTTAAAGGAGGATTGAGGTATCCACATTTCGTTGTGGTTTAGTTTTGATTATATCGGACTTATTTAAATGAGATGGACAAATATTTGTTTTATTTTTTAAGCATTTTATTTTATTTGATTAATTAATCATTTAGTAACGTAAATGTTAGTTGTCATAAGTAACCGATTTCACAAAATTGCTCAATTAGGAAAACAGTACACTTATTTTAAGGTAGGTTCTTCCCATTAGGATATTTATAATAATGATTGAAGTAATTGATATTGTGCGAATATACTATACAACCATTATAACAGATTCAAAACTTTCAGAAAGATGTCTGTTTTCTTAGTTGACTTCGTTTTAGATGTGTGTTTTCTTGTGAATCATTTTTTTTTTTACAAAATTATGTGCTTCGGTTTATGTTGTTTTGTATGTGTTATATTATTGTGTATATATTTTTTTATTCTTCCTAATATTTGTAAATATAATTTTTTAATGATTTTATTGAATATGAAGGCATAATTAACGTGTGTTGTCTAAATGTTTGTGCCTTAAATTATTTGACTGAGATTTAATGAAAAGTAAATGTGGTTTTGCTATTTATAACACACAGTAAACTTGCCAGAATAAATAATTAGATGCTTTAATAATTTGCTATTTAGTGATATTTAAAATCAAGCACTTTATTTTTCATTGCTACTGTTGTGAACAGCTAAATATTAAATAATAGTATCATTATATAAATGTTATATTGGCAGCCAGCCTACTGTAAGTTATTAGTGCCTTTGTTCTATAAAAAATTGTAATTATGTGTACTCATTTTTATTAAATTCCAATTTTGTTAAATCACTTGTGCTTATGAAGAAGCGCACGGACGGTGCTGCACATACTTGCATCGTTCTTGTTAATTTATACACTTTATTGGCATAAATTTATTAATTGTGTATACTCAAAGAAAAACTTCCCTTTCCTTTAAAACATCAAAACCAGATCTTTATAAGATGGTATGAAATGCTGGGAAATGAATTTCTACTATGTTTTATTAAGTTCCTAATTTGTATTAATCATGTTTACTTGATAAAGTTAAAATAAAGAATAAATGTTTTTATATGGTGTCTGTGATACACATTTGTTATTTTAAAGGTCTGGTTAATAAATGCTCGCACTGTATTGCATAAAAAACTTTTTCGTGAAGTATTTAGGTGTATAGGACTGAAGATGATAGAAAGGTAAAAATAAAATATACTACCGACTTTTGTTTAGTACTCTACATACATTTTTTATAAGTATTTTTGCATGTTTGTCAAATTTTAAATACTTGAGTTTTTGACTTAAGTGTATGTATATATGTCCAAATGTCTGTGTTGGTGTGCATATGCGTCTGAATGAATGAAATTAATTTTAAAAATTCGTATTTTTCAATTTTTGCTCTCTATCTCTTATGTACGTAATATTTTAGATAATGAGCAACAGCAATTAGTCCAAACCACTTAATATCAGAAATGTTGTTTGTAATTATCTTGAAAAAAATTGTAATTAGTATTTTAAAACGAATGTTCTTAGCGCACAATTACAAGTAAAATTGTCCGTCATTTCCTATGTACGTGACTATTGTAAATAATAATTTCTATAGTTTGGTTTACCTAAGCTTTTTTTTCTAATTTTCTATCAATTTATCAAACATAGTCATGGGCGTAGCTAGAGGGGGGCAGGGGTGTGCACGGCCCCACCAGAGCCCGGTGCCCATCCCAGAAAAAAAGATGCAGTAATATCATCTTTCTTATATCGGTAAGTTGCTGATTGAACGACCCTCTTTTTTTTTAAAATCAAGAAATTTTATATATTTTTTTAGAGGCCTGAGAGATTGCACGGTTCTGGGACCATTCCCGGCAAAAAATCCTAGCTAGGCTCATGAATATAATAAACATGTTCAAATTATTTAGCTAAAAAATTTGTGTAATGTTTTTTTTCAACTTTTATGGCATTAAGATTTTATTTTATGATTTTTTCCAAGCATAATTCTATTGATTGAATAACAAAAATTTGGGATTTGGTAACATGTCTTATTCTGATATTACGCTACTAAAATCATATTTTATATTAATTCTCCGACTACTGGCATAGAGTAGATAACGGGTATAAAAGAAAAAATGAACTTTCATGCAAATTATAGTTTTGAAAAAACGTAATTTTCAAAACAATAGGATAGATTTAATTGCTAATAATTTTCAGTAGTTTGGTAGGCGGCAAATAGAGGTTTTTCATATTTTATTGTTTGTATAATCTCGTTAATCTTTAAGAAATTATTTATATTTAAAATGACTAGATAAAAAATATATGTTAAGACATCTTGAATACAGCTTTAATTTCTTGCCTGATCAACCAACTCAAATTAATATTCAATAATATTAATAATCAATAAAGAAAATTCTCAAGTTTTGGTAAGCTTATCAATCCCAAAACATTTTAAAAAAGTTTTGTTTTGCAAGTTTTAAAAATAAATTGAGACGTAAACTATACCTAGAAATCAAAATAGTTTGTAATAGGAAATTAGATGGGGGAGGGGGGATCGGAGTTATTAACAAAAAAAGAACATATTACCTTACTTCCCGCATGTATACCGTGTTGTCTATCAATTATCTATGCTTAGTTTGGCAGTCGATCTCTATATTTAATAATGATTAAAAAAAAATAGTCCCTATCTAGAGTACTGGGTGCATATACATACATATAAGTTAGCATAGCTGTAGACTGTTTGATCTTGATACGACATCCATGGCAAGCTGTCGGTGTGCGACCGACTTTTTAACAAAATCCAAGGCTATTTAAAGTAAGGTAGGATCGTTATTAGGGTGTCTACGAAGCACATAGAGATGTAGGATACAATATTATTCTGCTCTTGGTTAGGCAGATATACTTTTGACCGTAAACGCACGTTGCTTGCTATCAAAGTATAAAATGGTAGAAATCGTAAATGGTGCTTACAATATATTTTCAAGACATTAAAATGACGTCATTATTGTAACTTACGGCAAAAGTGCATGGTAGTTTTATTTAGCTGTAGATTTTATCCATGTCGACGTTTTACAATAATAATTAATTAATATTCTCAATTTTTATTAATTATCAAAATAATAAACGTACGTACGACTATGTACAAATCTAAATACAAAATCGGGATAAACGAGAAACATTCACCATACAAATGAAATTGAGCGGAAGCAAAATGGAAAATGTGCAGTACCAACTCCAGATAAATATGTGTATAGTGTAAAGTAAAAATCCCCATATTTAGCGATTGTAGCGTCAGTGGAGGTAGAGGAAGGAACTAATTAGTCGAATGATCTTCAACATATGAGATTGCCGGCCCTGGTTTTGGTCATTGCGCAGTAACAATACGAGAGTAGAGATAGCGAGCACACTCAGTGCAACTTAGGACTTTCCTGTAAATCCGTATTTTCAGTTTGGGTTGAGATGAGAGGTAGCGAGTGTAGCGTTCTGGTTTGAGTGATGTGGGTTCGCACATGTGATGAATTTGAGGTTTAGTGATTTCAGTTTGTAAACTCGTATACTACCATGACTTATGTGATAATCAGACGGTGAGTGATATAATATGTGTCATTTATGTATTCAGAAGTATTTCCCCAGTTCCAAGTACAAGGATGCTATGAATCTCCAATCACAAATTATGTACTGTTCCAACATCTATCTTGTACATTTTACTTTATTAGTATTATTGCTTTTATTTAAAGGTATTCTGCATTCTGCATACCGTATGTATTTTTTTTTGATTTTGTGTACCTGAACGATGAAATTTCTTGATAGTTACGAAAGTGGTTCTAAATTGAAAAAGAATTCAAAAAACCTTTTTATTAAATAACAGTACTAGTAATATTATTGAATAGTTACATCTAACATATTTGTACTTTATATTTTCTACAATATATTACGTATATTATAAATAATTAAAACTAATTCAATAACCCTAATTTAGGAAGCACAATTAACCCACCTAGCTTATGGGTAGGTGGACTACCTGCTTAAAGTCATGTACCTTTCACATTGTTGTACAAAATTTTTCCTAGATTTTTTTTTATGTACCTAATTAAGTTTGCTGTCATGTCACACATTCATTGTAACATTTCTCATATTTGTGAACGTATTTTAAACTAGATACTATGTCCCACGTGTCATTGTGTACTTGTATAACACTAAATAGTGAAATGAGTTTACTCATGTTGAGTTCCATTAAATTCCTCTAAAATTAGAGTTGAGTATCAACAATTTCAGTGGCCTCAGCTCACCTCAGTATTATTTTTAGTTATATAATTTTATATAAATAATTGATTAACTCGCCGTCATTATCATTTTTTCAGTATGCCACGTTTAATAAATACATGCGAAAAAACTACCTTTATAGATAGGTATAGGTATCTTATTGTTAGTTCTGTTATTATTTTATTTCATATAAGTTGATATTAAAAATGCATATTTATTAGATAATTAATAATTTTAAAATCCAAATAAAAATATAAACCTATTTAATGTGGCTCTATAGTAAATTACTTGTAAAATTCAATTATAGTATGTGTGTTTCTACATAAATTGCTTTTTATGATCATTAAGCTAGTTTTGCTAGATATTGGGCAAAATATAATTTTATAAATAATCTTTTTTTATTTTCGCTATAACTGCGCTTCTGGGTAGAATGTTCAATTGGACTAAAAATAATGAAATTACATACTCTCAAAAGAGCATGGTGTAGTAATATTATTACTTTGCCGTTATTAAAGATAAACTCATCAAATATTATATCACTGTATTCTGTATGAGAGAAAGTTATACTCTTAGGTACTTATCCAAATATTATAAATAAAGAAGATACAAGTAGTGGTACACAAACCACCTTCAAAAGTGTTGAGAAAGGTATAAAACACGTTTTTAAATTAAATAAATTATAATTAATAGTGTGTTTATTTGTATATTTCTACATTTTAGCGCATTTGCGTCTTTGTTAAATTTAGAACAGTTTTAGTTTATCTCTGTTACATTATCTTAAGATATCAGAGTACAATATATATTTATCTATATAATAATCACAATAAACACAGGTTTATTTGGAGTGTATGTAAAAACTTAAAGGTTTTAAATTCATCAGATAAAGATGTTATCATTTAGATAAATTGACCTATTTCGTATAACTAAGTAATTATTTAATTTGCTTCCAGCTGAATGAAATCGAAGTATTTTAAACCAATCCTCATCCTTATATCTTGCCTGTCAACCTAATTTCAGCGGAGTATAACGAAAATATTAACAGGTCCGTAGTCAAAGTAAAATTCAGGAAATGATCATCATATTTTTTGTGTCTACGTTTCTCTACCAAATCAAACACAGTCGATACATTTTTGTAAACGATGCCTTTATCGTAAAAATTTAGTTACATATTGACGAATTTTAATATACTTTTCAGCTCTGTTTACTTGGCGGCACATATTAGCTTCCAGTGCCAAAGATACAAGTCCTATTATTGTTCAAGTAGGTTTGCCATAATAATAAACACAGAACTCATTACATGTAAGTTATTTTATTTTCGTCGCGCATTGACTTAAAAATAGTAAATTTTAGTACTTTCTTCGAAGACATTTTGAAACATACATTCCTTTTACGATTTAGCTTAATTGCCATTAATAAAATGTCTAAAAGCTGTTGTTGATAGGAGGGGTAATAATAATAATAATAAAGTCGTTCCCCATTTGAAAAATATTTGTTCTAGAACAATTATTTTATATTGGTTAGCTTTAAAAACCACAATAAACAGCAAAGGGAGGAGTTTAGGGAAAATGTGAATGCACGCTAGGGAAATATTTTATGACTGAAATTGAAAATTATTCCACGCTGGATAATATATCCGGACAATTTTGTAAGAGATTATGAAAATTTATAGCAAACAAATATAAATCACTACAGTTTATACAGCGCCTTCACATTCAATCCTCCTATTAGATTTAATTATTCATTTAAATACAGGTGTGTTAGTCATTTCAGTGGATTTTTACCTTTAATTATAAAATATAAATAAGTCAGTTAAATTTCATCATTCTGTATCAAACGTCTTCAGAGATACTTTAGAAAAGCTAATTCTTTTTTATTTTCAGCACCCTGTATCTATGTTTTCATAGTCACTGCACATATCTTACATTTTTGTTTAACTGTGGCCTTGGGGAACTATGTATGTACTTACAATGAGAACAATTTTTGCTGTTTTTATTTAACATTGTTTTTGTATATAAACATTGCCACGTATTTCAACTTAAATAACGGTCGTTTAAATAACACAATTACACAATAACATGAAGCCGACAGTATTTACCAATCGTTTGCAGTTCTGCAAATTTTGAGTTAAGTAGATATCTTTTACCAGTTGGCAATGACTTAATCAAGCGCAAAAAAAATAATTAATTCATAGTCACTTCAACCAAACAAACAAATTTAAAACTGGTTGCCTGTTACAAACATCCTGTAACTGTTCCTTTTGTGTGCCCTTGGACTTGATGCAGATATTTGTTTTTATTTTTCATCAAAACGTGTTTCCAAAGAGGTAATGCCAGTGTGAACTTTTATTGTCAATATTTTTTGCGAGCATTTTATGTATGTGACAAAACTATAATTATCAAAAAATTGTTAAAACCAATGCAAACGTTTTCATCAAAAACAGATTCCATCGAGAATTCCATGTATTATTTTATTATTATTTTTTTTTTATAAAACTTCAGAGAATAGTGGATTTCCCCATGTTTTTATTTTGGCTAGAGATTTACAAATAGGAAATAGGGGAATCCTAAGAAAAACTGTATCGTCTTGCTTCATCTGTACAGGCTCTCCTTTTGTATTTTTTTTCCAATTACTTTGTAGAAGGTTCTATTTTTTCAATGGAACAAACTCATAATATTGTGTGCCTATGACTGATTGTCAGCTACCAGCAATAGTCATATGAAAGATTAAAAGGGGAGCTGTGAGTTATTGTTATGAAGTGGATATTGTTAGTATTTCGGGGAATAAAATCTCTGATAAGTTGTATTCAGTACATCCGTAATGATCAATGCCGGAAATGTAAGATGCGCTGTGTATTTGTATAATAAATTAGTTAAAATAATTTGAGGTTACATTAATCTATTTGTGAAATATTTCTGTGTGAAATAACTTAGATTAGAAAATTAATTTTGTATGAAGAAAATGTTTACTCAAGATAGTACTTGTACATTATCTGAGATTAGCCGTCGCCGTGACTCACTTCTCATTGCCGCTCTGTACCATTTAATTGATAAGCTCTAGCAAAACAACATGTGTAATATGGTAATTAAATCTAGAGGAATGAATTTAAATGATTTCTTTCTGACGTAGAAGAATGTTTACTAATTTAATATATAAATTTTATCTCATTATACGAATATAAATTAATTGCGCACATCATGGAAAGGAACTATGCATTACACATATTCATTTACATATATATTTTTTGTAATACCTACTTATATCAGTAATTGGATATGGAAATATTTTTATGTACAGTATTCCTTAGCTATCTGGTGGCGTTAACAGTTTTAAAGTTAGCAATACTTTTGATCGTATATTTTCATATACTTACGCTCATTTATAAATTAAATAATTGAGGACATAGTAAAACGTTGTCTTTGTTTTTTTTTTTAATGCTACTCCTAAGGGTACCTTATCTCTTATAAGCCTGAATCCTCGACTCGAATCAAAGCAGAAATTCCACATCGAGTTTTAATGAAATTATAACGATTACAACTTGCTAACTGGTTAAAATTTATTTCGTAAATGCTGCTGCTTCGCGATTTTTATCAACTCCGAAATGTATAATTTAAGAGCGCGGAATTTAATTATTATTCCCCCGATCCCCGAATTTTATAGTAATTTTAAAATGCCTTTTGATGATTCACATTTAACATAGTACGTCATTGAGGATTCTCATGTATGTATATGTGGAAAAGTGATTAATTTTCAAGATATCAAATATCAAAGAGGAAATGACGAACTAACTAAGATACGATGTGTCCCAACATAAATACTTGGATTACCGTAGATAAACTATCTTGTAATTTAATTACTAATTTTACTCGCGTATAGGAACATTGAAGTGTATATTCACACAACAATTAATTAAGAATTACAGGTTTTATTAATAGAATATATAAAAAATATACAATATTGAATTAACATTAAAAGGAATGACAATTGCAATTACGAATATCAGCCGAAAAAAGATGAATGACCTGATTCAAGTTATTAACCTAGTCAGTGCCGAGTTTAAGAAAGCAAAATCAGCTGAGGAAGGTTCAATAACCTAAGTAAGTTGAGGTAATCTGAGGTACACCTTTTGAAGAATAGGAACAAGTGTAAATTTTTAAATCACTTTTTCTTCACTTCACTTTACACCCAGTAGAGGATTATTATTTTTTTAATTTTGCACCGATATTCTAATATATATGAGGGGAATACAACTTCTTAACAGTGGCGTAGGTATGGGTAGATAATATTTAACATCTTGTTTTAAAACTAACCAATTTTTATTGTATTCATCGACTGATAATAGTGATCACCTATTTTTATTAATAATTTGATATAATAAATTCTAAAGAAAGTGATGAATGGTCAAATAAATTTGCAATTATCAGTAGCTGGATTCTAAACCGTTGAGATAACCTAATGATCGAAAAAAATAATAATAAAATAGTTACAAGTTGCTAGAAGTAGATATTAGTTTACTTATGTATAAACTGGAATCAAAACATGCGTAAACTGATAAATAAAATCGTATATAACAAGAATATAAATAAATAGGCATCTATAAAAAAATATAAGAAACAGGAAACGCTAAGCGCAAAGTGTTATACGAAGTGAAGGTTGTAAAGGATTCTTTTATATCAATTAAGCTTATTTAAACATAATTAGATTGTAGGAGATATTAAGCTATTGTTGGGTATATTAATCTGATGACTCACTTTCTTTCAGTTTCATCTAATCGAAAATATGCTTTATTGTCATCCATGTGCAGATTATTGCAATAGTTCATTATCCTAAATGACCCTAGTTTGACTTTTTAAATAATGATAGTATTGCACTATTGTTAAACCGCATATTTATCTTTATTTACTATTCGCCTTCTGGTTGCAATTTATTTGCTGAGAAATAATTATTCAACACAATTAATTTGCCCTACTAAATTCATGTGTATATATGGTAGAATGCCATTAATTTTACTTATAATATGTAGCTAGTTCTTCCGCAAGAACGGCTTCGGTTGACGGTACGTTTTAACAGTATTTTGCCTTGACTTTTTAACAATTTCAGTTGGTTTGTCTGTCAGATGAATCAGTTCAGAGACACTAATGACTCATTACGATTTTAATTAAAATCTCTACGTAAAACTTAAACCAACTTGTGCAATGCTGCTAGAATAATAAATATGTTAGTCACTTTTTTAACATGTTTCAATGTCAGTTATCCTCTCGTCAAAATTCTAGTATTTATTGTAATATTGTATTTATTTAAATTACCGCTGAATTTACGATATCATTAATAATATTATCGTTTCTATACTTTCTGTTAGGGTCACTGGAGAGTCCAAAGGTATTAGTACTTGAAGGAAATGATGGTTCAATAAGAAAAATCGTAAAAGAGATAAAGCTTTATATATAAATGTTTTTTTTTTTTTCAGGGACCGATTAAATTATCTATAATAATTTTTACATGAATTAATTCAATAGACTTTTAAACCTTTTCAACAACTTACACAGTTTTTTTTTTATTTTCAGAGTGAAACATTTTGTTTTTACTTCAAATACTCATCGGTAACTATAAGTAATTTTGAAATTGATATTCGTATTAGATAAAAGAAGCTCAAACTATTAAGAAGCACGCAAGGAAAACGTCTTCCGACGTTAGATGATGATGAAATTATATTTGTTTTGTGTTTGTATAATTGTTTATGGTGTACATTATACAAAAGCGCATTACACGCAACAATGGGCTGTGCAAATAGAAGGTGGATCTAAAATAGCCGACGAAGTTGCTAGAGACCACGGATTTATTAATCATGGACTGGTGAGTACTTGCTTTTGCAAAAAAAAGGATGGAGATTGTTACTTTCCTTGAAATCGTAATAATTTCCAATGAGTTTAAAGAACACCTGTAATCAATAACCCTGTACTTTAATTTCCATAAAATTTTAATAAGAACTGATATATTTTAAATAAGTAGATAATTTACTGTTTTATTTACTTTTTTAAAATTTGAATGTGTAAGACATTTCTAGATACATATTTTTTATAATATTCAGTGATTTCAGATATATGTATCAGCCTCACCCAAAAACCATCTCGGATACCGTGTTTACACATTATCTCCTAAATTTCATATTTAACAATTTGGAGAACTCCGGAATGTCTGGAAAGTATTCCTCTTGTAATCTGGAGTCAAAAGGAATTTGTTACATAATTCCATAATGAAATTTTACTTGTTTATCCCAACAATTTTGTAATACGCTTAATATGTGATTTTTTTATGGCCGTATTTTTTGCGATTGAGTTCACGTTCATGTTTCTATTTATTAAAATCAAATAAGTATGGTACCTTGTCAAGTATAATAAAATTATTAAAAAAAAAATACAAAACCTGGAACCTAATTTCTCAAACTTCTTTAATATTTCAATGGGTACACGTCCGATCTGCTATTTTCTTTTACGGGGCCATCTTGTTTAAACGAAGCAAGTTTCCCTGGCTCAGATAAGATAAATGATCGGAAAATTTACCTCTGGCCGCCTTACATGGTTTATCTTCCGTGCGACAAAACTTTTAATAAACAAAAATCATCACGAAGCGGCTTAAACTCATTTTATTAAAGACGAAGTAGACGGACACAAATCAAAGGACCTTTTTTATTAAAGAAAGTTGGAACTGTTTTTTTAAAAGAAATTTTATATATTTTAATGAACATAAGCTTTCATAAGCTTGTTTTGAGAAAGTTTAAAGGTAAATATCATCAAGATCTAAGGGAAATTTTCAAGCAATGTGGGGCGAAATGCAAAGAAATTTTTTAAATGACGGCATTCTATTGCAAACCCCCAATATATATCTGGGAAATTTCTTATATGAAAAAGTCCCAGTAATACTGATAAAAAACTGATGTTGACGATGATGCAAATTTCACCTCTTTATTTTTCTTAGTAAAACGAAATTAAGGAAAAAATTGTTTGAATGATGACTAATGGTAGTTTTACTCGATAAAATAACAGAATGAATGTTTTTTGATTGCGCAAAGTATCACATTTTAATTAAAAATGATGGAGTCATTATAAAAATATTTATATTCTGGAAAACATAGTAAACAATAAAAGCATTCAAAGTACTGTTCCATTCAGCACAGCGGCGTCGTGTTTTAAACACTCGTGTTTTATTATTGTAGATGTTTCCAATCATTTAGTTAAGAATGTTAGAAAAAAAGTAGTTTTGTATATATTGTCTTGGTAATGATTTTGAATCATACTTACACATAACTGTGTGTTCGTTTCTAGGTAACTGAGAAACAAAAGATGATTCGTAATATTATTTTGTTAAAATTAGGGCAAGCTTTATTTAAAATATTGAATATGTATTTGGCAGTTAAAGCATCATTATTTTGGCAGACGTCATTGGTCACTTGATTTTAATTTCTATTTCTCCCCTCGATATTGGCAATTTAGCTTACACAGCAGTGACTTCGAATGGGGTTGCCTAGCTATTTACAAATGAAAATTTGTCGCTTGGCTTGAGCAAACATACATATCAATTCGCAAAATGCGCAAGGGTAGTTGGTTTGCGCTTATTTCGTTCTCTACAGAATATTAAAACTTAAAGTAAATTTATATTCCGTAGGAATATCATGGACTAGACCAGTGATTTTGAAATGTAACACTTACGTTACTAAATAATTGGTCTAATTGCTTGTTCAGTTACGTTGCTTCGGTAATAACATTTATATACACATTTAGTGTGTCTTTGCGTCAAATTTATATTTGTAATTAGCACTTATAAATTAATAATGACCCAGCACTAACAACACTTCCAAGCGAATGGAGACGGGTATGTTTGTCTAGGAATAATAACAGTTAATGTGATGCACATAAATTTTTTAAGTGTATCAGAATGGTATCAAGTTATATTACTTTTCATAAAATAATAAAATATGCCGTGTGCTACATTTGATTCACTAGAATATAATACAATTCTGGTGCCAAACACGTAATATAATTTTATAGGTTCCTGTAACCGTTACAAGTAAAATATCCGGCGCACATTTTTCACTGGAATCAAAATGTTTGCCGTACCTAAGTATTAATACTCAAATACTATTTCATTCTGTAATTTAGTATTTATTATAGTAAGTTGGAATTAGTTGCGTGGGAATAAAAGAATCTATCGATTCATGGATGTTTTAGTGGATTCCCAGAAAATTAAATTTTCAGAATACATCACATAATAGAGTAAATTGTGCCAAAATGCATGTTTAATGTGTTATAGATTATGGGGTAATTGCTATGCTTAATCGTTACAATTTATTTTTAAATTAAACATAATTTACTTGTTTCCGATATATTGTACTCGTCATACAACTTGTTTGCATTTGATTACACTAAGCGTGGCAATTATTTTCTTATAGCCATAATCAACATGCGAATATTTTCAAGAATATTTCGAGAAATACTTTTCTATTTACTTTATCTAAATATTCCCAGATTTGAATATGTATATATTTTTCTGAATGTCAGTTATTACTTATCAGCAATTATTAAATATTTAATTTAATGAAATAATTTTATTCGATCGTAAATGGGATCTGGTTTAAATAAATAAATATATATATATATATTTAGTTAGTTCACTGGTACAGAGGTACTACCTATTATTCGTTCAATTGCAGTGCTGATAAATGAGCTGATATAAAATGCGAAGCATGGTCTTCAATCGATTCATAACTTAATTTACAGTTATTTCATTTTCAGTCAGGAACATAAAAGAGTTATTTTTGTTGTTTTGGAGATAAGTCATGGTTTGCATTCCAGTACGTTCCGATCGAAAAGAAATCGTTAACATCCGGTCAAATAAAAAAAATTTGAAAATTATGCACACGCGAAAATTAGACGTCAGTTTTTTTTATCTTACACAAATCTTGTGTATCGGTAAGGTTCCTACCTTTGATTAAATATGTATACGTACACAATGATAGATTTTAATAATTGTGTAGTAAATGAGAAATTTCCGGCCGTATTTATTATTATTGTCAAACCAACGTAATTTAGGTTTGATAAATTTCCTACGGCAATAACAATGTCTTTTAATTTTAAATTTGTTTTATTCGTTCGACTGTGTCCGGTTGTTCATCAGTTCGTGACTGCTTAAAAGCAAGAAATGTTCTTAGTGGAACAAGTTTTATATTAACTTTCGATTGGTTTGTGAGGCAGACTGATAATTCGAATCAAACGATTTTACTGTACGTTCGGTTAAAAAAATAATAATAAAAAAATAGAATATGTCGTATCATCTTCACCTTAATTAGAGTCTAATTATTATTAGATCGCGATTCTGTTCGCATTCACACTGTCACACATTTTGACACGAAACATGAGAAATGGGAAAAGGGAAAGACAACACGAACGGCCTGCTTATAGTGCCATCTATCGAATTTTAACCATACTTGAGAAACTTGCTACATAGCCGTAGTCATATTTTTTTATGGGGGGGGGGTTTTGTAAATCATAAATATAAGTAAGCAGTTTGTTATTCATTCGTGAATATTATTTTCTGTTACAGATATTTGAAGATCATTACCATTTTTCACATAGCGGTGTAGCTAAACGATCTTTAAAACCTAATTCGGAAAAGAAGGCGAGGCTTGCTGTTGATGCGAGAGTTAAATGGGCTCAGCAACAGAAAGCTAAAAGGAGAGTTAAAAGAGATTTAAAGTTGCAAGATTCCGATCCTCAATGGCCATCGATGTGGTATTTGGTGAGTCTCATGTGTTTGTTTATACCACCATTATTAAATTTTCCACTATTTATAGAATAGAGGTAATGGCCTGGATATGAATGTTATACCAGCATGGATGGAGGGTATCACAGGCAAAGGAGCAGTAGTTACAATATTAGATGACGGTCTGGAAAAGGATCACCCTGATTTATTACAAAACTATGTAAGGATTTTTTTTTTTATTAATGTGTAAATATATTTTTATGTATTTTATCCTTTTAAGGATCCCATGGCATCCTATGATGTTAATGGCCAAGACTCGGATCCCAGTCCCCGATATGACATGATCGACTCAAACAGGCACGGCACTAGATGTGCGGGGGAAGTTGCTGCGACGAGTAACAATTCCGTATGCGCGCTCGGTGTGGCCCATGGAGCTCAAGTAGGAGGAGTTAGAATGTTAGACGGGGATGTTACGGATGCCGTGGAAGCGAGATCGCTAAGTCTAAATCCGCATCACATAGACATATATAGCGCATCGTGGGGTCCTGACGATGATGGTAAAACAGTAGATGGACCCGGAGAATTGGCAACAAGGGCTTTTATAGAGGGAGTCAGTAAGGTAGAATCTTTTTAATTAAACTTAATTAATAGTTATTGATAAATATATCTATTATTGTAGGGGCGTAACGGAAAGGGATCGATATTTGTCTGGGCTTCAGGAAACGGTGGTAGAGATCACGATAATTGCAACTGTGACGGCTATACGAATTCCATTTATAGCTTGTCGATATCAAGCGCTACGGAACATGGACATGTGCCGTGGTATAGTGAAGCGTGTAGCTCTACATTGGCTTCGACTTATAGCAGCGGGTCTGTAGGCGAAAGACAAGTTGTTACGACTGACTTAAGGCATTCTTGTACAAGCAGCCACACAGGTACAAGTGCATCAGCACCTCTCGCAGCCGGAATATGTGCTTTAGCTTTAGAAGCAAACCCCAATTTAACTTGGAGGGATATGCAACATATAGTTGTACGTACTGCTAGGCCGCAGAATTTAATTGCCGCAGATTGGCAGACTAACGGAGTAGGTAGAAACGTTTCACATAGCTTCGGATATGGTCTAATGGATGCCTATGCTATGGTCCAACTCGCTAAAAATTGGGTGACTGTTCCCGAACAGCGTAAATGTGAAATAACCGCCCCTCATGTTCTCAAGTAAGTTCACTTTGATATAAATTATACCGGCTGGACTTTGTTTAAAATAAACATAACGCTCGTTTTCTCCACAGGCCAATCCCCGCAAAAAGTGTAGTAGTTTTACAGTTGCAAGTTAGTGAGTGTGAAGGAGTTGAGGTTTTAGAACACGTTCAGGCTAAATTAACGATATTTTCACAAAGGCGAGGTGATTTAAATATCCAGTTAACATCACCGATGGGCACAAGAGTTACGCTATTAGCTCATAGAGCGCATGATAATTCAAGATCGGGCTTTAATTTCTGGCCCTTTATGTCTGTCCATTCTTGGGGCGAGTCACCGTTCGGGACTTGGCAGTTGGAGATACATAACGATGGTCGACTTTTGGGTGAGTACGGACTTGGTGTAAATTTTTTCTTATTACTAACAAAACAGCTATTACTAACACTGCTGCTTTTTAGGGAGAGCTACGTTACAAAATTGGGCACTGGTTCTCTATGGAACCAAGCATTTCCTCCCCAGTTTGCCTAACAATAGTGATACTAATAAATTTAATAAAACTAGATATAACATTACGAAAAAGAAGAGTAACAAAAAAACTAAAAATAAAAATATACAGAAAATGTTTGTACCAACTAAAATTCCTAAATCACAGAATAAATCAAAAACAAAGTTTGCGTCAAAAGATAATTCTAACGGTACAAATGTCGTAAAAAATAAAAAAATTACACATCCTACCACGGATGTATCACCATACTTTTATGCCGTGTCTAACTCAAACCCTAATTCCAAACTAAAGTTAGATCAAGATAGTGTTAAGCAGTACTTAAAATTTGTGAAAAATATTACAATAACCTACCCGGTAATGATTCCTTCTAGGGATGCCACCAAAAACTATAATTTTATTAAAAAATCGCAGAAATTAAAAGAAAAAAGCCGCGATATTAACTCTAATAGAAATGTGAAACTTGTTCCAAAGTCTACTGAACCGCCTACTCCCGCAAAAACTACAACTTTACAAAAAGGACAACTTGGTAACTGAATGCATGCCTGGTTTTGAATTTTTGTTTGCCTTTATTATTTTTTTTTTCAGTAGTTTTTTTACTAATAACAATAATATAGTTGTTATTTTAATCGTTATGTCTAATTTGTGAAACAAATTTTTCTTATATTTTTTGTTGGCTTGGCTTTATAAGTAGTTATATGCATAAAATATTATCAATCATTCAATGAATTAAGTATTTTACTCTACCAAGTATGTACATAGTAAGAAAAAAATAATATTTCTTTTTATCATTCAATAATTTATCAATAAAATCCTATTGGTCATGTAAAATATTTACTTGGTATTTTAATTGCATTTCTCAAAAAAAAAATTTTGTAAAATGATCCTTCTCTTCCTGAAGCGTGTGCAAAGTGTGTAATATTTTTGTTATTTTGTAGGTGAAGTTAAGGCTTGGCAATTGACTTTATATGGTACTTCTACTCCGCCTGTTTATGACCTCCGACAGAGTGGAAAGACGACTACACTTTCAGAAATATACAACGAAGAAATTTCTCACAATTCCATTGATGATACTTCATCAAACTGGAAAGGAGGGGCGGAGGTAAGTAATTTTAATAGTTTTAAAATAGTATATTAGTAAATCAGTTGCGGTAGACGCCCAGAGTATCTAAGATAGTAAAGTGATATTAATTGTCTTCGCAATATTTCAGAACCGAAAGGACACTCTAGAAGTGGAAGAAAAAGAAAAAAGTACATCAGGTTGTGCGAAAAAAAAAGGCAATTTATGTTTAGGTTTGTTATGTTTTATATCAATATTGTACTTTCATTTTTTCAGCATTCACGATGTTTTGTCTATGTTACTAATACCCATTTATGGTTCATTTTTATTTATTATAACTTGTGCTTCAAATCAAGATATCGTAACTAATTTTACAAAATTACACACAGAAATCAGAAAAATATTGGAAGCAAATTATAATTACAAAGTAGTAATACTAAACCAACAAAATTCTGACAACAATTTTCACAGTTATACAAAATACATACAGAATATTCCATATAAAAAGAGAATCTTTGTAATAGTACAATTAATAAATTTATCAGTTTCTTTAAGAACAAATCTATGTATAATATACAAATGGCTGTACAGATTTCAATATATGCTTCTTGAAGTAGTTAGATTTTTTTATATATTTATTTTTTTAAATTCCCAATTTATACAAGTATGTACTGTCTAATTTAAAGTTGAATTTAAGTATTTGTTGTTTAGGTTTCTATAGTCAATTTTTTTATTACGACAAATGTACAGTACTGGGAAATTTGACTGAAGCAGCCTCGTTTTGCAATTTAACAATTTTTAGCCCCAGTACGGAAACATAAAAATAACTAACCTTTTTGGTCTTCCTCTTAATAATAACGATTTTTTTTATTGATGATCCTGGCTGGGAATGGTTGCTTTTTAGAACCATTCAGTTAAATGTGATTATTTTATGAAACTGTTAAAGAAGAAAATGAATGATAGGATGTTGAGATTTTAACTGATCGTTTATGGTTTTTCCCCCTCCTTAAACATTTTCCGCGTCTTCCCATCGACTCTCCTGATTGTTAATAGTTGCCATGATATATATTTCACGTCATGCTGTTTTCAGCTATGACACTCGATTAGTGTTAGGGTGTGATTAATTCATCTTGAATATTGACAAAAATAAATTTGAAAACGAGGCTGTTTACTTAACTGTCAAAATTTTATTTTCGTTACTGTACCTGATAATAGTTACTTAAAATGCTGCTTTTGTTAAATATTCAGAACTTTATTTTTATTGATATTGTCTTAATTGTTTTTATGGATAGTATTAAATGACAGAAGTATAATAAAATACTTCACTGCCATCTACTTAAAATCATATTTTATAAAACTATATTATTAGCACATTAGTGGTTATTCCAAAAGAAAAAATTAAAAAGAAAACTGCAATAATTAAAATGCTCACGCTAGGTCAATATTAATAACTAGTAACTCCAAATATTATGCGGGTATGTTTCATTTTATTTTAAATAGCAATAAAACTAAGTTTATCAAATAGTTTGAGTAATAAAATGTGCCTTTTGTTGAAACTAGGGAAATATTAACGTATTATTATACTTTTCTTAGTATTTACGCCAGAAAAAAATTTCCTTGATATGAAAACGCTTCTGTAGGGAGTTTCTGTTATTAAGTTTGATTGGCTATTTGCTGATTTGGGTATAAATTATTATATATACATATATATATACATATAGATATATCCGATTTTTTTTACATTGAAGAATTGATAGCGATTTTTATAATATTAAAATAATTGTGCCAAATTATTAAAGATGTCAAATTACAGTTTTACCAGACGAAAAAAGAAAAATCTTGGTAGGACAGTAATTTTTAGAGTTACAATATAAGTGCAATTACCCAATGTACCAATACTCTTAGACAAAAAAATGCCACCTTTTGTACTGTGTTTAGATCCTATTAATTTTAGTAATGCATCTTTACTGTGATTGTTTTTTTGTACATAACTTAAAAGACTTATTTTATGTTATTGATTATTGAAAAGTGGTTCCTGAGAATATGTTAACCATTAATTTTAAGAAATATTCAAACTGGGAGATGACACGTAATTTTAAGTAGATTTATTAATACGCCTTAGCTAGTACATTCAGGTTTACGCATTTTACATAAAAAAGGACTACTTTTCATGTGATGTTTATCAATAAAATAAACCAGCTACAATTTTTCTTTTTAATAGGTATATTAAATTTGCATAGTTAATTATTTCAAGGTTTTCTCGATTGATATAGGCAATTATTATTTTCCGTTAAAGGATAAGAAATAAAAAAAGTATAAAGCAAACTTTTCGTTAAAATTGCATGTAAAATGTCCCTTGGTTGCAGAAAAAATATTATGGTATAATTTTTATTTAAAATGCATATTCCTAATGTATTAGTAACGGCTCAAACGTGTGAATGTGAATGTGTTTGGATAAGTGTGTATGTAATAAGTGTTTGTGTATTTATTGCTCATATATTTATTTAAATCTCATATGTTTTTTAATAAATCTCCAATCCGATGGCCTAGTATTTAGCAAGTCTATTGACAATTATAAATTTTTGTAAATCACCTTTTAATTTAACACCTTTCAGTGGATTTGCTAATTAACTACAATATGTTGTTATTATATATATATGTACAACTGTTTGTAATCTATACAAAATAAATTGTGGCAAAACAAGACATCTTAAATTTTTTGTACCCGCAATTGCACTTAGCTTGTTATAATGATTACGTAGTATAGTAGCAGATAAAGAATCTACGCAGCTAACAGATTTGCGTTGGAGAGAAGCACCCAAACGTAACGACTAACCAACTCTAGGTAAGTTACAAGAACGGAAGATACTTTTATCTATGCACGTCTTTAGATTTTTTGGTTGTGCTAAAATTGTTGTCAGATTTGTGGTTCTTTTATGCTCATTTTATTTAATTTCCATTAGTCGTTACTTTTAAGTGAATTTTTTATTTTGCCCGTGGGTGTTATAAATTTACAATGTATATGTAACGCCTAAAATTTCTAGTTATTTTCTAAATAAATGGAAAGTAGTGTTGGAATTTAACAAAGCTGCTTGGCAAAATACAAAATTCAACATGTACATTGGCTGCATTTTAAGCTTGTAATATATTAATATGCTTTTCATCCAAAGATGGTTTTACAGTGAAATAACCAAAATCAAACATTTTTTATTTGACCCCTGGAATGAAACTTATTAAATAAAATAATTTAGCAAAACAAATTGAAATTTTTATGGTAACAGAATTTTCGGTTAAAATTATCACATGAATAGTAGAGGTAAATCAAAATTAAATAGAAATTTACCGTTTTGAGATATTAGAGAATCACGCCAATTTCTGATCTAGGTTGCCTCATTTAAGTGGTTTTAATTTATGAAAATGCCATACCGTCTTTTAAATGTTTCGGTGTTATTAGTATTCTTTTCTATACGATAGCCTCGTATAATAAATTTAAATATATTAATAATTTACTGATTTCAGAATGCCTTCCAAATTATTACCTGCACCAAGGAAGCTGTCTACAGGAATGCCATGAAAAATATTACAACAGCATTTTAGATTATTCCGAAAATGAAGAAGAACTAGATTTAGCAAGAAACCAGACCTGTTTGCCATGCCATTATACGTGCAAAAATTGTAGAGGATCAATGGACTATCATTGCACGGAGTGTTACACGGATGCTAAAATTGTACACGCTTCGTCTAGTGAATCGTACTGTTATCCTATACATATAATGACTGAAGTTTTATCTGAGAAATGGTATTACAGGATGTTCACTATGACGTATATTTTAGTTATTGTTGTTACAATTCCTTCTGTGATTTATCTTTGTATTAAACGTAGGCAAATATTCCAAAGTGATAAACAGGAATATGCACATTTCGATATTGTCGAGAATATACGTGAAATGGAAAAAGATATTAAGTCAACTGTTTATACCGACAGTGAATAATTTGATATTAAGATATATTCATGTGTCTGGCACATAGCCCTTTGAAAAAATGAGGGCCCATTGCTGGAAGATTTCACGTTTACAATTGTTTCAGTGTTTATATAGTGGACAATCGTGTTGTAACTCGTAAAACTATAATTATTTTTAAATTTTACTTGTAAATAACTCGCGTAATCATTTTCTTTTACCACATTTCCGCACTCAAATATTGTTGACATGTTGCCATATGTTCTATTAAAAAAAGGTATATTCATAGTTTTATTGTAACATAACTGTTATTAGATGCATATTCATTCATTCCACGTATGATATTGGAGAACATAAACAATGAATAGCTAAAATAATCAGGATATTTTGATAAAACTGTTGTCTTAAAAATTCATATAATACAGTTCTTTTTATTAAAATATTCAAATTTAGCAAAATTGTACAAATGATATTTTTAATAAATCGATATTACATATCAATATTGTAAATAATAAAAATAAAACTATTTTTAACTATATGTAATATTATCCAGTTGCTCTTAAGCACTTCAAAAACCACAATAAAAATTTTCCTCCCCTTGTAGGTTAATAATCTAAATAGCCTCTGGTACATAGAAACGCTGATGGTCGGTGAAGATCGGAAACGGTCAGGAGCCAAGTAGCTCAATGCTTAACGGAACGGCACCCAAGTCCGATGCGCATGGGTTTGTGCCGGTTCCTGGAACCGACCTGGTTCCACAGATGAGGCATTTATTTATGTATTCTCCTATCTGGTTTGCCTTTCTTTTCCAATATTATTAAATGTTTCGTCCCTATCTTGTTGTGCGTCTCCAGGTGGGTATGGTGGTTGTGTTCTGTGAGCCATTACCAGAAATTCTGCATTTCCATAGCAGATATAGTCCTGACGGAACCGCTTCTAGGTAGCATTGCGTGGTTCACTTACTCGGGCCTCAACCAGTGATCACTACCGCTGATTGTCCTAAGACATCCGGGGACCGTTCCTGGGGTCTAACTACTTGCTAACGGAAGCTCATCGTGTGTGCAGACTGATGTGTCCTTATGCGGGAGGAAGCCGTGTCTTTCCGGTGACACGCTCTGTTGGAATGGCGGTTCAGGATATCTAGAAGTTGTTCCGCGGTTACCGGCCAGTGCTCTGTTTATCTTCGAATAAAAACGTGGATGTCTGACAGGATGTTGGAGTCACTGCTAACATTACCATACTCCATTGATCTGATTGTGGGTTTGTATATTTGCGAAACCAATTCAAGGTTCCCAAGGAATTTTGGAGTTGGTGGTACGTCCTGGACTCCGGGAATCTTCCGATACCGTGCACGTGTTTTTCTTGGGGAACTATGTTTTCTTCGTGAATACGATGCCCTAATAAGTTTAAATCGGTACTGGTCAGCGTGCACTTCTCCAGCGATGCTCTGAGATGGTGTGGCCACGGCCTCCTGAGAACTGACGTGTACAAAGATTTAGTACGAACTGTTGGAAAATGAGACGTATAAAAAATCTTTTAATAAATTATCCACGAAAAACTGAAAATTTTGGCTTTCCTTTTGTCGAATTTAACCTATATAAGTTCATGAAATTGACAGATTATTAATAGTCTTAAAACAAAAAAAAAAAAATCGCAACAGATCGTCACAAGTAGAGATCAGAAATCTTAGAGGTTGGCCGAGGGCCGGGTTCTCTTATAAATAATTTTATTTAAACAAAAAGTGACACATCGTTGCCTTCTTATAACAGCACTTTTTACCTTATAAGGATACAGAGGTAATGGATCAAAATTCACGGGTAAATTCCCGAAACAAAAATACAGGGTGTCCCGAAATTCATATCTCGGAACCCTATTATATGAGAATCACTAAATTTGGTACACAGGGGTTTTATGACATGTGGAATCTGATGGTGCTACGATTTTTGGCGGGGAACCCCCTTATGACAATTTTTCGTGGGCCCCCCTTGTCTTTGGAGCCAAAAAAATTTGGTCGTATATTTAAATTTCTTAAAAATTATCAGTCCACTAGAAAGCCATTAAATTTAGAAACTTTTTCTCTTCTATACTTTTTTCGTAACATGCAATGTTTTCGAGAAAAATGTCAAAATGTGTTCAAATGCATAACGTGATTCGCCATTTTCCTCAAAAACATTGCGTTTTACGAAACTAATATCAAGAGACAAAAAAGTTTCTAAATTCAATGGCTTTCTAGCTAATAATTAAAAAAAAATCAGATTTGCGATCAAATTTCCCTGGATCCAAAGACAAGGGGGGCCACAAAAAAGTGTCTTAAGGGGATTTCTCGCTAAAAAACGTAACACTGAGATTCCACATGTCATAAAACCCCTGTGTACCAAATTTAGTGATTCTCGTACAACATGGTTTTGAGATATAAAAGACTACCTAGGGGCAGATTTCAGGGGGCTATAACTCCGAAATAGGGGGCCAGTTGGCAAAATGAAAAAATACGCGTCCCCTAAATTTGTCTTAAGAATGTATGACCAAAGTTTGTTGCATGAATTTCGGGACACCCTGTATTGCGATTTAGCCGAACTCACCTTAGTCCTAAAGTTGATAGTAAAAGAGATACAGGGTGTTAAATGTAAAATATTTTACTTTATTTCTTAATAAATGCAAATGTCCCTACAAATTTTGGAGTTCATTGGAAGGAGTTGAAGCTGTTCACATTTTGGTTTTAGCTCATAGAGGACGCTAGCTGCAGTATAATGAATGTGTTAAAATCGACAACTTTTTTATATGTACTTTGTATTTCATCTTTGGTATCAAATTCGTATTTTCCAACTTTTTTTTGCACAAAAAAGGTATACTTTATGAAAGTAGTTGTCTCGCAAAATCATATAGAAATGTCAAAAACAAGGGTTTATTTAGAATTAAAAAATGTAATGAACAATAAAATAGTAAACATTAGTAAAAAAATGTCTATTTAACAATAATTGCTCAAGATGACCACCTCTAACTTCAATACATTTATCAACGCGTTTAATGAAACATGTTTGCCTTTGATCTGAAACTTCGAATCGATCAATTTATTCGATACGTATATCTAGCGGCCTAATGCCTACTCTGTAGGCCTAGCGTGCCGGTGAACAATCCCGGTTTTTCTGCTGAGAGACGTAGGCCGTGCATTTCATTGTCGCTTGCGCGTGTGAGTGAGTTTAACGCTTTGCTTTGTTTTTTTGTGACAGTCATTAGTATTGTGTATTGTGAGCATAGAGCGGCACACGGCTTGACCACCGATTTAGGTTATGTGTGATAATAACTACAACTCGTATTGCCGCTTACCAATATAATATATACAGGGTGTCCCGCATAAGAACCGACACAGGGCAGGTACATGTAGGGGTGTCCAAAATATTGTAATTTAACCAAACCTACCTGTATACAAAAAATTATTATCTCTGTAACACTTTACCGTAGAAGAACCTTTGGTACATGATTTAGGTTTATTACTGGTCTTATTTGACTATGATTTAAAGTTAATTGACACACTATAAGGTGTTCAACAAATTGCCTCTGATTGTTGTTGAAAATGGCTGGAAAATTTACATTTAGCGAACAAGTTGATATGCTACTTGTGCTGGGTTTCTGTGAAGGAAACTTAGAAGTGTGGAAGAATTGTTGAAATAAATTTGGCAGACATTTTGTCGGGCAATTTGTTTCTTCAGCAGCTATGTCCCCAAGTTTTTAAGTCTCGCCCCAAATGCTGTAGATATAACTGTCCCGTGTAAATACTAAAAAATATAACGGATTTTAAAGTAAGGTGTATCCCTAAGTCCTGTGCAAAGCATTTCTACCAACCAATAGAAAGACGGACAAGTATGATTGAGGAGGACACGTGTGCAAGGTCCTAGTAAAAATTTTATTTAATAGTCAATTTAGTCAAAATAGTTTTTTTATTACATTTATTTACATAGTTTTCTCAATATAACAACTTTATGAATTCGAATTTTTCCGTCCTTTTCTGTTATTGCCTGCCTTTTGGTTCACCATATTGATTAAAATTTATTAAGACATACATACACATATAACTTTCCAAGGGCATCACCAATTTTTTTAAGCTGAGAATGTATTAGATTGGAAATTTTTAATAAAATATTTTATTTACTTGAACTTTAATTTTCAAAATTAATACCTTACTTTATTTTTTTAAAAAGCAATTGTAATGAATTAGTATAAATATTTGTTGACAAAAGAATTTAAAAATATAAAATTTCATGTTAAAAAGTAATGCATTTCCATATTTTAAAAATTTAGCTCTGGAATTTTAAATTAAAAAAAAGAACAAAAACCTGGCTGAGAAATACTATGGTTCAAAATCATCTCAATGGCCTAGCAATGATGAGTATACACAGAAAGCTTATTTTTGACAACCGTGAAGATTTTATTAAAAAGTGGTCGACAAATTTTTTAAAAATCCGAGATTATATTTTACCTATTTTTCGTTGAATTTCTTTATTTTTTTTAGTTATTTATATATTTTTTTGTATTAAAAAGATTTTATTAAAAATATTACAAAAAAATAGTTCACTGTACCTATTTCTACCTATAGTTTATATTTCTCCCATCCCCTCTCTTATCTTGGACACTGTAAAGCTTCTAACTAATTTCAACACCCCGTATATCCAAATTTATCTTTTATGGGTGAATTTTTTTTTTTCACACTATTTAGACAATTAAAAACCAAGTCTAAGCAAAAAATTGCTCTATAGTAGTATTAGTGTTAAATTTTAATCAAATTAGAACAATTATTGTTCTTAAATGCTAATAGAGTAAAAGTCACTCATTCGATAGTTGGCAGAAACTCGGATCTGAGTAAAATTACTCACTTCAACCTCTTTAGTTTCGCTCGTAAAGTCTCAGTTGTCATACTGACAGAGTGAAAATTTCACTCGATCGGATGTCGACAGACACTAATACATTAATGAGTGTAATTGAATGAAATTTCATTCAATTTTTTTTACAGTGTAAGTTCATACATAGTGTATACCTGTATTCATGAATGATTACCCTGTCGTTTGAAAGTTGATCGCAACGTTTCTGTGCAATTATACTCGAATGAAGGAGAAGTAGACTATTGGCGAGTGTATATAGGATGATTTAGATTTTCCATCAATTCCGTTGTGTCAGTCCCTTCCGGAGCCGCCTCTGGCCACATTGTTGGGGGCTATTACCAAAACCATTAAAATAAATCATCCCGATACAATTTCCCTTAATAAAAACCAGATAGACTGAATAAAATTTGTTACCGATTTTCTCAAATTGCTCCGACATACAAATCGGGACCTAGCTGGATACAATGGACCTCCAACTGCCACATCTCTACACGTTACTTATGAGGTTCTTCGATAAACGATTCAGTGTACCTATATAACTTAGTTGCCGAAACATGGATTCGTTAAAGCAAAAGTTTTTCAGGGTGCGGGGGTCGACGGATGCGCAAAACGTTCTCGGTAAGGCGCAAGCTTGCTTCTCCGCAGAAGGGTGACCAATGTTGGGGGCGGCAAAAGCCTCTGGCTATGAGATTTTAGTTGGCAACATTTCCACGCGAGATTCGCACTTGAACTCTTCATTAGCAGTGAAACTCGTTCCTCAAATACACGCGAATCGATGGTTAGGGAAACGCTTTTTACTAACGTTATCAACGCTTCTTATTTTGTTGTTGGTGTTGTTACAGTGGCCTCGCGGTCGTGTACACTTTAAAATGTAATTTTTACGGTGGTCCTCGGGTGCTACCAGCACAATGAGAACAATAATTTATTGGTTGCTACTTATTCCTACTAGTTTACCGTTTGCTATCAATCACAATGATATCCCCAGAAGAGTTTTTGGTAAGTTATGCCACTCCAGGATTCTTGATTTTAGAATAGTAACCAAAACAAATTAATTCTTCGAAACTTGTATACATATACAAATGACAAGATACACTTAATATTGGCCTTGTCAAAACATTTCCATTCCTAATAATCTTCGATATCATCCCTCTTTAATATAATCTGATAACAATACACTACTACAATAAAACTGGATAATGCCCAATTTAAGAATTATATTTTTTTTTGTACTAAATTTACTTCAGAATAAATTGTGATAAACTCTTACGAAATGTTCTGATAAACCGGCCTATATTAAGAAACGCTTACGTAAACTTATTTTTGCCGGAATAGTGTGTCATTCTTTGTACTATTACAATTTTAAAATATATTTGGGCAGAGATATACAAGCTGCCGAGAGTAGTAAGTCTTTGATTTTGCTCCTTAACAAAATGATGGAACTAGTAGAAATAAAATTGGAAGAAGGCATCGAAAAGTTCTGCATCATTATGGATAAAATAAAAAAAAATCCCTCTACGTATCGGAAATTTAATTGATATTTGGAAATCCCTGATATTTATTTGGAAACGCGTATCTGGTTTCTCCAGTGGTATATTGGCGCCAAATTTTAGTAAATTGGAAACAAGGATTGGATTTAATGTTTGGTCATTCGCGTACCCCGTTATTTAATTAGTAATACACGTGCGACACGATTTGGAGGATTTTTATCGGATTAATTGCACAATTTTGGTAACGGTTTGGCGGTATTTTATTTTGTATATATGGTTTTGTTAATATTTGAAAAACAAAAATAATATATATTTCCACAGAAATAGGGACTGGATTTCAAAAGACAGACCGATATACGATAATACGCTTGCCAATAGCTCGTAATGTGTCGTTCCTTTACCAATTTAAAGAAGCTTTGATCTTTTCTGACGCAGCATTTGTAATACCTATAATTCCTGATAAAAAATAACGAGCCAAGTTTAACACGTATTTATTAATTAACAAGTATTTCAGAAATCGTGAAACCCGATTGTTATGTGACTATTTCAAAAATAATGTGACAGATTGCATCTATTCCCAAATTACAATTACTAGTTAGTAGCTTTGAAGAGTTACCCGACAAACAAAATAATAAAAATATTTGCCTTTAGCACTTTCAACACGAAAGGTATAATATCTCGATGTTGTAAACGGCTTTGATGGTAACGCCCCTCTTAAATGAAACTGGCTGGCAATAGAAAACGATATAAATCACAAATATCTCTATATCGTATATAATAAAGGATTACACACATGGATATCGTGCCATGTTCCACAATTTAAGTCTTATGTACGTTTAAATGATGAATTCTATTTAACAATCCGTTTGATATTAAATAAACTGTCCGAGGATATTCCATTACATGTCATCGTATAAGAACAGTGTTCTGCCAAGGGCTGTACAATATCTCGAGGCCGATCCTGAGTCAATTACATTGCTTTAGCAGGACCGAATCATACGACGCAAATAGGCAATGAATGCGGTTAAAAAGGTCCGTGATTTCTAAAATCGGCTTGTTACTTTTTGTATGGGTCTGTCTAAAGAGCTAATTTTATGTTATGGACAGCGCGGGCTTCAAATTTAATACCCAACATGAGAAATTTCCGTAAATATTTTACGTCGAGTTATGGAAAATTTACGTCGGTGAATAAATTAATTTCGTACTTCGCGATACACACGAATTTAATTACAAACGAATTAATATTTTTCAATTGGGTTTTTAAAAATATTCGTTTAAATGGGAGAAAATTATTCGTTCTAACGGAATAGCAGTACCGTATGAAACCGAGTATTACAAAGAATACGGTGGATTGGCATTAATTTTGTGTAAAAATTGTGTAATCGTAAAAATTTCGATAGACTTGGACATAATCAATCCAACTTACTATTCAGTGTATCATAGATTTTAAGGGGGGTAATCATATCTTATCCATAATTTAGGGCAGGTATGGTTGTTTAGTTTTTACGCGGTTCTGAATCGGGTACGAAGTTTAAAAACTGGCAGTAATAGCTGTCACACTATTGTAACGTCACGTGACATCTCATAGGCTCACGTGACATATACAAACACGAGCCTATTAATTTGCATGTATTCAAATATGTCTTGTCTAGTCACTAGAAAAACCACAAAACACAGTTCACTGTTTCACGAAAAAGTAATTGCGCCATTCGTTTTATAAGTATCTTACGTTCCTATGCCATTTTATATAGAATATCTTTTATAAAGTTACTCGATGAACATTTTAAGTGTAAGAAAAGTTTCTTAGCCACCCTAGCGAATAACTGTTTTCTGTTTCAGATGTGACGGCTACCCCGACCGAGCAGATTTTCGTGAAGGCTTATCACAACCAGTCCTTGCCTTGTCCAGGTGCCAACGAGCAATCGCTAGTGTACGCCCTCGAATGGTTCTCTTTGTCGCAAAACAAAGTGATTTTAGATTACTCGAAAAGTTCTCTAACCGTGTACACTGAACAACACCGTATATCATTAGCTAAGGACTACGGGATGACCATCCATCCAGTCCTAGCATCTGACACGGGGGATTACATCTGCCTCATCAACAACCGTCTACAACCGGATGGAGTCGTCCAACTGAGAGTCTTAGGTAAGTTGACATTTCGACCATAAACTGCCGTATAAGGTCCGCAATTTGTTCGTAAATCTATTCCTTCTATAAATATTAACTCGCGTTCGTTTTCATAGTTCACTGTTTTTGATGTATAGATTTTTGTTTTCATCTTTCCGATGTGTTTTGTGCGAACAATTTTTAACGTAAATACGTTGAGGTTGGGGAACGTTATCGTTGCTTGAAAAGTGTTTATATTATTAAGACAAAAAGAAATGGGAAAGAAAAGGTACAAAGGAAAATATATTAGATTAACAAATCGTTCAAAGCACGGCATGAAAGAGAGTTTGGCGCAATTTTAATACAGTCGTAATGGATCTTGAAAAATGTATTTTGTTTCCATTTGAGTTACCCGGCAAATTAACAATTTATTTTTTTTTAATCTTACGTTTTCAACGTATAGGTCTTCCGTACGTTTATTTTATTGCAGTGGGGTATTTTCATTGCATAACAAAATAAAAATAGGCTAAAAAATTATTATAACTTGTACAACCTATGACCACAAATTCTTGGAGACACCCCTGATCAAATACATAATAACTAATTCCTCTTAAAAGTAATTAAGCCCTGTAAGCTTATTTTTTATTTTTTTCTTTTTCAGACGTTCCGGATCCTCCTGGCCGCCCTCTTATTGTCAGTTTCACTTCACGTACCGCGGACTTATCATGGGCGTCACCACAGAACAATCATTACAGTGCAATCAAGTATTACATCATTCATAGCCGGTAAGTTAATCCAAAAGCCTCGCGTATTCTTTACCGCTCTCTATTTGTATTTTATATCTTGTGTGTATGAACAAAAAAAAACGAAAAACAAACAGAATTGGCAAAGGAACAGTAAATACTTATAAAACTTTGAATATGTCTGCGAAAACGTTTAAAAATTAAACAGAATAATTTATGAGCCGCACCGGTAAATTTAGTTAATTTATAGCGAAATCATACAAATAACTAACAACTAACCGTGTTAGCTCTTGGCATATTTTGTTCGAGTGTTACCAAAATGTTGGAATTCGCCGTAGACAGCTTTTCTCAACACTAAAAGCTTCGTCCTAGAGACGTCTACCGCTGACGTAGTGAATATTTAACCAAGGAAGACAAATATCTATGATGAGCCTAGTTTTGACCGTTTCCGAACTACCAAAATGTGCCTGCAGTTTACACTATTTTCATATTTCAACTAAAATGAAATATTTTTCAAAAATATATTTTTCCTGCTAACTTCTGTTATCCTTAATCGAGAATACTGTACAAAATCAGCAAGTATTGTTTATTTGAACAAATATTTTCGTAAGGGGATATTTTCAATTTTTTTCTGAATAATATCCACCGAATAAAAATTGAACAGTTTTCTTAACAGTGTTGATAAATATTATATTTTGCACTGCCTTGTAATTTCACAGTTGTGCAATTATAATCAAATGTAGTTCGGTGAGGATTAAAAAAACGGCAATAGTAATAGGTATAAATTAATTCTTAAGATTGATTTGACTCGTATTATTTTGCAAAAAAACTAAAACGTGTTTACATTACATTACATGTCTATTTATCCTTTTTCCATTCATGTACTTTTAAATTTTCTCTTTAAACTCGCTAGCGATACATTGTGGTTGACAATATCAAATATCATGCATGTTCTATTTAGTTTGGGTTCATGATAAGTTGGGGAATTAAATTTAAAATGGCAGTTTCGTATATATGAAACCAGTGCGGTGCTGGAAAATCATTTTATTCCGAGACAAACGCGAAGCGAACATTTTGTCTTTTTTAATATAAATCACATTTATTGAATTTTTAAATAAGTACGTCCACTGACAATTTTATGTTGGTAGGGGGAAAATTAAAGTAGAGGGATTTTTTAATACGCTGCAGTTGCTTGTGAAGAGTGATTCGTTCTCTTCTAGATGCACAACTTTTTTAATGAAAACAAGGCCGGGAGCCATATCATCCCCACGATAGTACTTTTATGGTCCTCGGATAGATATGAGTTTTTTTTAAGTTTAATGTAGTCCATATTTCATGCAAGGTCCGCCCGTCCATTAGAACCGCAAAAACCCTAGCGACCGTAACAAAATGTAGCAAAACAATCTTATGAGTGTTATAGGTTTACCACCAGCTCATAACTTGTGAAAAATATCAGAGGAATCTCTCGCAAACAAATAAAAACGTCGCCGAACAAGAAATGTACATATTAAAAAAGTTAAATGCATAATTATATTTCAACGCCCTGTATCTTGGAGTTCTTGATATTATATATTTATTTGTCAAAAATATTCATATTTGTATAATATATTTTTATTGATTTTTATTTGAGTGTTACACTCAATCACATATGAAAAGAGACACCACTGGTGGTATTGGAAATAAAATCAAATAAATCGAGACGGATAAAACTCGAAGTAAATATAATACTCTATTAAGTAAAGTGTCGAGAGAAAATGAAAAAGATTATTTTGCACAGTTTGCAACGTTATAAGCAGCTATGCTTTTCATATATAAAAATATACTCGCTGCCCTGCCATATTTGGTAACGCTTTTGCATTGTATATTTTAACAAAATTTGATATGTACCTATTTTAAAGGCCTAATAATATTTTCATATTAAGGGACCAAGTTCCGGCATCGAAAGAATCGAAACATTAGTAAATTGATTTAATTAGTGAGGTAAGATTTTATTTATTTTTCATAGATTTGTCGATACAAAAGTGACTTCAACTTCAACAAAAATATGATTGTACATATTTAAACATATTAAAATAACTTGATATATGTCAACCTAATTAATAACAACGCTTTTTGAAATATAATTTTCCATATTGTGTAAATATATTTTTTAAATAAATCAAGTATAGAATAATACGGTGCATTGTTTTTATAAATGGCTAAAAGCCAAAGCTGGTAACTGTGAAAAATGGAGGATTTTTAGAGATTCGTTGTGTTGCTTTAATTGGCAATCATCATTACTAACGCCATTTTATTACTGTAATTGATACAGTGGCACACGGAGAACAAAGGGAAAAATAGAACATTATTTTTATTAACGAACGCTTTATGTCGCGCTCTGTTCAGGAACCAGTACCGTATTAATGAAAAATCAATCTAGTAATTCTGATTAATTATACTTACTTTTATTAACTTCGCCCTGAACGCGGAACATACCTACTGTCGTCGAATTTATACGCATTTTATCAAAAAGCAAACCTATTTTATTTAATATTAACTTATCACGGCGGCAAATTTTCTATCGGCTGGAAACTGTAGTGGATAAAATAACTAGTTAGAGCTAACATTGGAAGGGACACTTTGATGCGTGAAGGAATTGAAAAACAATAAATCCCTGGGAAATGATAAAATCTTTGCCGAGTTTCTGAAGTGCGAGGGAGAAAATCTAATTCATCATTTGCACTTGGTTCTAATTAATGTATGGAATGAGAACGCCCGCTGAATGGAACAGTGGATTACAATGCATAAGAAAGGAACTATGAACGTTGCTGTAGCGTAACTCTACGTACAAGGTGTTCTGCTTTCTATCATCAGGACTAGACTAGACGTAGAATAGTTATATCTAACATCGAAGATCGTCCCCTTGGAAGTAGAAACTTTGACGACCAAAAATTATAAACGTAGTAAGACAATAAAATATTTTTTTTACACATTTACGAAACGTTTAGTCGCCGGGCGAAAAATATTTCAATTCAAATTGCACTGCCAACTAATAACTCAATTAATAGAGGTGAGTAAATTTACTCAAATCCGAGCATTTTTTTGCTTAGACTTAATTTTTAATGAACTAAATATTGAGTCAAAAAAAATCACAAATACAGGGTGTTGAAATTAGTTAGACGCCATACAGAGTGTCCAAAGAATGGTGGGCAGTCTCACGGATTTAGGTAGATCTTGCAAAAAGAACGTATAAGTGTTTATAATTTGTTTTTTCGTTATTAACTCTGGAAGTGGTAAAATGAAAATATTATTATATTATTTGAGGGTATTCTTACTAATGTATTTAATTTACCGATAGCTACTGACTTTTTGAATTTTTCGTTTTTAATTTTTCATATTCCTTTAAGTGAAAAACATTCATTATTTTCAAATTCTAGTGAAAAAGTCATTTACACTCACGTTAATATTAGAACAGTTAGAAATTCAATTCTGGCAACGACTCTTCTGAAAATAATTTTGATTTGCAAATTTCTTTTCCGCGGTTGGAATGAAAAGTTGGCACATTTTTATAGTTTTCAGCCGTTGTAGTCGTACAACAGTGGGTGAAACGCTCACTGATATTCAGTTCTGTCCGTGAAAAATTACAAGTGATTTATTTAAGGGCTAAAGGGGCTGAAATGAGTAAAAAGATCGAAAAGAATTGTACAATGGCTACAGCTACATGTATTTGGACATTCAAATTAATAACTCCTTTCCCAAGCTTTTGATGTTTACTATAATTATTTCCCTTTTTTACTGTCAGTAGCTGAAAACGAAAATTACATCTATTTGTAAAATTGTCTAAAAATATTTAATTAAAATGCCGCCGCTACAATATTTTCATTCCACTAACAAAATATATCAATTCCTCGGAGCAAAGGATATTTGACATTGGTTAATAGGGGTTGAAAGTTTTCTACATGATGAAGGGGATATTTGACAGAATTTAATTTCTTTATCGTAGCCAAATATATAACGAGATCTTGTTGGCTCGGAACAAGGGACATTTAGATGTTTCAGAAAATTATATTAAAACTTCAGCGCAAAGCCTTGTTTTATGTGTTTTAGAACTCATTATAATCAATGTCGTCCTACACGTTATACCACTTTGACATTCTTTTACCCATAAACTCTATAATGATTAAAACTGTAAACAAGTTTTATCAACTTTTGTGGTTTGTGAATAAATTATTTTAATCTGATATTCAAATTTCATTTATCGTTTCATTGTCTAATCCTCCAAGATTCAAAACTTGATCGAATTACATTCAAGTTCAAAAACTACAATGAAGCGTTTAATTTATTTCCAGTCACATAAGTTTGCACAATCATGACTAAATAAGAAACGAAGAAACGTTTATTTATGCAGCAAAAATATGTAATTAAATAGGTCGTTGAGAATTAACCAAGTATATAAATTCAAACAGCTAGTTAATTGATTGAAACTGTTTTATTTCATATTCTCTTTTACATAGGAACTCTTGCTATTGGTAGTCCCAATAACTGAAAGGGGTTGCAGAAAATGAAGTTTTAAATGGGTCTATAAAATTAAATTTCCGGGTACTTTATAAATTATTTTCCGATGTAAAATTACATTACTCTTTGAGAAAATGCTGTACTTCTCAAACTCGCTTAATTTTTTACCACTTCATTACGATTAATTAAATAATATACAACGCTTAATACCTTTTTTAAAATACGAACTACATTTTTTTGCCATAATTTCGAGTTCTTCATGTTGCCAGGTTTCAAGAGATTTCAGTTCCGTAAATATTCTTCTGGGGGTGTGAAAATGTTCGCACTGAAAATTAATTGGCTACTTATTGATTCTGCAGCTGGTCCCGGTGTATTACTAATTCTTTTTATCTCTTCTTTATAGCTCAACTGAATACGAACGGACTAATTCGCTTAAATATAAAATTATATACATTTTCCTGCAGTCCCTTAAATTTAAAGCTTGTAATATTCATCAAAGACAAATAAATGCTGCCTTTTGAAAACTAAAATATCCGATATCGTTTATATTAATGTACAGTGTTGCCTACGATTATCAGTATTTTCGCCGTCCCCTGTACATTTTGACGATCAACCAGAAATTCCATACAGGGACAGGGTGAACCTTAAGTGTGTACATATATTTTTAATTGTGAGGATAATGGGGAATTAACATCGAAAATTTTGCTCAATGTTGAAATACCGAACAAGATTAACTTTTATGACAATTTCACCCTTGTATTATTATTACTAATTGTTGACAGACACGCGTCTTGCTGTTGTTACAGATTGTAACGCACCGATTTGACTGATTATTATTTTTTAATACTAGGCTGAAGATCAAGATATCTTATATTTCTCTTATTAATCTTTGAAAGTATTTTCATTTTATTTGTTGATTTGATCATTATGTGTATTATCTAGACTGGACTTTAGATCAGTCTTGAGTATGGGGTTAGCATACTCCCATACCATATGTTATCAAGATTGGACTTTAGATGTGTCTTGAGCATCGGGTCTGCATTGTCCCACGAGACTGAATATTTTTATTTTTATTTTATTTTTTAATATTTGTTTGTGCTGCCTGTATACTTTTTTTTAATAAGACTGATTTTATTTTATTTTTTTTTCCTTTGTAAAAGTCTGGCCGTGTTAGCAGAAGAAGGGATATCAGCGAGCCTCGACGACTTGTCTGCCCGGATCCGGAGAAATACTCTTGGTTGCGCTGGCCTGGTGGATAATCATATCTCTTTAAACTAATTTCATATTCAATTATTATTGCTTGTATTGTTTTCTGAGTTATTGTGAATATTGTGAATTAATTATTAAATCTCATAATTTGTAAACACATTTTTTATTTATTGGTGCAATTTGCCACCTCTTAACCACACCCTGATTTTAAATATTTTATACCACCTCCCCGAATATCTAATAATAGGGTAAAATAGACAATAAAATTAAATTTTGCAGTAATCATTACCCTTAATTTTAATTTCTTAACATGTCATAACATGTAAACTATTGTAAACCAAAGTCAAACTGTAAATCTCACATATATCATATACACGACCTAACGTCGTCGTGGTGGTAATCATCGGCCATCTATCGCCAATTTTGAACTAACTTTTGTAATTTAAATTATGTTCAGCTTACGTTTATATTTTTAAAAATTTCATAAAACGGTATTCAATTTTCATAACTTTTATGCATTCAATAGATGGCGCCACTTGCATCTCGCGGACATAAATTGCACGAAGTTTAGTAAGACAACAAGAAATTGAACTGTCAGTAAAAAATTTGCTAAAAGGGGGATAGGTTTCACATTTCTATGAAATTATCTCTAAAAACAATACTATTGACCATATTACTAACTATATTAACACACCGTAAGATTGTCGCGGTAATGAAATTCGTCGGTCAGCCCCTGTGCCCACCACCCATCCCGGCCTTACTACCTTAGTACAACATGATTTTACGTTCAACTTATGTCGACGAGATATATGTGCTGCCATCTATCGGACCATTTTGAACTAACATATCTTTAAAATTATATATTTTTTTTGCGACTGAAGTTGTGTATGTTGTAGTATGTGTAATGTGAGTGAGTGAAGAGATCTCAGCTTACGATATGACAACTAAGTTCAAAAGAGATAGAAATAGTAACTACAAGTTAAATAGTCGCGAAAAAAACTATGTTTCGGTACAAATTTTTAAAACTTTTAATCAAATAGTCATATCTCTTATGCAATCAACTGATGGCGCCACTTACATATCGCGGACATAAATATAACGAAGTTTCGTAGGACCCAGGACATGAAATTGAACTGTTCAGACATAGGTTTTATTGTTAGAGGGGGTGGTTTTGCACTTTCAGATAAAAAGTAAACTATCTCAAAAATGACTTAGTATATGCCATCAATTTTTTCACCGCGATTTCTGCTATCGTGATGTGATGATGAGAGCAACAACAAAAATATACTCCTAGCCCCAAACGATATAATATAACGCCTAGGTACTAGGAACATACATCTTCGAATGTTGCTCATTCGTCGTTCATCTGCCATTTGAAGAACTGAAAAAAGATGATAAATATCATTTTATTAAATATATTTTAGTCACGTTATTTTAAATTTTAATCAAAAACATTGTAAAAAATAATTTAGGAGAGTCAAAATAGCCTAGCCTACACAAGAAAATGTTTTAAACAAAAAATTTTCATATACTATACAGGGACATCCCAAAAATGAGTGCCAAAATGTTTTACCACGTATTTAAGTCATCAAAAGCAACAAAATTTGTTTAATAAATATTTTTCTCAGATTTTAGAAAAATATATATGTTGTACCCATTAAAATAACGTGACGAGCTGCTTATAGATTAAATAAATATCGAAATAACGAATGAGAATATTTTATGGAATGATCTTAATTTTTTTTGCTAGCCTAATATTAAATTATGTACCTATGTTTGTTCAATATTAATTAATCGAAGACCAGTGGATGTTAAGAAATATTTAAAATAAAAAAAATTATGTTGTCTTAAATGTAAGAAATTAAAAAAATATATTACACAAAAGTTGTTAATTGCTGGATTAAAATTTCGGCACCTATTTCTGGGACACCCTGTTATAGTTAATGAAAATGTCTCAAAATATAAAAGAAAAGAAATTTAAAAATAAAGAATAAAGAAGTTTAAAAATTAAAAAAAGATAGATAGATAAATATTAGTGTTAGTACACAAAAAGTGTTTACACACGTCAAAAAGAATAATTATAGTAGTAATATAAAATCATTACGAAAATAAAAAATAATAAAAATTATAGTAAAATATACAACACAGTACACACACGCGTATAACAGTGTTGGCACGTAACTAGTTCACAAGTTAAAGAACAAAGAAAATGGTAATAAAACAATACAAGTACAAGCAATAAATGGTTGTCAAATGTTAAAATAAAATGTTTGTAAGAGGACAAACAAACAGTAAATGATACATATTAAAATAAGATTATGAGTCATTACTCATAATCTTATTACATTAATAAGAAAAAACTAAAACAATGCAACTGAAGTATGCGAAGCCTGCGTGTTAGAGTGTTAACTTGTATTAATCCGCGGTCAGAATTGATGGTTCTTTTTCTAACCTCAAAAAAAAAGGGTCAAAAGGTCAGATATCACGAATTTTCAAATAACAACAGATTCGAGCCAAATATGGTGTACGGGGGTTTTCGGGGTCACTGATCACGAATTCGTAAAAAAAACCTATTAACTATATGTTCTACACAGTAAACTGCTATTTATAATACAGGGTTACAACTATTTAAAGGGAGACTACAGGGATATCGGAAACCGTTAGTCATACAGGGTGGCTCAAATTACAAAAAAGTTGCACAATTATGGGGCGAGTGTTTTGGTTAAAACAGATCCAAGACATCTCGATAGTTTCTGAGATATCTCGAAAAAAAGTGAAAATATCGATTTTCTATTTTTCGTTATCTCATTTGTTTTTTAAGATGCGTCACGAAATTTTGTATCTAGGCATTATCCAACATGGCGATTTCAATGGTGAGATTTTTTCTATCTTCCATTGTTTCAGTGTCGCGATGGTCAACTTTTTTTTTCCTTATGGACGCCATATTGGTTCTCCTCATGGATGGATAAAGAAAAAAAATACGAATTCAACGATGTATCACACTTTACAAAAATATCCTGTCTGCCTGCAGCAATTTGAATTTCTTTTTAATTTTTCTGAAATAGTAGGCTGATGTCCAAATTGTCATTTTCTATCTTAAAAAACAAATGAGTTATAACGAAAAATAGAAAATCGATATTTTCACTTTTTTCGAGATATCTCAGAAACTATCGAAGATATCTTGGATCTGTTTTCACCAAAACACTCGCCCCATAATTGTGCAACTTTTTTGTAATTTGAGCCACCCTGTATGACTAACGGTTTCCGATATCCCTGTAGTCTCCCTTTAAATAGTTCTAACCCTGTATATGAAAGCATATAAGGTTCACCCTGTACAATTGGGTTTAGGTGTATTACCAAGTTAGAAAAAAAAAATAATGAAAATAGTTTATTACAGGGAATAAAATTAAGTCTTTAGGTAGTAATAAAATGTACTGATAATAAATAGGGCAGTGATAACAGCTACTTTTGAAAATTTCATTTCGTATCGTCGCAGGCTGCGTATATTAAAGACGTGTACCCACTAAACGTTTTCTGAAATCACGGATCCCAAAGGGAACGCATTTCTTTTATATTACGTGGCCGTATTGTGTATAGTGAAAAGAAAAAATATGGTTTCTGAATACTTTGTATATCTTACAGCCTGGAAGAAGACGTTTATTGCTTTTAATCAAAGAGGGTGATATTTATTCGACGATGTCTTCTCGAACGTATCTCGTCCTATGACGACATTTCAAACGTCAACCCAGTCACCGAGCCGTCAGATATAAACGTTCAACATAACGATGTAATAATAACTGCTCTTGGGATTAATTGCTAAAATTATAAGTCACCATCACATACAAATCTATTACGTCGCAATTAGAGAACAGTAATTATTGATACATTAAGATACATTAATGGTTGTCTAGCCGTACTTCCATGGAGAAACTGTCCCCAATAGGAACCTATATCGTAAACTACGTTATATTGTAGAGGACGCTAATAGTAGTTGATCGAGTAGATATTAGCTTTATATCTTAGTTATTTTAGGAGCTATTTGAAAAAAGTGTCAATAGCGATATATCTTAGTTAATGTCAAAGCTAAGAAAATAAATCTAAATGGCAGTGTTATGGTACACTTTACAGTTTATTTTATAGCAGTTCCTATGGGCCAAACCTAAATAAAAGTATTAAAAGACGGCAAATAAAAATGTTCTAAATCGATTTCTATCAGATATCAGATCTAATTGAATTACCACTTTGAAAATAAATATGTAATAATTGTCTATGTCTTGCCCAACAGCATGCCATTTAGTTTCATTAAAATCCAAGAGGTGCAATATGTCGAAATGGACTGGACCACCTTACGAGTACTATGTTGACGCTTTTAATTTTCATTATATTTCAATAATCTTTGGAAAAATTGCGTTTTGACTGCTCTTTTATAGTCTTCGTAGACCAGAAATTCGTCAACTGACCCTTCTGCCATTCATCTGAATATAATTAAAAACCTAATCAATTTTTCAAAATTTTTAACTCCTTAATTAAGATATAGAGCTAATATCTACTCGATCAACTACTATTAACGCCTTCTACAATATAACATAGGTTATTATTATTTTTAACACTGTTTTAAATGCATTTACGATTTCTACTCTTCGGGAAGTAAAATGTCACCCTAGCTTTATTTAAATCACCAAAATACTGATTGAATAGAAATTTATGATGATTTATGGAGGTGATGTTAAAGTGATTTGCGAAAAAAAGACGGATCAATGAAACGATGTGATTTAAATCGATTTTCCTCATCCAGAATGCAGATTTAATGGCTAGCAAGGTGATACGTCAACTGTAATTCATTTACCACGACTTTAAGAGAACATCAAACACTTTCGTGTTGACTAAACTTTTACATGGATCGTACGTCGCAGATAATATTAAATACTTCTAAGATACTCTTAAAAGATAAGTTTTGTCTATACATTGATTATTAATAACACCTTTAAGCCCAACTTGTGTAAACAGTTGTTAGAGATTCATTTTTTAATAAGAAAAGTTCCTATAAACGTACGTCTTAGAACGCTTCTTTTGTAGATTGTAGATTTTGCGTGAGAAATTTATGAATATGTGCCTTTTTTAATTAAAAACATGCTTGTGTAGTTTATATGTACCC